AAAAAAACAACCCTAAACTAAAATCTCTATAGCTGTCATTTTTCTTTTCTTTTTTCTGTTTGGCAGGTTATTTATTTTTTTACTTTTTTAAATCTGGCTATTTTTTCTCAAATCCTGCCTTTTGATTTCTCAGCCCCCAGACCTGGCCGAGACTCGGTGTCCTCTGGGGGGACCGTCCTCTGGTGGGGCGGGGGGCTGGGCGGCTGGCCCCGCTGCTCCGCGGAGGACGTGTCAGGCACACGGGAAGCCGCCCGCCTGTGCCTGGGCCCGGAGGGTCCTTCCCGGCTGGTGCCCGCACACACCGTCCAGAGCCCCGGGCTGGGGCTGCCTCAGTGTCCCCGCTCGGCCCAGGCTCCTGCTGCGGGGAGGAGGAGCCAGGGCAGAGGGAGGAGGCGGCACAGGCCACTCCTTGCTCAGCACGTGGGCCAAGCTGCCCCTCCTGGGCCAAGGCCATGGCCACCGGCAGAGGAGATGACCAGCATCTCTCCTCTGGGTCCTGGATGCTTTCTTTTTAAATTTACTTTCTTGTTAGTCCTCACTGGAGGACATTTTTTCCATTGATTTTTAGAGGGAGGGGCGGGGAAGTGGAGAGACACAGCGAGAAACATCGATGTGAGAGAGACACATGGATTGGATGCCTCCCACACATGCCCTGACCAGGGCCAGGGATCGAACCTGCAACTGAGGCACACACCCTTGCCTGACTCTCTTTCCACTGGGCCACCCCAGCTAGGACTGTAATTGTGTTTTATCCCCATTTCCCTGGCTCTGCCAGACGAGGCCCCCTGAGCCTCCCTGCACCCCGATGCCCAGCACCAGTGGCCACAGGGGTTTCCTGGTGAGACTGGATGGGGCTTTCCAAACAGGACACACATTGAAAACTCAACAAATACTGACAAGGCATCTGAGTCACACCTATCGCATTGGCACCAAAGACTTTACATTAGAAATCAATCACAAAACGTAACTACTGAGCTTGCCTGGGAGTTTTAAAGCATATTTATAAATAACTGAAAAGCCAGAGAAGAAATCCAAACAGAAACTCAGTAGGCGTGAAGTGAGAAGAGAACTGAGCAAAAAATAAACATACTTAATAGTGTGAGGTGAGATAAAAGAAAATGCAGAGGGCAGCATAGTTGCCAATACCATTTATCTATGTATATAAAAGGCTGATACGCTGTGTCCATCCACTGGTCGCTATGACGTGCACTGACCACCAGGAGCAGACGCTCAACACAGGAGCTGCCGAGCTGCAGTGATGCACCCCGAAATCGGAGAGAAGGGGGCCCGATTCCTCACGGGGCCCCAAGATTCCACTTTCGGCCATGGGTTATGTTGCTGGGCCACTGTTGGCCTGAATCTGGTTTACTGCACTCTTGTGTTTGTGTTCCACACCCTGTACCACAGCACCTTCGCAGAGTGCCCACTTGCACTCCGGGACCCCTCGGGGGATGTCAGAGAGCCAGTTCCGGCCCGATCCCCGCAGGCCAGGCCGAGGGACCACACTTGCCAGAGGGACTCGGCCGACTTTGCAGATGCCCTTTGAGCCACGGTGCCACCCCGGGAGCCACTGGCCAGGGAGGTTGGCTCCAGGGTGTGTCCGGCCCGTCTCGCCCAGTCCTGCCTCACAGGCCATCTTCTAACGAATTCCCTTTCAATGTACACGAATCTGTGCACCCGGCCGGGGGTGTTACATAAACCTCAGAGGAGGAGCGAACCAAGCCAAGAGCAAAGCTGGCGAAATGACGAGGGCGTCTGACAACCAAGAGGATCGGCCGAAGGAAACACTGCTCACTGGGAGTGCGCTGCTTCTGAGTGACTGGGCAAAGGAGCCCCAGAGCCGAGGTCCTGGGCGAAGTGGAGACTGCTGGCTGCCTGGCGCCCCTCTTGTTTACCTGCCTTGACCTCAGCGACTCTGCTCCATCAGCACAGCTGTCTCCCGCCGAAGCCGGCCCGGCCCCCGGCTCCGGGCGCGGGCAGCCTGCGGACGGCTCCATTTAGACGTCTCTGAAGGACCCCTGCGCTCCATGGCGCTCCTGCCTCCCCTCGGGGGCCCACAGGGCCGTGGCCACTCACGGCGTGGGCCTGGCTGGTGACGAGGACCCTCGTCGCCGGCGGAGCCGCCGGGCGGGAGGAGAGAGGGACTCCTGGTAGTGACTACGTGTTTCACAGCGGGTGGAGGGCCGCCACGAGGACCTGGGGTCACCGTGGCGACCCGGGCAGACTCCGCCGTGTGCGGGCCCCTGACTCCCATCGGCACAATGGAGACACATCCGGGTGCCCCGAGGCTGGTGTGAAATGAGTGCCCGGCACCAGCAAGCCCGCTGGGCACGTGAAGCAGGCAGGTGCCCGCGGGGCCCCCGGAGACCGGCCGCGGCCGCACGGAGCCCCTCCAGCTGCCTCCGGGAGATGGTGTCACGGCGTCAGAATCTGCGTCCCTCGCCAGAGGCGACACCGCGGTGTGGAGGCCTCTGCTCCCGGCTCTTCCCCTCTCTGCTCAGTCCCCTCTCTGAGGTCGCGTGGGGATTTCCCTGAAACTGGAGATTAGGCTGGGGACAGGATCGTGGTTCCACCAAATGCCTTCAACGCCAGGTGCGAGCCCCGGGTCAGGAGGGCGTCAGGTGACGGGTTACAGGAGCCAAGAAACCTGAGGCCTGCGGCTGGGCCTGATGCTCCCGGAAACACCGCCACCCAGGGCCAGGGGGGCCAGGGGGCCGCGGGGGGACAGGGGCCCGCGGGGGGACAGGGGCCCGCGGGGGGACAGGGGCCCAGGGGGGACAGGGGCCCAGGGGGGACAGGGGCCCGCGGGGGGACAGGGGCCCGCGGGGGGACAGGGGCCCGCGGGGGGACAGGGGCCCAGGGGGGACAGGGGCCCAGAGGGCACAGGGGCCCGCGGGGGGCCAGGGGGCCGCGGGGGGACAGGGGCCGCGGGGGGACAGGGGCCCAGAGGGGACAGGGGCCCGCGGGGGGCCAGGGGGCCGCGGGGGGCCAGGGGCCCGCGGGGGGACAGGGGCCCGCGGGGGGACGGGGCCGCGGGGGGACGGGGGCCCAGCGGGGACAGGGGCCCAGAGGGGACAGGGGGCCCAGAGGGGACAGGGGCCCAGAGGGGACAGGGGCCCAGGGGGGACAGGGGCCGCGGGGGGACAGGGGCCGCGGGGGGACAGGGGCCGCGGGGGGACAGGGGCCCAGAGGGGACGGGGGCCCGCGGGGGGACAGGGGCCCAGAGGGGACAGGGGCCCAGGGGGGACAGGGGCCCAGGGGGGACAGGGGCCGCGGGGGGACAGGGGGCCGCGGGGGGACAGGGGCCCGCGGGGGGACAGGGGCCCAGCGGGGACAGGGGCCCAGAGGGGACAGGGGGCCCAGAGGGGACAGGGGCCCGCGGGGGGCCAGGGGGCCGCGGGGGGACAGGGGCCCGCGGGGGGACAGGGGCCCAGCGGGGACAGGGGCCCAGAGGGGACAGGGGGCCCAGAGGGGACAGGGGCCCAGAGGGGACAGGGGCCCGCGGGGGGACAGGGGCCCAGCGGGGACAGGGGCCCAGAGGGGACAGGGGCCGCGGGGGGACAGGGGCCCAGGGGGGACAGGGGCCCAGAGGGGACAGGGGCCGCGGGGGGACAGGGGCCCGCGGGGGGACAGGGGCCCGCGGGGGGACAGGGGCCCAGGGGGGACAGGGGCCCAGGGGGGACAGGGGCCCAGGGGGGACAGGGGCCGCGGGGGGACAGGGGGCCGCGGGGGGACAGGGGCCCGTGGGGGGACAGGGGCCCAGCGGGGACAGGGGCCCAGAGGGGACAGGGGGCCCAGAGGGGACAGGGGCCCGCGGGGGGCCAGGGGGCCGCGGGGGGACAGGGGCCCGCGGGGGGACAGGGGCCCAGCGGGGACAGGGGCCCAGAGGGGACAGGGGGCCCAGAGAGGACAGGGGCCCAGAGGGGACAGGGGCCCGCGGGGGGACAGGGGCCCAGCGGGGACAGGGGCCCAGAGGGGACAGGGGCCGCGGGGGGACAGGGGCCCAGGGGGGACAGGGGCCCAGAGGGGACAGGGGCCGCGGGGGGACAGGGGCCCGCGGGGGGACAGGGGCCCGCGGGGGGACAGGGGCCCAGGGGGGACAGGGGCCCAGAGGGGACAGGGGGCCGTGGGAGGACGGGGGGCCCACAGGGGGATAGGGGCCCAGAGAGCACAGGGGGGCCAGAGGGGACAGGGGCCGCGGGGGGACAGGGGCCCAGAGGGGACAGGGGGCCCAGGGGGGATGGGCCCAGAGGGGGGACAGGGGCCTGTGGACCCCCGAGGCGTCCTGCACTGTCCCTACGTTAGGACGTGGGGGGTGTTTCCTCCCCGAGAGTCTCGACAGGGTCTACGCCGTCTACACACACACACACACACACACACACACACACACACACCCCGCTGAGAAAAGACTGTGGTTTTATGTCCTGGAATAACTAACCAACCTCAGCATGGGCAGAATATTCTAGAAAGAATCTGGAACATAGTGCCTAGAGCTTAGGGAGTGGTGCTAAAACAGATCTTGTCTGCCTCTGATTCCCTGTGGAGCCAACCCTGGACCAAACCCCTCTGAGCCTCAGTTTCCCCATCTGTAAAATGGGGATGGCGAGTTGGATTCCATCCGGCCCGCTCTCCCCTGACGGAGAGCCCGGCCCCTGGACTGACAGTCCCTGGACTCTGGTCTGGTGTGTGTGTGGGGCCGGGACTCCCACGTGGCCACCTCCAGACCAAGCAGGGGAGTGAGGGCCAGGGGGCCTGGGAGCGGACGGCTCGTGGGGGGCTGCTGGCGGGGAAGCGCTGGGAAGGATGCGCAGTGACTGACATCATCACGGGCTCCGTCACCACGCGTCTGCCGCTGCCCCCCCCCCCCATGGCTGCGCCTCTGCTGCTGCTTCACTGTTTCTCCAACATGAAGCGCAGCTGGTCGGCAGGTGAGGGGAGCAGGGGGGGAGACGGGCGAGCCCCAGCCTCCACGCCCGCCCACCATCTCCCTCCCTCCACAGGTGGGCCGGCACCTCGACACCTTCCCCACCGAGGCCGACCGCCAGAGAGCCTTGAAGGCGCACCGGGAGGAGGTGGCCGTGCGCCGGGGGACCCTGCGGTTGGGCAACTACACGCACCCCTAGCCGCCCGCGGAGGAAAGCCCCGGAAGGACTCTGGTCTCGCCCACCCTGTTTTCTCGTGGGCTCTGCTGCTGCAGGGCCTCGGAGGCAGGTCTTCCGTTAGTTATTTTTGCTAAGACCCCCCCCCCCCCCCCCGCTCCCGCTTAGTTAGGCAACACTCGCTCGCCTTCGCCCAGCCTTCGCCCAGCGCCCCTCGCCCCGGGGGCCCGCCCACCGCCCTCTGGCAGGCCGCCGCCCCCTCTCACCCTCACCGCCCGCGCAGACCCAATCGCAGGCCGAGTCCGCAGGCTGTGCCCGCATCAGGGACACGTGCTCTAAGGCCCTCGTTAGACGCAAACACGAGTTCCAGCTGCTCCCCCGGGCGCCTGAGGCCCTCCACCTGCGGCAGGAGGGCCCCTCGCTCCTCGGGGCCTGCTCCCCCCGCCTTCTCCCCAGACCGACCCTGAGGGTGGACCTCAGAGAGCGAGCTGGAGGGCACAGAGGAAGGAATCCTCAGCCAACCCCGCGGCTCCGGCCCCCATCCCCGGCTCCTCCCCGCACAGATCTGACCTATTTTAATTAAAACGCGCTGTCAGCCTCCTGTGTCTCTATCGGGAACGTGCAGTGCGAGCGGGCGCGGGAGCGGCCTCGGACTCTCCGATCCCGCTGCGGCTGCAGGAGGCGCCCCGAGGCCCGTTAGCTCCCCTGGCCTCCCCCAGCGGACTGCCCCGGCTTCCCAAACCTCATTTCCGGCTCGAGCACTCCTCCCCGGCCGGAGCACTCCTTCCCCAGCCCGAGTACTCCCCCTCCAGTCTGAGCACTCCCGCCCCCAGTCTGAGCACTCCTCCCCCCCCCGCCTGAGCACTCCTTCCCCCCCCCCCCGCCTGAGCACTCCTCCCCCGGCCGGAGCACTCCCCCCCCCGCCTGAGCACTCCTCCCCGGCCGGAGCACTCCCCCCCCAGCCCGAGCACTTCCCCCCCAGTCTGAGCACTCCCGCCCCCAGTCTGAGCACTCCTCCCCGCCCCCCGCCTGAGCACTCCTTCCCCTCCCGCACTCCCCCCCCAGTCTGAGCACTCCTCCCCCCCCTCCCCGGCCTGAGCACTCCTCCCCCAGCCGGAGCACTCCTTCCCCAGCCGGAGCACTCCCGCCCCAGTCTGAGCACTCCTCCCCGCCCCCCGCCTGAGCACTCCTTCCCCCCCCCCCGCCTGAGCACTCCTCCCCCGGCCGGAGCACTCCTTCCCCTCCCCCAACCCCCACCAGCCCGAGCACTCCCCCCCCCCCGCCCGAGCACTCCTCCCCCGGCCTGAGCACTCCTTCCCCGGTCTGAATGCTCCCCCCTCCTCGCACCCCCCGCCCCCCGCCTGAGCACTCCTCCCCAGACGCCAGCTTATGTTCCAACTTGGGACAGAACCCTGACCTTCCCGCCAACCTGCTGCTCCCTCCGAATCCCCCTAGCATGCACGGGCCTCCTCCAACCCCGCTGTCGGGGCCAAGTGTGTCCCTCACCCCTGACACCTCACCCATCGAGCCCCGGTCACTTCCCAGCCCCTCCTGGCCCGCCTTTCTCTCCGGCCCTCTTCCCTGGGGAACGTCAGTGGATCCCTGAACCCCCTCCCGCTCCCCTCACCCACACCACGGAGCAGCCCTCACACTGGGTGGCGTCCCTCCACCTGGAGGCGGAGGAGAGACCCACACTCCTGCCCAGGCCGGGCGGGACCCCAGGTGAGAGCTGGGCCATCCCTCTGGCACCACCCCCTGCCCACAGGCCCCCCGCCCTCACGCCTCCTGCACCTCCTGCCACAGGAACCTGCGTGCTTCCCCCGCCAGGCACCAGGGCCCCCTCACAGGGCCTGCCCTGACCGGCTCCTGCTTTATGCTCCGGACACAGTGACCCTGTGGAGCCTGGCTTCTCAGAAAGGAGGTGGCGTGGGGTCAGGAGGCTCAGGCCCAGACCCAGAGCCAAGGGCCCGCCTGGGAGGGGCCAGGCCCGGGCGCAGTGCCCCCTGATCTCTGTGAAAGGACCTCAGCGTGAATGTTCGCGGTGACTCACGCCCCCTACAGGCCAGGCCGGGCCTGGCAGGGACAACCAGCCTGGTGGTTGGCGATCTGAGTGAGTTCCCCTGGCAGCTGCCCGGGTGCAGGCACAGCCGAGTCCACAGGAAAGCCAGATGCACAACCCCCTCAGGACTGGGGTCAGCCGGGCCTTCCCGGACCCCACCCCGCCCACAGGAGCCGGAGCAGAACACCCCCCTCCTCTCGGCTAAAGCACCGAAGCCTGCCCGCCCCGGGGAGAGGCCTGGCCCCGAACCCCGCAGCCAGCCCCTCGGTCCAGGGCGCAGAGCCCAGCTCCGCCCGGCCATGTCTGTGTGACCTTCGGCCAGTGTCCTAGCCCCTCTGTGCCTCACCCTGAGACAAAGCCCCGCACAGGCCACACCGGACGACGACTGCAGGAAAGGAGGTGCGGCAGCTGAGCCGGAGCCCTAACACGTGTGCGTTACCACTTTCCTACCATAAAGCGCCCCGAGGGCGAGAGAGGAGGTTCCGGAACAGCCTGTGGGTCCCGGTGCATCGAGAGGGAAAAGGTGTTTACAGCACCCCTGTGTCTGAACCCCTCACGCGAAGGGAAGGGGGGCCCGCTTGCTACGCCAACGAGGCAGATGCCCAGGGCAGTGCCCCCCCCCCAGCCCTGTCAGGCTGGCTGTGCCAAGAGGAAAGTGTGGGCTGGGCCAGAAAAGGCTGCGGCAACCTCTCACACCTGATCATCCCTTCCCGCCCCGCCCGCAGACGGCGGGCGGCGCTGTGGGACTTGCTGGGCTGTGCCGGTCACCCGGTCACCCAGGGGCAGCGCCCTCCGTCCCCTCCTGGATCCGGCTCTGGGTGCGCCCCGCCTGGGCGGAAGCCGCTCTCCTCCGAGGGGCCCTCAGCTCCTTGTCCTACAGCGCCACCCGCTGGCAGGCCCGAGCCCACGGCCGCGGAAGCGCCCAGCTCTCCCCTCCCCCGTGGCTCCTCCCTCATTAATTATTTGCACCCGCACCAGGCCCCAGGTCGGGTTCCATCTCACCCACCTTCTTAGGTGTCCTGGCGCACCTGCCGCAGCCGGTCCCCGCCAGTGCCGACCGGGCCGAGGAGTCCCTCTGCCGGCCCTTCCTGGCCTGTGACCGCCATCCTGTGTCCCGGGGCTGCCCCTCGGACCATTTCTCACAGACTGTGGCCCCGGGGAGAGCCCAGCCTAAGCCTAGCTCTCCGTCCCAAGTCCTAGTCAAGCCGAGGCCAGTGCTACGTGAGGCAGCCGTGCCCAGCGTGTGGCATGCACCCGTCTCTGCTCATTCCCCAGCTGATTGGCATTTGCGGATGTTTTACCTCCTGGTTGGGTTTCCTGGCAACAGCCCGTCAGAGACTGAACAGAGCCCAGACGGGGGCCCCAGGGGGAGGGGGCTGGTCTGGACCTTCCCCTGGCGGCCTGGAATTCTTGAAGTGCCCCTGCAGCAGGAGGGAGGGGTGCCCACGCTGGCAGGAGGGGGGAAGGGCCGTGCAGGGAGCCTTCGGCAGGGACTTGGGGAGACGCCAGTCCCGAGAGAGGAAGGGGCCCAGGTGCTTAGCAGCCCTCGAGGCAGAGCAGACCTCTTGGCTGGGAGGTCAGCTTTCTTTTCACGCCGACTCTCCCCCCTGACTCTATTCTATTTCCAGATCATTCTACCAAAGCCCAAACCTCATTCATTCTCTCACTGCCTCTCTCTCTCTCTCTCTCAACCAGATAATTAATAATTTCCTTGCTAAGAAGACAGCGAGGGGGTGGGGTCCGGAATCTGGCTGCTGTGCAGGGTTTTAGCAGCGATGGCAGCAAAGAACCAGGCAGAGGCGGTTCCTGCGACTGGCGGGCCTGACGAGAGAGCATGGCTCATGGGCCAGGAGACCCCAGACCACAGCGAAGGCCTGGCATTTGGGCCCACCCGTCCCAGCTCCCCAACTGGTGCTGGTTAGAGACCACAGATTTGGGGTTCAGAGGAAGCCCGTCTCCTGGCAGCAGGTGGACCAGCGGCTCCCGGGGGGCCTGCCTTCAGCCAGCCCGGCCTCCGCCCCCATTGCGCGCCTCCTCCTGCATTTCCCTCCTGGAGACAGACCACCTTTTCCTTCCTTCCTTTTCACTTTGGAAATCTCTGATGCTTGAACTCATTAAAGAATGTAAACAAGCTCTGCTGGCTCAGGGGTTGAGCGTCAACCTAGGAACCAGGAGGTAGCAGTTCAATTCCCGGTCAGGGCACACGCTGGGTGGCAGGCTTGATCCCCATTGGGGGCGGGCAGGAGGCAGCCTATCGATGACTCTCGTCATTGATGTTTCTATCTCTCCCTCCCTCTCTTCCTCTCTGACATCAGTAAAAGTAAATATATTTTAAAAAGAAAACAAAAGCTAGGTTGGCTTTTCACCCAGGTTCCCGGAATGGAATGCAGGGGGGCGGCAGGGAGGGCACAGGGGGGAAGTCCCCCGTGAGGGGACGGGGATGGGTGAGCTCCACGCCGACAGGGCGGCAGCCAGCCTGCGCACTGGGTGTGCGTGCGGGGGTGGGGGTGGGGCTGCTTGCGTGAGAGAGGGCGGAGGGACGGGGAGAAAGAATAGCCTCGCTCTGGTTTCGGGAGCTCCGTGGGGTTTGGGGCCAAACCAACAAAATGGCTGAGAACAGCCTGACCTTGAGGCCCACAAACCCTCCAAGTCCTCGTCCCACCCATCTGTCTGCAGAAAGCGCCGCCGCCCGGCTGGCCTGTCCGCCCACCCTCCCCTCCTCGCCGAACACTGGATTTGGTCGGAGGCCCTGGGCAAAGCGGGAGCTGACCTCTGGAGTGTGTCTGGGGGGAGGGGGGAGGGGTGGGTGGGTGGGTAGGGGACGGCTAGGGAGACCAGCCTGGTGCTCCAAGCTGCCAGGTCTGCTGTTAGGTCCGGGGCCGCGCTGGGCCATCAGCGCTGCCTCTCCCGGCCCACCTGTCCTCGCGGCCAGCAGGTGAGGACGCGGCTCAGGAAGTGTTTGCTGGGGTCACACGGAGGCGGAAGGTGGGCGGTCAGGCCCTGGCCTAAGGTACCGTTGACGGGGTTGCTCTGAAACTCAGCCACCAAGACAAACGGTATATTTTGTCAGCCTAAGTTTTAAATAGGAACCGTTTCAATAAAGACCTCGGGCCTGGGTTCTGAGCCAGGTCCGCTCCCAGTCCCGTCCGGCAGCTTCTGGAGCCACACGCAGCCTGAGGCATCGAGGCACTGGCCTCTGGTGTGGCTGCTCGGTGGGAAGGGTGGATGGAGCCGAAGGTCACTCCTGAGCTCCCCCGGCTCTGCGGCTCCGGAAGGTGCAACCTTCCTCAAGGCAACCTCATCTGCTCCGGGCTGGGCGGCCTCTGGGGGGCTGGGGGGGCTGGGAGCCAGGCCATAGCCAAACCCACGCCAAAAGAGCCCGGTGCAGGGATGTGATCTGCAGCCAGGCTGCCTCCTCCACGCCCCTGGGGCCCCTGGTGTTAGCATCTGTGTCAGACAGAAAGGCAGAGGGCGGGACCGGAGGTCCGGCTGTGGAGAGGGGACAGGGCCCTGGGCAGCACACTCCCTGCTCTGGGAAAGGGGCTGCTCTGTCTGGGGGCGGTGCGGGGGGGGGGGGGGGGGGTCCTAGGGCCTCAGGGCCATGAGAAGCTGAAGGATGAAAAGCAATCAGTGGATGATGGGCGAGGACTGGGACTTGCAGCTACAGGTGGAGGAGGAGGGGACGGGGAGGAGGGGTGGGAGCCCTGAAGAGGGCTGGGCGCTGGCTGCCCATTCTTGGCCTTGAGTCCTGGCTGCCAGTCCTGGGAATGCCGGTCACCCAATTCCCCTCCCTTCCCTGTGCTTCCTCTGGGGGGCGGGGATCAGCCAGGGGCAAGGCCTGCCTCTTGCTCCCCCAGGTTCACACCCAGCCCCCAGGCCCTCCTACCCTCGGGGACCACCGGGCTCCTCTCTCGAAGGGAGGACGGGCCGCCCACCCAGGACCCCGATGCCTCAGTGGAATAGAACGGGGCAGGTGTGGGCTCTCCGAGGTGCAGGGAGGACCGGCCATGGGGAGGGAGGGAGCAGGTGGGGGTGGAGCTGGGAGGCCGACCAGGAGTGAAGTGATGTCCTGAGGCGGCCATGCCGCACCCAGGTGTCCTGAAGCCTCTGAACCCCCTGAGCTCAGAGAGGCTGGGGGAGCCGGAGGAGAGGGGGGGGGGAGAGAAAGGGGGGTAAAGGCGGGGGGGGGGGCGGGAGGAGAGGCTGGGGAAAGCAGGGGCTGCAGGGGTCCGGGATCAGGAGGCTCGTTTTCACTCTCACACCGCGCACCGTCCCCGCCCGCCGCAGCCTCCCCGCAGGGCCCGCCGGCGCCCCGGGCCTCCCTTCGCCGCCCGGGATCCCAGCGCAACCGCCAACCGCTGGCAGGGCGGGCGCTCCGGCGTCTGCGGCGGCGGCCGTGGGCCCTAACGGGCAAAGACGGGGTCCCCCTGAGCCACTCGGGGTGCCCCGGGGGACGCGGGCGCAGAGTGGGGTGACAGCGGAGCTGGGCGCGGGGTCCCCGGAGCCGCCCGGCAGGACCAGGCCCACGCCCGGGGCGGCGGGAAGGGCCCCGGACTGAAGCCCTTCTCCTCCCGCCGAGCGGAGCCCAGCGGCCGGCGGCCCCGCGGAGGCGCAGGGCGGGCCCGGCCCTCCGCCCCGGCGCCCGCTCCGCCTCCCGACAGCTTGCAGCCGAGCCGGGCGCGCCGTCCCCGGGGAGCCGGTCCTCGCCCCGCTCGGCCGGCGGCGGGGCCGCTTCCAATCTGCCGGCGGCGCGGGGGGCGGGGGCCGGGCCCGGGGAGGAGGAGAAGTTCCCGCCGCCGGTGCGGGGTCCGGGCTGGTCCCAGCGCGGGAGGGGCGGCGGCCTCCGGCGCGGAGCCGGCGCGGGGCCGGGGGTCGGAGGCAGGGCGCGAGGACCCGCCTCGGAGGCCCCACGGCAGCCCGCGGGCGAGACTCCCTCCGCCTTGGACCGCAGACCCGGTCCCGGTCCCCGAGCCGCTGGGAAAGGCCCTGGACGCGCTTCCGACGCGGGCCGCACCGGGGCAGGGGTGCACCCCGAAAGGCAGGGGTGCACCCCGAAAGGCAGGGGCGCACCCCAAAAGGCAGGGGCGCGGGGGGTGGAAAAGCACGGGAAGCGGCGGCGGCGGCTGCCCTCGCCCCGAAGGCCCTCGCGCTCCCCGTTCAGAGGCGCAGAGACAGGGATCGGGGGCCGGGCCGCCGCAGGTCCCGCTGGATGGGGGCCCTGCCGCCTCCCCCATGCCGCCCGGATTCCTAGGGGCCCCCAGCGTCCCGGACACGACTCTCCACCCTCCCACCCTCTCCACCCCCACCCCTACCCTCTCCACCTCCACCCCCACCCCCCACCCCAGGGAAGCCGCTTCCCGCCCTCCCGGGCGCACACCCGCTCTCCCGCCCGCCAGGCCGCAGGGCTCCACGAGGGCAGAGAAGGGCCACAAAGCGCCCCACGCGAGACACCTAGGACTCCGGAAACACCCAGCACCCCGGAAACGGCCCCAGGACGGGGCCCTCCGCACACACCCGCTCCGGCGCCGGTGGGCCCCTCTCCGCGGCGGAGGAAGAAGGACCAGGAGGGCCGAGAACAGGGCCCTGGGACAGCCCCGGGGCGAATCGCTTGAATAACGGCCGGAAAGGGTCGATGAGAACTTAAAAAACAAACAACTCACATCCCGAGCCTCGGGGCGCCGCGGGCTCGGACCCCACCCTCCCGCCCCCGCTAATCACCCCGTTAGGGGCCCCATCGCGGCCTAATGATGGCAAACCGCGCGGAACCGCCGCACACAGTGGGGGCCGGGCGGTAATTAATTCGGTGTCTCTTTTAATCAAATGGAAAGGGAATCGGGCCGCGACCGCCGAGCCGTGACATCACCCCCAAAACCGGCCGCAGCCAATCAGCGGCGTCACTCCGGGGACACGTGGGCTGGCCCCCTTTAAAACACACACACACACACACTCACACACTCACACTCACACTCACACTCACACTCACATACACACACAGTCACTCACACTCACACTCACACTCACACCGCATACCGAGGGAAAAGAGAAACAAAACCCGGCCCCAAAGTAGTGACCCGAGTTCATCCCGTGAGGCGGGGCCGGCGGAGCGCGGAGGACGGACGGGGAGCGCGGGGCCGGGCGCTGTCCGCGGTGCTGACGGCCGGCGCGGGGCGCGGAGCCGGACCTGCCCCGGAGAGCCATGCGCCCCGGGCCGCCGCCGCTGTCCGCGGTGCTGACGCCGCCGGGTGCGCGCCGCCGCGCCCGCCCGTAGCCCGCGGCCCCCGGCGGTGCGGGCCCGCCGCCTGCGGCCACGTCGCCCGGAGGAAGCGCGCGGCGTGGATTTCCAAACGCCGTTCTCTCTAGATTCCAACACCCTCGGGCCTCTCCTGCGCCAGAGGAGCGCCCGGGCCGTCCGTCTCCCCCTTTGCGCTCCCCAACTTGGCGCGCCCTCCCTCCCGTCCCTCCCTGACACTCCCACCACCCCCCCTCGGCTGGCGGCGAGGCGCGATGCCGCAGAAGACGCGCTGAGCCCTCTCGGATCTAATGCGCAGAGGAGGTTGGCCCAGAGCTGCCGGGCTCCCCCGAGGCTGAACTCCATCCAAGGTGCCCGCAGGCTCCCTGCCCGCCTTCCCCATGCCAGCCCGCAGCTAGGGGCGAGGACAGCGCGGCCGGGCTGGGGTGGGTGGGGAGCTGCCGGAGGGGACAGGCGGACGCTTGGCTATGGAAGGCTCCAATGGCTTTGGGATCGACTCCATCCTCTCCCACCGGGCGGGCAGCCCCGCCCTCCCCAAGGGGGACCCCCTGCTCGGGGACTGCCGCTCACCCCTGGAGCTGAGCCCTCGCTCGGAGAGCAGCAGCAGCAGCGGCTGCTCCTCACCGGCCTCGCCGGCAAGGGACTGCCTGGAGGCGGGCGCCCCGAGGCCTGGCGCTGGCGGGGCGCCGGGCCCGGGCCTGGACTCGCACCTGCAGCCGGGGCAGCTCTCGGCCCCAGCCCAGTCGCGCACGGTGACCTCCTCCTTCCTGATCAGGGACATCCTCGCCGACTGCAAGCCCCTGGCGGCCTGCGCGCCCTATTCTAGCAGCGGGCCGCCGGCCGCCCCTGAGCCCGGGGGCCGCCTCGCACCCAAGGCGGGGGAGGACTTCAGGGACAAGCTGGACAAAGGGGGCAGCAACGCCTCGTCCGACTCCGAGTACAAAGGTAAGACGGAGGCGGGGGCGGGAGCTGGGGGAGCTGTGTTTCTGAAAACCGGCAGGAAACTTTGTGCACACGGAGGGCTCAGCACCGGCCGGCTCCGAGCGCCCCCTCCCCGGCCCGGGGCCTTGGCCCGCGGAGCAGGAGCAGCCGGCCTGTCCGAACCTCCCGCTGCCCGTGGCTATGCCTCTGAGCAACTAAGATCTGGTGGAGACCTCGGGGAAGGGGACTCTATGCGCCCCAGGAGAGACCCCCAAATGCACAGAGCAAACTTTCCAAACTTCCGCCGAGTCTGCCCTGCCAGGGGGGCTGAAGGGCAGGAGCGGGCGCCCCTCTGGCCAGAGGCAGAGAAAAGACAGCGAAACCACAGACCCCGAGGGCTCTGCTGAGCGCCCTCCTCCGAAGAGTGAATTCTAAGAACAGTCAGAACTCTCCGCCCTTTCATCTGGGTTTCCTGAGAGAGAAACCGGCCTTCGCCTCCCCATGGGCCCAGCGGAGCTCTGGGTCCCGGGAATTATGCAAAAGGAATGCTCACTTCAAAGGAGCGGCAGCAGCAGGCGGGGCTGGGAGGCTGGCGGGGAGCGGGTCCGAGGGCTGGTCCAGAGGGAAGCCCTGCACCCACCCAGCGGTTCTCACTGAATTTGATTTTTAGGAGAATGGAGCGATCTCCGAGCGGCCAGCCCCCGTCCCCTTACCTGGGAGTCACTGGCCCTTTGCTTGCCTCTCACCTCTGTGAACCTGTCCTTGTTCCCTTTCATCCGCCTTAACCAGGGAGCTGAGACCAAGAGGAGGGGGGAAGGGAGGGGAAAAGAAGGAAGAAGGAAGGGAATCGGGAAAAGGAGAACCCTAATTTTATAGTCGCCCGCGTGGCCGGGCCCCTGCCTGGACGTCAGCTCCTTGACCAGTTCTCTCCCCGCAAGAAGTGGGAGGCAGGCGGGGGGCGGGGGGGAGTCAGGGCTTCGGCGACAGAGCCGTGTCCCCTGCAGCGGAAGCCCGGCTGGCCGAGGCCCTTCGGAGCTCTGTCAGCTCGGAATTAATTCCCAGCCCGTTTCCTCAGACAGAACTTCCCTGCTTGGGCGGCTGCTCTGCCGCCTCGGGCCTGCACCTCCGGCCCCTGTTTGTACCCATCTTCACAAAAACACAGACCGGCTCGGAGCACTCTCCTTCCGGCAGAGAATTCGTTTGTGGACAGGCCCTGACCTCAAACCCACACCGCGCGGGGCCCCACGCCCCATCTCGCTGTCCTCGGCTTCCCCAGCGCCGCCCGCCGGCCCCAGGCAGCCCGGCCGCCAGGAAGCGGCAGGTGGAGCGGAGCACCCCGGAGGCCGCGGGCTTGGGGCCCAGAACCCCCGGCTCCACCCCAGGGCTGCTTCCCGCGGCAAAGCAAACCTGCCGGGGAGGACGGGTGCGGGAAGGCAGGGACGGCAGAGCAGCGGCAGGACCGTCTATTTATAACCGTGTTTTGTTGTTCGGAATTCTCAGCAGCACCCGCTTTGTGGCAGAGTGAGGGGCAGGAATGGCCAACGGCGGTGCCGGGGCGGAGAGCATCGGGCTCCTGTCTCCTTTTATTTGGGATTTTGAGGGGAGGTTTCGTTTCAGATCCTGGGAATATCAGTGTCCCGGGTCCGAGAAGATGTCTAATTGGGGAGCGGGAGGGCCGCTGTCCGTGTATCTTTCGGGTCGGAGAGGAGGAGGGTGGGCGGTCTTCCCACCCCACCCTGAGGCGGTGCCGCCTTCGTGCCCACAAAGCCGGGGTGAAAGGGTGGGGACGGCCGAGCCCGGAGCGGCGCAGGCTGCTTTTTCGGGGCCGAGGAAGAGGCTGGTGGGGACACAGAGCAGCCGGGGGCCTCATCCCACCCACTTCCCCGAGCGAGTCCTCTGCTCCATGGAGGGCCTGGGGGGTGGTCAGTCTTCAAAGGCTCCGAAGATAACGAAAGTCCAAAGTGCTGTTTGGAAGGAGCCAGGCCAGGCTTCCAGGGAGGGAGGTCTGCCGGGACTCCAACGTCTGTCCGTCTGTCCATCTGTCCGTCCGTCTGTCAAGAAACCGAGCGGACACTCTGCTCCAAACCACCCTCCCCCCAGGGCAGGGGCTGGGGGGGGGTCTCAAAAACTCCGGGGCGTTGAGGTGTGGCCTCCGGGCTGGGAGCCGAGGCCGCAGGGGGCGGGCCGGTTTGGGGTGGCACAGAGGCGGCCTCCAAAGGCTCCCGCGCTGGGAGGATTAGAGAAAAGCCCAGCTCCCCACCACCAGCTTCCCTCCCCCAGCTCAGCCCTCAGCCTCAGCCTCAGCCTCAGCCCTCAGCCCTCAATCCTCAGCCTCAGCCCTCAGCCCTCAACCCTCAGCCTCAGCCCTCAGCCTCAGCCCTCAGCCTCAGCCCTCAGCCCTCAACCCTCAGCCTCAGTCCCAGCCTCAGCCTCAGCCTCAGCCCTCAGCCCTCAACCCTCAGCCTCAGTCCCAGCCTCAGCCCTCAGCCCTCAACCCTCAGCCTCAGCCCTCAGCCTCAGCCTCAGCCTCAGCCCTCAGCCCTCAACCCTCAGCCTCAGCCCTCAGCCCTCAGCCCTCAGCCCTCAGTCCCAGCCTCAGCCTCAGCCTCAGCCTCAGCCTCAGCCCCCAGAAGCGGGGTTTTCACAAACAGTCCAGCGGGCAATTAGGCCAAGAAGCCAGGTTTCCGAGATTTCGCATTGGAGTTCGGACCGTTGTCTCCGTGCACTTTGTTAAACTTTTCCTGCGGAGCCGGCTCCCAGCGCCGGCCCAGTGCCGTGCCGGGCGGGAGGGCAGGGCGGCCGCTGGGGCGGAGGCGGCGTTTTCTCCCCGGAGGCTCTCCCGGCCCGCCAGCCGCCTCGGTGCACACGGCGCCCGCACCTCCCGCTGCAAACCCAGGCCTTTCCGGTTGAGACGGCTCCCTCCCCGGTGGCTCAATTAACCGGATTATTGTTTCCCGCAGAGAGGAATCAGCTCGCATTCAGCTGAGCCTTGTCACTACACACGCCAGGCACGAGGCTCACTGTGAAGGAGAGGCGGAGAGAATAAGGGGGGAGCCCCAGCCGGACCCCCTTTGGGGGAAGTGGTCTCTCTGGTTACACCTCGCGTTAGGGGAGGAGGAGGGAGACCGAGTTTGCTTGGCCAGTGTGCGCTTCCGTGCCGTCACCCCCGCGAGAGCCGACCATGGTGTTTGGGAAAAATAAACCCTCTTGTCGGGTCCTGTCCTTGGGCTTCAGGCGTGAGAACTCTGCTGGGGGTCCCCCCGAGGGGCAGAACCCCCCCCCCCCCCACACACACACAATGCAGAGCTAGTTGGGAGCCACAGTGGGCGTAGTGCGGACCGGGGAACGGACTCTGCACAAACCCATCGCTTAATTTTCCAAGACCAGGCGCCTGCGATTCGCCCTGAGCTCAGCCTCGGGCACCGGGCGCTGCTGCAGCTTAGGACCCGGCGGGACCGGCGTTTTAGGTCTGCACCCCCAGGGGCCGGGAGGTGTGGGTGCGGTTACTGTCCGGACCAGGGTTCGCTCCGGGCGCACAGCGTCCTGTCCCTCCAAGCGGGTTTTCCTCCCCAGACTCCAGCACTCAGCTTCCGCCCTCACCGGCCCCCCTGCAGCCAGAGCATCCGGCAGCCACTGGCGGGGACCCCTGCACCCCTCCTGGGCGGGCGTCCCGCCAGCCACTGGGCTCACCCCTCCCCTCGGGGAGCGCAGGGAAAGGGGGTTGTGTCCTCTCGGTTTTGGGCCACGTCTCCCGGGGGGGTCAGTCCTCCATCCGGGGCCGTGGTCCCGGTTCCCAGTGGCTTTGCCGCAGACAGGGCCACTGCTGTCTGGGAGCCCCGGTTACCGGAGCGACCGCGCCAGCCGGGGGAGCGGGCGCGGGGCGAGGCCGGGGGAGCTGGGCGGGAGGGCGCCAGCCGGCGGGCACAGGGCGCGGGGCGAGGCGGGCCTGACGCGCCCCTGTGCCCGCAGTGAAGGAGGAGGGCGACCGGGAGATCTCCAGCTCGCGGGACAGCCCCCCGGTGCGCCTGAAGAAGCCGCGCAAGGCGCGCACCGCCTTCACCGACCATCAGCTGGCGCAGCTGGAGCGCAGCTTCGAGCGGCAGAAGTACCTCAGCGTGCAGGACCGCATGGAGCTGGCCGCCTCGCTCAACCTCACCGACACGCAGGTCAAGACCTGGTACCAGAACCGCAGGTGAGGCCGGCTGTGGGGTGCGGGCTGGGGGCAGCAGTAGGACGGAAGGGGCTCCCTCGCCTTTCCTACCCCCTCCACGGAGCATGTCCAAGGCCTGACCATAGGGGCCATGTGAACGCAGGGACACCGGGACCCAGGAGAGAGGGCCTTGCCCAAACCCTGCCCGCATCACAGACAGGCAGGAGCCGGCCTCCAGCGCCAGGCCTCCCCCAGGGCGGGGGGCAGACAGACCATGGGCCCCACCTGCCGCCTGAACTCAGACTTAGGGCCCCGAGTCCTCCCGGGGGAGCCTCAGGCCAAAGCAGGTGGTGGTCTGTGTCCAAAGTATTTTTCTGGGAGGACAGTAGGCGGGTCCCTGGGGTGGGGAGGGGGTGGGGATGGTAGGGAGGTAGGGGGCCGGGGCTGTTGGGGGTGGGGTCGGGGAGGGCTCTGGGCTCTACCAGCCTCTCTGGCCTTCGGTCTTTCTGGTGCTGAAACAGGGCAGCTCCTCCGGGGACTGGGGAACTGGTGTTTTCTAATCTCCTTCCCTACCACACTCAGGGACAAAGATACACATATACCAACACACACGCACATACACACTCAACCCATGGTCTCACACACACACAGGCACACACACACACAACATAACTCACCCTCACACAGAACACACACAACATAACTTACCGTCAAACAGAGCACACACACACAACATAACTCACCCTCATACAGAACACGCACAGGCACACACACACAACATAACTCACCGTCACACGGAACACGCAGCCCCACGCCCCTCGCACACGGGCAGAGGCCGGCCGGCGCGCTCCATAAACAAGCCTCCGGACGCATCGGCCATGAATAATAAATACGATCCCTGCTCCGGGCATCAATAATTAAGGCCCGTTACAGTAATTACACAATTATGACGACGATGAATAATTCAGGGAGGGGACCGGCCGGTGTGGGAGTGTCCGGGGACACTCAGGGTCCGCGCCCCAACCTCCTGGCCGCCCCCCTCTTCAGCGGCCTTGGGGGTTTGACGGGCTGAGGTGCCCCAGCCCCGGACCTGGGTGACGGAGAGGGTGTGCGGGGCGGGGCGGGGGCGCCTTCTGCAGAAGCGCCTGCCTGGGCTCCTGGGGTGCAGCCTCGCCCACAGGTGGTAGCAAACCCAGGTTCCCGGTCCTCTCTCCGGGCTATCTTGCCTGGGGGGTGTGTGTGGGGCGGGTGCAGCTGTGCCTCCCTGGACAGATGAGAGGTTAGAGGCCGGAGCAGGGCTCTGCCAGGTGGGGACCATCTGGGGAAGTGCCTGCACCTCCGTTTGTTTCTCTGCAAACGGGGCTGAGTGGCCGTGGGAGGCCGGGGCCGTTGGAAGGAGCTGATTCGTGTAACCCGGGCAAGCGGAGCCTGGCACTCCCTTACTGACACCTTGGTGGGTCCCCGGGGCCTCCCGCAGACCATGGGCCCCGCACCCAGGGGCGGGGTGTCTGGACCGCGGGGCGTCCGGGCCGCGGAGCTGTCTGGCCTCGGCCCTGACCCCGCCGGCGTTGATTTCGGCCCCCAGGACCAAGTGGAAGCGGCAGACGGCCGTGGGGCTGGAGCTGCTGGCGGAGGCGGGCAACTACTCGGCGCTGCAGCGGATGTTCCCGTCGCCGTACTTCTACCCGCAGAGCCTGGTCTCCAACCTGGACCCGGGCGCCGCGCTGTACCTGTACCGCGGCCCCAGCGCACCGCCGCCCGCCCTGCAGCGGCCCCTGGTGCCCCGCCTGCTGCTGCACGGCCTGCAGGGCGCCGAGCCCCCGCCGCTGCCCCCGCTGGCCGGCGTGCTGCCCCGCGCCGCGCAGCCCCGGTGAGCGCCCGGTCCCCCTGCCTCCGGCCGCGCGTCCCCGGGGGCCAGATGCCAAGTCTCCTGCAGCCGGACCCGGACCTAGGACCCCGGGCCCAGCCCCCCAGCCTCCCTGGGCCCTCCCTCTCGGCCAGCCCACGGGAGCACTGCCACCCACGGATGTACATACACGGCACCCCTGCAGCGCCAGGGCCACCCTGTTGTCCCTCCCAGAAGCCGCCGGGCGCCCCCAGAGGCGCTCTGCACCCCGCACTCCCGCCAGCACCCAGCCCACCCGCACGCGGCCGTGGAGGGGCGGCCGCCTGTACATACGGTGTGCAAAGTGTATATGAGGTTATTTATTCGTGACCTGAGCCGTGACCGTGTCCGTGAGTCTGTGCCCTGTGCCCCGAGCTGCCCCCTGCAGGCGGGGCAGGAAGGGGCCGGGGCCTGCCCAGCCCTGACCCAGCCCCACCGGCGCTCGGCTCTCGCTTTTTTAAATGTGAAATAAACTTCGTACAAAGGACGGCGCCTGTGCGGGCAGCTTCTTCACCCCCTGGCCCCTCTGAGTGTCCCCTCCCGGGACCCCGCTCCCTCCCCCCCCCCCCCCCTCCCCGCTTCCCGGTGCTGCCCGGGCGGGTTTCCTGGCTTCGATCTCCCTCTCTCCCGGGTGAGAGCTCACCTCCACCCCCGCCTCCGCCTCCCCTCCATCTGGCCCGCTGCCCCAGCCTGTCCCGGGGGCCGGTGGGTCAGCGGCCGGCGCTGCGGCTGGGCTGGGCCGCGGTGCCCTCGCTGAGCCGGCTCATCTGGCCGCGACACGGGCGCCGGCAGCTGGTGACCGGCCGGCCGGGCGCAGGCCTGACAGATGGGCTCCGAGGCGGCCCCCCCCCCGCCCCCCGCCCTCCGCCCCGCGTCCGGTCCCCGGAGGGTGGGACCCCAAGAGCTTTCGCTGGGAACCTGACGCCCAGCGGGTACCCCCACTTCCGCATCGCCTCCCTCTGCGCCCCGAGTAAGAGTAAGTGGGGGATGAGCCGCAGAGGGGATGGGGGAAGGGGCTTACATCTCAGCCTCACTCCAGGCCTCCAGCTCAGGGTCAAAGGGCAAGGTCACCTCCTGAGGCCTTTCCCTCCCCCACCCCCCACCCCCTGCAGCTCACACGCCCGGGACCGAAGGCACGCCCAGGGCAGGAGATTGGGGCTTGACGACCTAGCCCCTTCCTTTGGTGGCACGGTGGTGTCCGGAGGGCTGCCTGGAGGTGGAGGGGGGGCAGCTTACACCACTACGATGGCTCCCTAACCCATCCCCCCCAACCCCCCTCCCCCACCCGCACACCCGGCTCCCGTTCGGGAGGAGAGGGCATTATTCTCACTCTGCAAAGTGCACAGCAGCTAATTAAGTCGAGGGGCCGGCTTTGGGGTGGTTTGCATGTGAATGGGGGCGGCAAATCCCCAGCTCGGGCGGCGGCGCGGGGCGGGGACCGCGGGCCGGGTTAATGAAGTGGGAAAGGAGTCTCTCAGAGCCCCGTGCAAACAAGCCCCGACACAACCCCGCCGGGGCGCGGGCGGACTGAGACCCAGGGGATAAGTGCTCCCGATTAATCTCATTGAATAAGAATGAGACCAAACAAAACTCTCTAAAATCATATTAAAAATCTATCAGAGGACGACGCGCACTGGTGTGCTGCTCCTTGTGCGCCAGTGGGGGCGGCGGCCTCCGACGCCCGGCCCGCGCCCGGACCCCGCGCCCTGTAATTGTCCTTGTTCCGCGGGGGCGGCCCGCCTCGCACTAATGAAGAACAAGCCTCCGACAAGTTCCAATCACGGTGTTTTAAACGGCCCTGCGCGTCCCGCGGCAACAACCTCGGCCTCTGGCTAGGCGGGCTCCGCTCCCAGCGCCCTAGGTGGAGCCGGGCAGTTCCAGCCCCGGGGCTGGGCGAACCCGCATTTAAAAGAGAAAAAGGTGTGATCGTCCCACTCCTCCCAGCAGGCGGGACAGGAAGAGGCCCAGGCTTCTGCCCCCTCCCATGCTCCTTCTCCCCCCCCAACCCCCAATAAGCCTAGACTCCCAACCGGGAGGGGCAGCAGGGGTGGAAAGCTCAGACTCCCGGAGCCTTGGTGTGAGGCTGCAGGGAATAGTTGAGCTGATCTGAGTGTCCAACGTGGGACGGACGACAGACAAGGTGATGTCCATGAAGATGAGTGACGCGGCCTTTCCCGCGGGCGCCGGCTGCCGTAGAAACGCCTCGTCCGGAGGGCTGTCCCTTGGGGGACTGAAGCGCTGCAGCAGGGCCACCAGCAGTCCGGAACAGGCCGCCTTAGGGTCCTCATGGACTCCCCTCGCTCCCGATCTCGCCTCCCTCCACACCACAGCGAGAAGGAAATGTGAAGGAATGCACGGCCTTTGTCCAAAGGCCCTTCTCGCGTTTGCTTGGCTCTAAGATGCCGCTCCAATTGCGTCAGCCGGAGGGACAGACGGTTCCTCCAGGGCTCAGGCCCTTCAGAGCGAGGAAGGGCCCCGTGGTGTGGGACCTGAGGGTGGCGTCAGAACCACATTCCACAGGCGCCAGGGAGGAAGGCTTTAGGCTGCACATCCTCCCTGACCGAAACAGGAGCGGGAAGTTTGGGAAATGAGAGGAAAGAAGGCAGGACGGACGGAGGAGGCACACCACACGGAATGTGTGCCGTGGAATTAGGCCAAAGCTCAGCCTAACTGATGCCTGAACCGTCTGATCTGCCAGGAGCTGCAATAAGGAGGAGATTTCTTCTGAGGTTCCTCACATGTGGGGAATATTAACCCTCAGGCTGCTAAGCCCGCGTTTCTGTATTGATGAGAAACCCTCACCGAAGTGTTAGCAAGCGGAGGGAAGTCCTGACCTGGGAATTCAGTCGCGCACACTTTGCACGCTTCTGGCACTTCCTCCCCAGGAGTGCGAGCTCTCTGGATTCCCCCTCGTGGGAACGAAGAGCCGGGTTCCTTTGCGGCCCCCATCAGGCGCTAATCCTGTTTCTCACACAGCTGCTTCTGCTCGAGTTTGATCCCTCCTTTTCTCATCCAAATTATGTGAACCTTCAGGCATCAAAATAAAGGGCAGCTCTGCCCCCGCCCGGGCGTGTGCTGTGGGCATGAGGACACCACAGGGCCAGCCGCTCCGGGCCAGTCTGGAGGGCCTGCTGCAGGGGGGCCTCCGCAGCATCCCAGGAACGGGGGTGTGTGTGGGGGGAGGGGGGTTTGGACAGTGGGAGAAGGGACAAAGCAGACAGAGGTGGGTGGCTTTACCCCTCCCTCATCCTCCTCGGACCCCCTGCAGTCACGTGTCCAAATCTTACATTTATTGAGAAATCAATACACCGCGGGGGTCCTCCTTCAAACCTCCCAGCAGACACCATGGGAGAGGGGCACCTGAGGCTGGCCACAACAGAGATCAGACAAGATGAACTCAAAGGGGGGAAGCCCAGGGCCTTGGCTTCTTTCGAAACAGAAGGGCGATGGTCCATCCGTCACCCCGAGCTCCAGTGGACGTGGAGGGCGAGCAGTGTGTGACCCCAGCAGGAGCCAGGGCGGCTGCGGACAGGAGCCCGCTGACCCACCAAACCCCTCAGGCCCCCACAAAGCATCTGGACATCGACCAAATGGTTGGATAAATATTTTTTATTCGTTTACAAATTTAAATCCAGATCTTAAAACGGTTTACAAAAGGCATGCCAATACGGGTACACGTGGAACTTCTTCAGGTCAGCGTGAGGCAGGTGGCAGCCGGCCGGCTGCCGCAGCACCGGGCCTCACCGCGGTGGCCGCAGGGCTCTGGTGAGGGTGTGGGGCAGGGAGAGGGTAAGCAGCGTACGGTCTACTGATAGATACGGGCTTACTGCTAAGCTACACTGTGCGGCCGGGGCCCCACGACCCCAGGGAAGGCTGTGGGCTGTCAGGGGAAGGAAGGGCACTGGGAGGTCAGAGAGGACAGGACGGGCCGGGCGTGGCAGGAGTTTGAGAACACTTTCTGGCTTATTTCTGTGTCATGGGGGCACTTTTTCCTTTCCTCCACGGCCCGGGCTGGCGAGGGCCTCAGTCGTCGCTGGAGCTGTCGGCGCTGCTCGGCTCGTCCAGCTCGCCGTCTGGCTCGTCCAGCTCGCCGTCTGGCTCGTCCAGCTCGCCGTCTGGCTCGGCCTGTCTGCTTTGCTTTCTCGCCTTGGCACCGCCAGCCTCCAGCCCGCTGGCATACTCCGAGAGCAAGGCCTCGGCAAGGTGCTGCTGCTGGGCCTTCCTCCCCAGGTCAGGCCTAGAGAACAGGATGCAGAGAGAGAAGCTGATTATTCCCGCTGCCATCAGAAAGAGGCTGCGGTGGCTGGTTAGACGGAGCCGCACACTGTATGCGCAGTGGTCCTCCCATGCTTGTTTTGATATTGTGAGCGCCACAGATTAGACACGGCAATGGCAGATTCTCACAAAGGTGGCAGAGTAGCAGGCGTCTTTGAAAGGGAGCCTTTGTTCTGTGTTGTTTTCCGGGGAAAAAAGAATGCTACACACTCACTCTGATGGCAAACAAGGCGGCCGCCACGGCAGCTCGCCGGAGGACGGAGAAACCCCCTGAAGCCCCCCTCCAGGGCTGAGCTGACTGCCAAGCAGGGGCCGCAGCCAGGGCGGGCACCACACTGACATCTCTCAGCGGCTGAAGGGACCCTTGCCATTACTCTGAGCCGACAAACCCAACCCCATGCGCTCGGCACCCAGGGGGTCTCTCCCTGCCCCGGCCCACGTGGGAAAGGCCAACAGCTGAGCATCGATTTCAGACGCTGAGCCTCAGCTCAGGCAGCCAGGCCCCGGGATGGTTGGGGTTCAGCCCAGGGTCAGGCTGGCATCTCTGTCGATGCAGGTCCTGCGCTCAGTGTGTAGAACAGCCACCTGTGATGCCCACAAAGGAAGCCCCAGTGAGCAGAGCGCGCCAGGGCTGCTTTCAAAGGCCTGCCCCTGAGATCAGAGGGGAAATGTCTGTAGAAGTTCAATGGTACACAGGGAAAATAATAATGCAAATTGGAGAATAAAAGAATGTCTCCTAATTTGGAACTTAAACCAGAACAGCACCAGCACCAGCACCAGCACCGTTACCTGAGCCCACACCGCCGAAGTGGCAGTGTCTCTGGGAACACCGTTTCTTGGGGGGCTTCCAAGAGGTAGGTGTTGCCTTCCACTACTTATCTTTGCAACATTTTTTTTGCTATAATGATTGGAGGGTAAGCCAGACTACATGTGACAGAACTCCTTTAAAACCGAAATTAAAACCAGGACTGATCAGACGGCAGAGCTCAGGGAGCCGCCCAGCCACAACCACACGATGCAGGGTTCCGGCCGCCGCCTGTGACGGCCACACACGGGCATCCACTCGGGAGACACGCAAAGGCAGCTGAGCCGGGGGGAGGGGGCCCGCGCTGCAGGGCCGGGTCAGAGGCAGCCAGGGAAGCGCTCTCTGGGTTCTGTTGCCTCATATCACCTTTGCTCGATGAGGCGGGGGAGGTGGTCGTCCTACTTTACAGACAAACTGAGACCTGAGGAGGGGTGACTCGCCCAAGCCTATCTTTGCAGAAGCCAAGATGCAGATGGCCAGGGGGACTCCAGGCTGCTGGTCCAGGACGGACCACCCGGTGTGCCAGGAGGGCCAGCTCGGTCACAGGGACAAAGGACCATGATGTGGTCGCACAGAAACATCTCAGTGGACTATGGGGCAGGTGGGGATGGGGCCTGGCTCTGTGGCGCCCCCACAGGAAAACGGGGTGCTACTCACGATGCAGCTCCGGGGGCTTCGCAGGCTCAGGTGAAACAGGACAGAGATGCTGTCTGCTGGCAGCATGCGGGCTGTGATGAGGAGGTGGAGGCTCAGAGATGCGCAGCGGCTCCCCGAGGCCACAGGAGCCAGGCTGAGCCCCGTGCGATTTGTTCCGGTCCCTGCTATGAGCCCCGGACCCCGCCCCGTCCAGAGGGGACTGACCACCTCGGGTGGACGCCCCACCTCCGGGGCTGGTGTGGGTTTGGTGGTGCAGGAGACAGGCCACCCGCTGAGCACCGAAACCCCCGAAATGAAGGCTGCCACTCGGTGCGCAGGTATTTTTAGTCGGTGACATGACAGACAGAGTGAAGGGTGTGACAGGAAGGCGTGCTTTCTCTTCCCCCTCGTTTGAACCAGGCGCTCACAATGTGTATAATTTTAAATGTAACAACCAGAGTTTCAAAATATGCAAAGTTTCAGTCAAAATAGCCTCCCAGCACACACTCCCCCACCACCTCAGCGGCTGCTCCTGTCACCGTGTAGCCACGGCAAGAACGACTCTACCCGGGCGGGTGCACTGGCGCCGATGGAGCTGGCGGCCCAGCAGACAGTGCCAAGGCCACAGTCACACCCCCACCCACACCTTCGCCAACACCACTGGGCGGGGAGCGAGGGGGACGGCCACGGGGACCTCAGGCCCCGCTGGGAGGAGCGGTGGAGATGGCCCTGCTCGCTCTGAGGGTATGACCTCAGGCCTTTCTAGCCAGTATGACCTTTTCCAGTCCCCGGAGAGCTGGCCTTGAAGAGGCGGGCGGGGCGCTGACCCTGGGCACAGCCAGCTCCCAGCGGCCATGGAAAGACAGTTGTGCCCCAGACAGCATGGGCCTGACTTACACAAGGGGCCGCACCGAAGTGCCTGCAGCTCAGACCTGACTTGTTCGAGGTCAACAGTACTTGGAAGGTGGGACCCAAACCCCAAGGCCCTGGGCATCCAGAGAGCAAAGCAGGGCCCGCATTTCCCAAACCCAGTCCCTGAGGAGGGGGCCTTGCCTCGGGGTCCACCTGCAGGGCCAACCCAGCGGGACCCACTCTCCCACCCGCCCCGGCGGCTCCCTGTCCCTCCCTCGTTCTGAGGCCGAGCCGGGAGAGCCAGGAGCAGATGGGGGATGAAACACACTAAGCCCAGGCACAGGGTGGGTGCACGCGGCCCTTCTCCTGGCAAGCTGCCCTCCTCCCGGAACCTGCCAGCTTCCTTGCCCTCCTCGCCCCCCAAATACCAAACCCCCTCCAATGGGCTTCCTGAGCATCCACCCGCCTGGTGTTACCAGGCAACACATCAGCTTATCTGACCACAGGGAAGCCCTTGCAGTGGAGGCTGAGCGACCCCCTTGCTCCCTCTGGGCTGGATCACCCTGCGGGGTGGGCAGAGGCCCCTCCAGCGAGCGAGGAGGTCAGAGCGCCTGCAGGTGAGTGGGAGAGCAGGGAGAGCAGGGCAGGGCGGATTTTTAATTTTATCTGTATTTTCAGGCCCATCAGTTTCCTTTATGCTTTAGGGTCAAACTGCAGCCTAGTTTGGGTAGAATCAGCCAGGCCAGTGTGCCTCCGTGGCTGGCCATAGTTCACTCCTGGTCGGGGCACGTGCCCAGGTCGTGGGTTTGGTCACAGCCACACGGACGCCTCTGGCATCACTGCACGGGGAGGGGCGGAACGGCCCCTCAAAAAGGAGGTGAGGAGACAGACAGCGGCTATGAGGGAGGGTTAGGACGACTAAGGTGAAGGGCAGCGGGACCGCCATGCTTCTCCTGGTTTCTGAGGCGGCATGAACTGGAGGGTCCGGGCAAGGACCAGCCATCGGAGCGCTGGGCGCTGCCCTGACGCACGCTGGCCTGTCCAGGCCAGCCCAGCTCCAGGCCGGTGCTCCGAGGCTCCCACTGTCTGCAGTGACCCAGGTGTGAGGAGGCACCAGGCACCCTGAGAGCCGCTAATCGCCTTGTTAGCCGGTGGAGAAGCAAGGGTGCTTGTCCCAGGCGGCGGAGAGCAGGCAGTCGCAGGGTCAGAGAGAAGGCGGTGGAAAGAAGGCACATGAACAGCTCGGGCTCAGTGCAGTGACACCAGAGCCGGCGGTGGGGCCACCAGCCGTCCCTGGAGCGGAGGGAAGGAAAGCGGGTGCACTGGCGCCAAGGGGAAGGAGCGAGGCCCACTGCGGCCTGCGCCCCACGGCACTGCGTGGACCGGCCTGTGAACGCAGCATCAGCAAGGACGATGCAGCCCAGACCACTCTGTGCCGGGCACTCGCCACCAGGGAGCCAGCCTCCTCCCTCAGCACTCCTGTCCCTGTCCCGTCTGGACGCCGCTGAGCACAAACGTCCCAAAGACAGGATCAGTGTGGGCTCCTGTCTCCCGTGCTGCCCCTAGAGGCCAGGCCGTGTTCTTGTCTACGACCCAAGTGGACAGTGACTGCTGTTCTAGAAGTCCAGGAGACACCGAGAGCCATGAAGATGGGCTGGGAAGAGAATGACTGAAGGAGGCCCAAGGTGTGGGTGGAGAACGCGGTCCGGGACTGTAAGACAAGGCACCAGAGGGGAAGGCCACTTAGAGGCTACGAACTCAGCCACCTGGGAGAAATGGTGCTCTCGTATCTGTCATGGTCGCACCAGCTCGCACAAGATTGGGGGGAGGGGCGCACGCACGGGGAGGGAGGGGGCAGCAGACGCCTGGCAGGTCGTCACCACACCGGGCCTCAGGGCCCACCCGCTTTTCTCTCCTCCTGAGCCGTCTTCCGGAGCGTCGGACAGATGAGGACCTGGGCCGGCTCCGAGCCTGAACACGTTCTGCTCGTGTGACGGGTTACACAGACAGGGACGCCCTGCCCCACGGCCCACTCTGCCCCTCAGGGAGACGGAGCTGGCTCTCAGCATCTCCTGGGCAGACACCAACTCTGGAAGGAACGTAGCTCCGCTTCTCAGGCTCTGCTGAACCCACACGGCTTCAAACCCTGAACTGCCTCATGGAAGGAAAGGCTGTGTCTGCACCGCATGTTGCGGGGTGTGTGTGTGGGGAGGCGCCCAGTCAGTGTGTCAGCACAGAGCCAGCCCCTGTGTGCGTGTAGGTTTGCGGGGCGGGGCTGTTTTGGCGGGTGTGTAGGTGTCAGAAGAGGTTTTGTGCCCACCCTCAGGACTGAGGAGGGAAAGCAGACACCTGGTGATTAAGACTTCATTTGGGGATGTGAACCCCTGATTTTCTCTTCCTGAGAAGTGGTCAAGGCAAGCACAGAGACGAGGTAAGACTGCCCTGTCATTGCATGGAAATGCCCCATAACCCCCCTCGCACCCCCCTGCCCTGCTGCAGAGACCTGGGCTGGGGAGCAGGGGAGGACCTGCCTACAGCCCAGGCCCGCTGGCAGACAGAGGTCCGGAGGACACGCACTCGCTCTGGGCAGTCACACAGGGAGCGGACCGAGGCCAGTGTGGCGAACACCTCACCGCCCACACAGAACGGAGGACCGCTCTCTGGGACAGACGGGTTCACGGAGACGCCGCAGCTCAGAAGCCATGGCCACAGCCGTCCCCTGCACTGTGTAGGTTCCGTCCTCAGAGAGCAGCCCCGGCATTTGCTTGTCCCCGACAGAGCGCGGAACGCCTGTCAGGTTTCTGCGCTGCTCACCGTCCGCAATTACCCGTCCCTCCCCCGGGAGTGACAGGAGCTCCCAGGAAAGAAGGGACCTGCCGTGTCCGAGCGCCGTCTGCACTGGCAGGCGGGCAGGGTGGGCGGATGTAAGGAGCGGAGAGCAATGCCTTCCAGAGAAGGGCACGGCCACGGGAAGCCGCTGGGCCGCTGGTGACATGGCAAGAACAGAGAGCCGCATTGTCACGGCGCCGTAATCCCGTGACACACTGCTGTCGCTCACCACGCTCCCTGCCGCGCCAGCCTGACATCAAAGGCTGCCCGTGCCATCGTACACGCTCTGTGCCGGCTAATCACCCCATTCTTCCCTGAAGAAAGCCTGTGAAATCCGCGCAGGGCACCGCCGCCTGGTGCCATCTGCCAGGAGGGTCGGCAGAGCAGGCAGCGCGCTCTCCCCAGTGGCCTCTCAAGGACAATGCTGGCTCCACGCCCCTCCCATGGCCTCCGGCCTCCGCCCTGCCCCCCAGGACCTGGGTGGGAGCCGAGGACATGCCAGTCTGAAGAGCGGCTGCCTGGGTAACACTTGCCAATGACACTCCAGAGGCGGCGGCACCTGTGACAATGGGGTCCTGGGCTCCACTGAGGTGCAGGGGGAGCCATTCCCAGAATGTGCTTCTGACCAGTCTCACCTGGCAGGTCCCCCCACCTTCTGATGGTGTTCGATGGCCAGGCCACTCCCGCAGGGCAGGCCTCGGGCTTTGTCACATGCTTGTAACCGGAATTAACATGCCCAGATACACGCTACCCGAACCCAAAGGCGGGCAGCCTCTGGTGCCCCGAGCCCCGGCCCGCACAGCTGGCACGCGGGCGCCCAGAGCTGCAGCGCGGGGAGGAGCGCCCCCCTCAGACACTGTCCTGCACGAGTGGGAGCTGGTAATGAAGGAAGCAACAGCTTCTTACCAACACCAACGCTGGAGCTGAAGTAGGCAGAACCTTACCCGTTATTCAGAGCCTTGTGGATGCCAAGCCCCTGCTCAGATCAACCAGAGGTTCCAGTCTTAACCCTCTGGCTTCCAGCTCTGGCCTTTTATGGCCTGTGTCTGGCCCTTTATGGTCCAAAAGGAAATTCACACGTAATTCCTCATTCTGGGTCTCAAGACAATCTTGTAAAGTAGCTAGAGATAGAGACTTCCTTTTCCCCCATCACTGAGGAAATGGAGGCAAAATAGGGCCCAGAGCTCACAAGCACACACCAGACGGGGCTGGACCTGTGGCCCACACCCCGTGACTCCAAGACCAACGTCACGCCCGCCAGTGGCCCTTCCCTGCCATTTCACGCCAGAGAAACTGGGCCTGAAAAGGCTAATGCCACGAAGGCTAATGCCTCGCGATGGCACTGTCCCGGAGCACGCTGCTTGCAGGCTTGCTGCTAGACAGAGGGCACGTGGGTCTGGGCATTTGCGGTTAATGTGCAAAAATAAGGCTACACAATGCAAACTGCCTGTCCCGAGCACTCAAGGGTTCTTGTGCCCACACACCTGTGCACTGTGTCCCACCCACAGGCTGCGGGAGCAAGAACGCCAACCAGCCCAAACCCTGTGCTCGCCTCGGCCATGGCACCCCACACCGCGGTCCGGCCTGGGCTGGGCCAGCTGGGGAACGCTGTGTGGGGAAGGAAGTTACCAATGGGCTTTGCTGAGGGGCCTCCTGATGTGTGAAGATGGGCTCAGAGCCAGGAGCCCCTACAGGGCAATGCTCCTCACCGACTCTCCTCTCCCTAGACCAGGAGGGTCCTGAACGAGCTTCCGAGGGAGGGCGTCCCTGTGCTCACCTCGGAGCGCTCAGCACTGCGGCTGCCCTTCGGCACCAAGGACAGCGGCCGGGCCCTGCGAGGGGGAGAGCTGCCTGCCTCGCTCACCGGCCAGGTGTGCCACCAGGCCCAGCCTCAGGGAACCACCAGAAGCCTGCGTACCAGCCCCGAGGCTGTCCCGGGAGGAGCTCCCACAGTGGGAAACCCCCAGGCACTCCACGGCAGTGAGGATAGCAACACATTTGTCTTGCTGCTCCCGCCAATCAGGACCCGACTGAAGACGCCACTAAACTTCTGCCAGTGCCTTAAAAATGTCACAATTAGGTATTGAATCCTCTCGCTCCAAGCACTTATACTGAGAGAAGGACAGATACTGGTGGTCACTTACCATGAAAATCAGAGTGCAGGTTACACAGAAGGCCTGCTCTCCATACCCGTCAGACTTGGGGCAAATCTGCACATCTTACCTTTTCATATTCGCTTTCTTCTTCTCAGGTGGGCCATCAAGGTTTTGGGGGGCGTCTCTCAGCCCGAAGCTCTTAGCCAAATGGCCCAGGTGGAGCAATCGAATGTGGAAGATGTGCTTCAGCGAGCGGGGGTAGGTGGCATAGGCCCGGATGAAGGACTGCAGGGCTGCGAGAAAAGGAAGGGAGGGAGGCTGTCAGGTGGGTCCCGAGTGCTGCACGCACCCCAGCCAGAGGCTGTCCTGGGTGGGCACCTCGCCAGGCCAGTCAGCAGTTCAATATACACCGCAACCTCAACCCAAACTTGCGTGCTGTTCAATCCCTCAGGGACAAACAAAACCCCCAACTACCACCTACAGGCTCCGATTATCACTTGGATAAACCCAACATCACTCAGACTTGACTGAGCACGTAGTAACTCCAGAGGGCAGTACCCGCTTCCTCATCAGGCCTGGCCCAGCACAGCACCTGGCACACAGAGTGTGTAAACTTTGGTTAAGTGCTGCCTCCACCACAAGCCTCGCCTCCAGCTCCCCAATCCAGATGAGTCACTGGTACCACTTCAGCACTCTCGGGAGTTTAAAACCAAATTCATTCTCAAGTATCCAGGCCTGACTGACACTGCGCATTCCAAGAATGCCCAAAAGGAAATGAAACAGTTTTTATTGGTTTTCTTTCCTTTTTTTTTTTTTTTAGAAAGAGGAAGGGGGGATAAACACTGAAGTGAGAAAGAAACATCGATTGGCCACCTTCCACATGCACCCCAACTGAGGATCGAGCCCGCACCCTGGACATGTGCCGACTAGGAATCGAACCGCCACCTTTGCTGTACAGATGGCACTCCAACCAACTGAGCCACCCTGCCAGGGTGTGAAGCACAAGTCTTAAAGGAGAAAGAAAAGGATTACATTTCTAAAACAGGCCACAAACAGCTCAGCCCGGGGACTGCTAACAGCTTAGTGGCCATCATCCGACACCCTATCATGCACGTTCCAGTCTTACAGTGCAGGCAGTGGTCCCGCCCTAGCCCCGCTGGTGACTCAGTCCCAGGAGAGTGACGCTCTGGCCACGTCCACTCACACCCTTTGGGGAAAGACTTCCCCTGGAGTGTCTGCAGGAACAGTGACAACAGAGTGTCTGCCCGTTCTCATGGGCACAGCAGGGCAGGGCAGGCGGGGCTGCTCTCAAAGCGTCCGGGCCATTGCTGCTCACTGTACCTCCCAGCCAGTCTCCTGCCACCAGAGCCCAGCGGGCATGCCTGGGGAGGCGGGCACTGAACAGCAGCCTCCCTTGCCGGCTTGCCGAGCCACTGGACTGGCAAGTTTGCCCGCAGCTTAACCGTAATATCCCAGCAGCACCCAGAGACTGGCGTTTATGAACTGTAATAAAAAGTGTCATTTTAGCAGATCAGCTCCAGGAAGGTCCTGGGAATCCATCAAAGCTCTATTTACTGAGCAAAGTGAACTCCTTTTCCCAATCGATGAGAAATAATAACCAAGGCAACTCCTCTGCACCCTCTCTAAGTCTGTGCTTACTCCCCTTTTTCATATCTGGGGACTGCTGCTTTTCTCAAAGAACACTCTAACCCACATGTGTCAAACACAAGGCCCGCGGGCCAAATCTGTCCCGCCAGGCCTTGCAATGTGGCCCGCACCGCGCTGTCATCACTGCACTCCGCTGTGTTTCCATCACAATGACAGTTTATGACTGTTCAGTAAACCATTCGGCCCGCGATTTAGGCTGGATTTTAGATTTTGGCCCCTTCTCTGATTGAGTTCGACACCCCTACTCTAACCCGATGGCTCCCGCTGCTTGGAGGCTGATGGCAGGCCGGGACACAGAGCCCAGAGCCCGCCCTCAGAGAGCGCACATGCCGCCCGGCCCGGGAGCCCAGCCTCTTCTCCCCCTGCCCCAGCCCCACCGCTTACTGTCTGAGAAACCAGACGGAAGCCAAGCCAATGAAGCACGCTGTTCAAGTCTATAACCAACGCTGGCTCAGCCTCTCCTTCAGCCCTGTCCTCCGCTTGGGCAGACCAGCCCCCTCTGCCCGCTCCCCACTTTTCCTGCCCCACACCAACCCCAAGAGCCAGTGCCAGGGGGCGTGGGGGCCACAGCCTTACATGGAACTGAGTCTGCCCAGAGGTGGCGGGAGTGCTTTCTCCCAGGACCACCGGCCAGGCAGCATTCTTTCTGAACCTCCGTCACCGGGGAGGGGACGGCTGCGTCCTCACACCCTAGCGTGGGTGCCTGTGTTTGGATGATTCAGAGAAGCAGGCAGTTCAGGGGCAGGCAGCTTCTGGCAGGACCCTCCGAGGGGCCCTGTCCAGACCGCAGAGTGAGCGGGCTGTGGGGCAGGACAAGGGCGAGCAGAGAAGGAATGAAAGCGGACGTTTACTCGGGACGAGAGAGGAAGCTGTGGCCAGGCTGGGGGCACTCCAGTCAGGAGTCCCGGCTCAGAGCCACACGGCTGATGAAGGGAAATCTAGATTGAAGTACGCTGCGCGGACATCTTGCCCTCTCTCAGAGAATGGCATTATTCCTGGCATCTGATCAGGAAAGATGGCCTTATAGACGCTTAGGGTCAAGGAGGCAGCAGGGAGCCAAGTGCAGTCTAGCCCCAGAGGAGCACCTGTCTGTCCAGAGTCCGGCACCCACACCTCCCGCCCTGACATCACTGCGGCCACCAGCCAGAGGAAGGGGCGGGGAGGGGGACACAGCGGCTTGGTGTCCTCCTCTGAGCGACAAAGGCCCGGCCCGGCCCGGCTGCCTCTGACCTCTGCGAGGAGCGGCTAACCTGCCTGGGGCCTCGGCTGTCCTGACTCTGAGAGTTCCCTCCCAAGCCAAACACAACTCCTGCGCACAGCACCCCTGCTCTCAGGGGAGGCCCGAAGGTGGGGGTGGGAGTTGGGGAAGGGGAGCGAACTGCAGAAGTGGGAATTTGCAGGGAAAGGGTCTGGAGCTCAAACTTTCGTTACCACTATTTTTGCCACTTGAATCTCTAGTTAAAAAGATGCAAAAAACGAGGGGAAAGGGGGTTATGCTTCTGGAAACGGAACAATTAACGCTGGCTATGATCAGGGACTGGGTCAGAAAATTCTAAAGGAAAACAAATGCGTTCTTGGCCCAGTTTCCAACTATTTAATAGTTTTCTGCCACAAAGGCAAAACCCAGCTGCTTTGTTAATTATTCATGAGGTGGGTTCTGAAAAGGCACAAAGGGAGGCGAGTCAGGAGTGGGGTTTTGCATATGCAAAGACTGAAATGCAAAGAGCATCACTTAGGGGTGTGGCAGCTGGCCCACGTTGTAAATTCAACATGTCTGCAGCGGATTACCTGCAGACCCCCAGCCCTCCGAGCCCAGGCCTCAGTGACAGCAGAGATGGGGGGAGCAGAGCTGGAGGCCTGAAGGGGTGACTGACTGGCCACAGGAATCTGGTGTGGAAACTAATTAGCCAGTGAGAACAAAGATACAGCTACTTCCTAGTGCCCCCCCCCCCCCCCAAAGGAAGACAGTGCCTCTGCTTCTTGGTGTTAACAAGGTCAGTGGTAATGATGAGAAGACACAGAACCACATTCCCTAAGGACCAGTTCCTGTGACGTTCACTCCTATGACCCAGACACCTTCAAGCAGGTCTGGTCTCGCCAGAACGCCGCCCATACCTGTGGCCTGGCTGGCCTCTTTCACCGCGGCGTGCGTTAACCCTGCCATCCGCAGCAGAGCCTGGGCATGTGCAGCACCGCAAGCTGAGTGCCTAAGGCACTGCAAGCAGCCCAACTCTGCGGAGCTCTAAGGTAGGCCCTTCGGAAACCCCTTAGGTGCTGTTGGGTTCAGTCAGGGAAATGCCGGGATTGTATTCAGGCTATTACCAGACCCGGCTGGAAGGAAGCATGCTGATTGGGTACCAGCGGTTAAGGGGCGAGCACTGGGACTTCACCTTCACCTGTGCAGTTGGCCTGCTCTCAGAGCTAAATACACGACAGGCATTAGGTGATCCGGCTGGCCGGCCCATGTTTACCAGCTATTTCCTGATGGCCATGGTCAGCCTGTGGCCCATCCCCCAGCTCCCCCCTTACCCCCAAATCCATTCTTTTGAAGCCCCTGCCAGGCCACACACAGCGCTGGCCCGAGCCCTCTGACAGCCTCATTGGAGGCAGGTGCCCCAGACCCTTGCTGTGATCTGCCTCTGCCCCAGCCCCACATGCTGGCTGCCTTCCTGAGTCCCACGGGCTGGAATCCCGCCAGGGGCCTGACCTCAGAGTTCTTGCCGTCACCTTAACAACACTCACTCTGACCCCACTTACAATGCGCTCTGCCTGCCACCGCTCCACACAGTTCAGATCGCCTTCTCATAGGCTGATTGTGTGTAATTTACTTAACGTGTTGCCCTCCCGCTGGAATGTCAGAGAGGTAAGGATTTTGTCTGGTTTGATCCGGCATATCCCAAGCACCTAGAACAGTGCCCAGCTCAATGCATATTTGTTAAATGATTAAAAAAAAAAAAAAATTCCTACTCCTAAGAAGAAGAAAAGAAAGGATGCCATGGGGTTCGTACACAGTAAGTCTTCATTTAACGTCGTGGATAGGCTCTGCGGCTTTAAGCAAAACGAAATATCGATAGAACAAAAGTGGCTTCACCACAGCCTTACTGACTTAAATAAGATGGAGTTCCTGCAGCATCTCATCAACAGTTTTTAACAGAACGATGCTATCTGAGGACCTGCCGTACTGGTAAACCAGTCAGGCATTTTTCTCAAAACAGTTGGCTCAGTGGTTAGTGTTGGCCCCAGAACTGAAAGGTCTCAGGTTCAATTCCTGATCAAGGGCACGTATCTGGGTTACAGGTTTGATCCCAGGCCTCAGGTTGGGGTTCATTCAAGAGGCAACCAATAGATATGTCTCTCTCACATCTCTCTCTCTCCCCCCTAAAGTATCCTCGTGTAAAGATGAACAAAACAGACAGGAAGCCAGCAGGTAACCACCCAGAACTGTGGCCCTCCCACTGGATGGAAGCCTCAGTAGCCAGGTCCCACGAGGCTCCACCACAGAAGCTGCCAGCCCTCCACTCCGCTCTGCACTCACGTGAACTGCTAGGCCCACACCTCATGCTCGGGGGTCCCAGGAGACAACTTACCCCATAAAGGGTCTGAATATTAGATTAATGCCCAACTCTTTTGTAAACGCCCTACGGAGTGGTGCTTTCTCATTTTTCTTTGTCCTTTTAAACAGGCACTGCTCAGGTCAAATATCGCCAGCCTGTCCTTCACCTCTAATTTCCATCTCTACAGGTATTTCTACTGACAGGTCCTCTCTCTCCTATCCGGTTTTCAAAGGAGAAAAATGGATCGCTAAGCCGCACGCTGCCGGGTCAGAGCTCTGGTCATGATGTAAGCCGAGATAAAGCCTCATTTGTGCAAACCTCGCGGAAGGATGAAATTAACATTTAATATCACGTTAAAGCCCTCCGTGCCTGCCTCCCAGCCCCGCAGCATTAGGGAGATTGAAGGCTTTTGCTGGTGAGCAGAGATGCCAGCTCGGTCTCTCGACCCATCTGTGGGGCGTACGGGCGTACGTGCGCACGTGCCTCCACCAGGCTGACCACCCACACGCACCGGGAGCCGGACTGACCTCTCTTGGCCCAGGCGACCGTCCCCTCGCAGGAGTGCACGTAATCCTCAAACAACGTCTGTAAGACCGTGGCTCGCTCTTGGGTTTCCTGGGAGCCAGCGGCCTGGGGTTGCTGGAGGCGATGGGAGGATTAGAGGAGAGACAGTCAGAGCAGGCATAATGAAGCAGTTTAAAATAGATTTAATAACAGTGAATCACAGTAACCACCTCGGGGCCGGCAGGGTAATCCTCTCAATATTACCAGGGAAAGGGGCCATGAAGATGTTCACGTCGGGCAAAGGCAAGGATGGCTGTGACGGGGCAGATGCGGTCTGTGTTTATTCACTTATTTACTAACTTTTCTTCCCGGCCTCTTAGCACGCATGCTCAGATTGGAAGTCCACTGGAGACACTCTGGAATTTTCCAGGTCCAATTCCGGCATTAAAACACCAATGAAGCCACGTTGTTCTCAAACAGACTCTTTACCTCCTAATGAGGCCCAGATCTCCCCGCTCCCCCGCTGCTCCTCTGGGTAAGCTCCCCGGGTCCAGAGAGCACGGCCTTGCCCCCAGACTGTGCAGCTCCTTCTCCCAGCCCCCCCCCCCCCGCCCCCTGGCTGTCCCTATAAGAAATCGTATCTGTGTGCACTAAAGACCCTGCAGAGGGGACGGGTTAATAAAATGGTTTCATCCTTTAACCACCGCAATGATTTCCATTCCTTATAGCCCCCCCACCCCAAATGAGTGTTTTGTTCCTTACACATCTTAAAACAAACACACATGCTTGAAGGAGAAACTGAGATGCAAAAGAGCATGCTGCGCAGCCCATGCGGCTGACACGGTGACTGTGAATGGGCTACCAGCCTCTGCTGTGCCCCCGGAGAGGAGGGAACGGGGAGAACCAGGCGGCCCAGCCCAGTCCTTCTGACCGCAGAGGACAGTGCGCCTGGCCGGCTGCCGGCCTGCCCCATTCACCTGAGCCTCGGCTGAGAGCCGCCAGGAGAACAAAGGAGAGAAGAAAAGCCCCCTTCTTCCCAATCGACACTCACCTTTGTGTTAAGAGCCTGAACACCCTGAAAATGTTTTTAGTTTTATCACATCATCCCTGCTCCTGTTTGGCTGATGACAGTCGAGCTGATTTCACAGCACAGGCCCCTAAGGGTATCCTCCACTCAAATGTCAGGAGAAAAGTCACTCGGAAGCCGTGTTACGAAAGTGGACATTTGCTGTTGTCATTAACAAGGATTTCTTCTCCCGCTTAACTGATGTGAAATGCAAACTTTCTGTGCTGCCCTCCTTTCGCTAAGCCGCCTCCGCAGCGCGACTGTCACCTTCCTCGCGTTTCTTAAAGACACGAATGTGAAATTAGCGAGGATGCCCTTTCCCCTGGCGGACAGAATCCTCTGTTATTAAAAAGTAAAGCACTTTAATAATGAAAACTTTTCCCTCTTTTTCCTGTGTTTTAACTGTTTAAAATTAATGAGAAGGGCAGAATGGCTGTCAAAGCGATATTGAAAGCCGGGCAGCCAGGACCGAATAAGCACAAAAATCCCTCCAGAGTGTTAAATAAACAGACTCAGCCTCCGAATCCCTCTGTTGGTTATTGTATACATTCTGTAACAGCTCTCAGAATAGATCTGAGAGCCAGAGAGGCAGAGAGGGTTCAGAATTCCAATAAAGGCCTCAAATTAAAGACAGCCTGGTGCGAATTCCAGGAGAAAATTAAAGAGACCTCAAGCTTAAGTGACAGGTGACTTGCTTCTGTGACACAACTGTCAGGGGATTTAGTGATAATATGGCAATATATTACAAAGGGCTTTTCTTATTCCCCCCTTTAGGTTTCAAAATGAGGCATCTTTTTTTCTCCAACCAAAAAAAAAAATTACATATACACACATATAAAAATGTGAGTGTGTATACGAGTGGAATATGTAGAGAGAGGCGTTAAAACTGGGTTCACACGTCTGAAATGATGAGGTCAGTTTTAGTCAAAATGAGAAAAGTTAGTGGCAGAAAACATACTATACTTTAGGAAAAGCATGCATTCCTACCCCCACCCGCTCCCAGAAACACTCCATCTTAAAATTGCCCCTCCTGAGAGTGAGGGAGGCACTTCTAGCTGTCTTGTGGGGAGGACAGTCTAAATTTAAACCGAAGACGGAGGGGCAGAGTGACGCAGGCGGCTCAGCCCAGACAAGCAAGCTGCTCCCCTAATGAGGGTGGGTCAGGCCCCGGGGGCACGGGGGCCCCACAGGACGCGCCAGCACCCCGAAGGCACGGATTCAGCGCTGGCTAATGAAGCCAGCCGGCACCGAGTGGACCGAAGCCGTCTGGCAAGACATTCCCAACAGCCGCACGCACTCGGTCCCTGTCTGGAGACCCTACGATCTGGGGTGGACAGACGATCAAAGAGCATGATGCGATGCAAGGGCTGGTGATCTTGTTTTAATTCCAATGTCTTGCGAGACAGTGACAGTGTTTGTTAGGATGAGTTTATGGCGTATTTCACAGGACAAAACCCTCACAGGAGAAACGTGTTTGTGGAGATGACCCCACGCCCATCAGAACCAGCAGACGAGCTGGAGATTGCGGCGCCCAATTGTTGGTGTAGAGTGCTAGGTGGGAGCGGAAGTGGGGAACGGGTTTTTCGGGGGGAAGCATGTGTCTTGATCTTGCTAACTTCTAAAGCGTTTTAAAACTAAATGGAAGGATTTTGTTTTAATCACTTTATTGCCAAGCTGAGTTTTATTCCCTAGAAACCTCTGAGGGCTTCCTGGGAAAGTGGAGAGATCAAATGTATTCTCTTTGTAGGTGGTGAACTCATACGCCCAGGCGCAGCTATGTATATTTTATGTGCCTAAATATGAAATATACATTTTACAGATGCTTCCCTGGTTCGCTTTCTGTATACAGGAGCCCAGAAGCGTATGTGCCAAAGGGGACACTTACAACAGGCTTCAACCAGGTGAGTGGAGGACAGGGCAGTGAGCCACCCGGCTCCGCATGGGGAGGTCCGTCCCCTGGCAGGTAGGAAGCCCATTCCTACCTGCCAGCACCGGCCATGTGCTGCCCCAGTGCACACAGCCAACAAGATGCACTGCACTTCCTACGGCAACTAGAACCAAAGCCGGACCCAGCCTCCACTACTCTCCTCTTGCTGTTCACAGCTCTCAGGCTGTGTGTCCACGTGATCATGAGTAACATTGTCAATTTAGTCTATTTGTTCCCTGTCCTCTGCATTCAAGTTAAAATGGGTCAAACAAGTCAGATTGTCATCAACAGGAAACCTAGAACCCCGGAGGAGTTTTCTAAGTTAACTGGGTGTTTTGGGTCCATGAATGCTTAGCATTTTCTTTTTAAAAACAAAGACCACAAACTTTAAAAGTATCAGGGCAGGAGACTGGGGTGCAGTGTGTGCAAGATGCTCTGTGCCTCGACTCATTTAAACCTCCTGACCACCCTGTGAGATGGGCACTCTGCTTCCCCCCGTTGTACAGATGGAAAACCCAAGGCTGGGAGAGGCTAACCGGCCCCCAGGGCAGAGCCATCAGCTGTGAAGCACGGATACACACCCAAGTGTGCGACCCTGGGTCTGGCCCTCTGGACTCAGCAAGGCTTCAGGCTGGCCTCAGGCCAAGGCCAGGCTCGAGGCAAACTGGGCCCCGTGTCCTGCGGAGCAGAGGGGCCGCAGCTGCTGGTGCCATGCAGAAGGCTTGGTGTCACTGAGCGGGCTCTGGTGCCACATCTGCTATGAAGCGATGTGACAATATGGCAATGATTGGTAAGAACCACAGCAAATACAGCCAATGCCCTACGGCAGCTGTGCTGGGGTCTGGGCTATTTCTTACTCCATCCTCCAGCATCCTCCTGAGAAGAAACCACCATTACGTTTACTACGGAGAAGCTGAGGACTAGAAGCCAGCAGTGGCCAGCCACACCGCTGGGAAGGGGAACCAGGAGTGACCTGAGACCATGCTCCGAACCACTCTGCCCGATGGCCCCCTCCAGCAGCTCGCCCGGGGCCCTGCAGAGCTCTCTGAGGCCACCAGGCAAGTTGTGGGGACATTAAAACCCCAACTACCTGCAGCCATGTCAGATCCGGTGCTGCCCCATCCATGGCAGACACTGGCCCAAACGGCTGCCATAGAAACACTGTGACTCATGGGCCCTGATCCCCTCTGCTGGGCCTCAGGGATAAATATGGTTACAGACCCCAAGAAAAAAAAAATAAATAAAAACCCGAACTAGAAGAGCAGAGGCGTGTCAAGACCAGGCGTGTCCTTGGTCACTGGTCAGCTGTCCTGATGGTACATCTTAGGAAGGGTGGTTCTCAGTCCACCGTGGCTAGGAGGTTTTCCACCAAACATTGTCGAACACAGCTTGTTGATCAGCTGAGTCTTTAACCATTTTTCTTACACACGGGGAGCTTTGTTGTGGACCAATTACCGACCAGTTTTGGTCTATAAAAACGGTTACCATGAGCTGTATAAAAATGGCAGCAGCCCATTTTCCCGGGTTAGCTGCTCCAGGGAGGATGCTGGCGTGTAAGGGGTGTGCTGTGAAATCAGACTGCTTGCTCTTGCATCCCAGGAGGACCGATGACTGGTGTGCCCTTGTCCACGTCCCTTCACCTCCGCAGCCTGGGCTTCCCCCTCTGCAGGCGGGAGGCTAGAGGAGCCCGAGCCCGGGCCCAGAGCTCACAGGCGACAGGCGCTGTGGTTTTCCTCTCCTTTCCCTCTGTATTCTCCGACCAAGAGAACTCCTGTCAGGGCCAGTCAAACCCAGTCCCCAACTCGGGGAGAATATCGATCCAAATTAGCACCACACTGACAGATAAAACCTCTTTAAGCTTGGTCTATTTGGCTCTGATTTCCCAGTCTATCCTCAGGCACCAGAAAACAAATGTGAAATATCCAAATGATTAGTGTATCAGACAGAGTTACTGACGGCAATGCCACCCACTCCCTCGCACACTCACACACGTGTGCTGCTGCGGGGGCAGGGCTGGCGGGCAGGCCTGCCTGGCGGCGAGACAGTGCAGGACCCCGTACGGGACTGCACACGGAATGAACGTTTTCTTCTTAATGACCATAACTCTCCTCCTCTGTGTATGCACACATTAAACAAATGATGAACTCAGTGTGTCTGAGAAGAGACCTGTCGTCTTGGGTGGATGACCTCGTCAGTTGTCACTGGTGACAATGGGACAGGACCCGTCAGGCTGGGCGGTAAGGCCGAGGGGTGGCCTGGGCGGGAAGCCTGCCTGCCGGGCGGTCGTCCAGAGGACACTGGCCCAGCCACCGGATGAGGTCCCCCAACACCCAGGAGCAGTGGAGAGAAGGCTCAGTCAGATTGGGCCTCATCGGAACCTGCTGGTCCTCACACATGCACTTTGCTTGACAGCACACAACCATCCGTCCAGAATCCCCGCCGCCCCAGTGGAGAGTGAGTCACATCTGTCAGCAGCAAACAAGCAGTCAAACTCACCTGGCCACCACCGCGTCTGGCTTGGAAAGAATCATCCCTTGTCAGGACAGCCAGAATATCCTCCATCTTCATCTCCGAAGTGCTGAGAGAGGAGAGCAGAGAAAATAAACACTCCTTCTTCCCAACTCCCGGGCCCGACGCCAGGACTGGCCTTTCTCCTGGCAGGTGTGCCGCAGGAGCGCCACAGGGAGGGCCTGGCCTCACCCCCAGGGGCCTAGGAGGAAGGGACGGGGGACTGGTCCCAGTAAGTCCCTCCCTCCCGGGGGAATTTTCAGTGGGCTGCATTTAGAATTTCCCTCCCTCCCTCCCTCGCTTCATCCTGATTTTAGAGAGAGAGAGAGAGAAACATCCATTTGCTATTCCTCTTATTTATGCATTTATTGGTTGCTTCTTGTATGTGCCCTGACCAGGGATCCAACCCACAACCTTGGCATAACAGGACGACGCTCTTACCAAACACAGATAGTCCTGTGTTTTAGAATTTAATAAAACGGCAGGGCGAGCTCACGATCCGTAACGGGGGGTGAGCCACCTGCTCTCTTCCAACCCACCCGAAGGTCTCCGATGGTCTCCTAACACCAAGTGAGGAGCATGCTCTCTGTGGAGTCAGAGCCATGTGCCAACGGCTGAGAACAGAATGTGGGCACAGTCTCGGCCAGAGCCACGAGGGCCAGACAGCCATCCAACCTGCCTGCAGAGGCCACCGCGCCCAGCGTGGGACGTGCGGCACGCATCAGAGACCAAGGAACCGGGAGCGGCTGACGGCACTTCCCGGGGAGAAGGGAAAAGGAAGGGAGTTTGGGGCAGGAAACAGATCATAAAAAAATAAGTGCGCCGAAACCGGTTTGGCTCAATGGATAGAGCGTCGGCTTGGGGACTGAAGGGTCCTGGGTTCGATTCCGGTCAGGGGCATGTACCTTGGTTGCGGGCATATCCCCAGTAGGGGGTGTGCAAGAGGCAGCTGATCGATGACTCTCTCTCATGGATGTTTCTAGCTCTCTATCTCTCTCCCTTACTCTCTGTACAAAATCAATAAAATATTTAAAAAAAAAAAAAAAAAAAATTAAAAAAAAAAAAAAAAAAAAAAAAAAAAATAAGTGCTTTTCTCACACGTTGTTGTTTGTTAAAAAATGCAGCGGCAGATTAAAACACGAACAGCAAGCGCTTCTGTGGGACCAGGCGCTGCTCCCCCTTCCCCCTAAAGGTTACTCTGCCGGAGCCATGAATGAAAATGTCACGGCGCTGACAGCTATTCACCTGAAATGTGTCACCGCTTCCCGCGTGCTCCCAGCCCGCAGCCCCGCTGCTGCAGCTCCGGGCCACGGATCCGGAGAGCTTGTGCAGCAGCGAGGGAGCGGGAGGGCGGGCACTTACGGAGGCCAGGAGTGGGGGAGGAAATCTATTTTTCATAGGAGAGAGGACTGTTACAGCTTTGAATTCGCCCATATTTGTGCCTGCTGTCTGAAGGAGGGTGAAACCAGCCCAATCCCATCCTTTGACTGTCTGCCTTGCTCTGTTCACCCCTTTCTTGCTGGCGGACAAATGAAGGAGGAATACAAAAGTAAGAGCGGCATGAGAACTTGGGGTCAAACCCTGAACAGGCAGAAGAAAGGAGTAATGCTATCAGTCAGGGGTACAGAGAACTGCACGTGCCACAGCGGCCGGCTCTCCCAGTGCCTGGCAGCGCAGGCATGCCCACCAGGCCAGCTGCTCCATTGTGCGTGGGTCCGCGGGACAAGCTGGACCGCTGACCTCCGGGAACAGGAGCTGAGCGTGCGCTGGGGCAGCTTACCGCGTGCAGGGCCCTCCTCCCATCTCAGAAACCTTTGCTTCTGAGAACAAAGCGCATCTGCTCTGCTTACTGATGGCTCTATCAACAAATCTGAACACCCACCTTACTCAAGAAGAGGGAGATAAATAAATTCAGGAAACTGTCTTATGCCTGATCTAAGAAACACGCGTTTTGATGAAGCACTTACATTTTCATAAAGCAATGACGACTTTCCTTAGAAACTTCTTTCATTAAAGTGGGGCAAGTGAAGGAGTTGGCAAGCACAAAGAAGTCAGAGGACTAGAAACGCTCTTTCCGCAGCGTTTAGAAAGAGGCAGCACGAGCAGGGCACCTGTCTCCCGCCCCATCTGCCACAGGGAACTGGAGTGTGAAGCAGGCAGCAAGGTGTGCGAGGGCCTTGCTACCCTCCCGATTCTTCCCTGCAATTCATCAGCCATTCCAGCAGCTCGGCAGCCCGCTGCCTGGCTCTCCGGTGCTTGAGCATAAAAACAGACACACATATCCTCCTCCTTTAAATTAAAAAAAAATATTTAGGAGTTCTACCCTGGTCAGGTAGCTCAGCTGGTTAAGAGTGTCATCCCTTAATGTCAAGGTTTCAGGTTTGATCCCTGCTTGGGGCACATACAAGCAGCACCCAATGAATGCACAAATAGAACAACAAATCGTCGTTTCTCTCTCTAAAAATCAATCATAAAGATTCTAAAAACAAATAATAAATATTTGGGAGTATCTTTTGGATTCCAAAAATGTTTACATCTGCTTCTTTTCATAGTGCACTCTGCCATTAATTTTTTATGAGATTTCATTTTTTTGTTTTAAGTCTGAGAAAAGCCTACAGTAGATGTTCAACATACATCACACCCTCCTCACGTGGACACGGGACGCTGGTGCCTGGCTGTGCACTGTGACCCGGGTCTGAGCGTCACTGAGCGGCTCACACTGGCCGCAGTGAGGGTTTGGGCACAGGCACTTCCATGGTGATTTTTCAGGGCAGAAGCCTGTGAGCTTGGACCTACAGGCCTTTCCCCCAAATGAATGTTCTTCACCAGCTGGTATTCTCCTTCCACAGACTACAGTCCCTTCCTCTCTCAGTATCCCATCCTCATCCTCTGAGCTTCCTCTCCAAGGCCGAGAGGAAGCTCTGGGTGACGAGTGAGTGGCCAGCATGAGCTTTCTCTCCTAAGTAAGAATGGACCCACCGTTCCATGGAAAACTGCGTCAGGAGGAGACAGTAAATGAGCCCACGTGAACCTGACCAGGCCTCAGAGGAGTGGATCTCCGCCTTTCCCAACCCAAGATCAGACACATTTTCTGAACAAGCCGCAGTCCATGCGCACGCACACCAGCAACCCCGACAGAGTGCCGAGGGGAGAGCAGAGCCCTGCAGGTTCCGGGGGTGGGACACCTTGTGCGCCCATCTCACCCAGTGGGTGGCCCGGGGTCCCCAGAGCAGGATCAGATGTGGGGGCAATGATTTCCCAGGAGAGAGCACTGCAGTGCTACTGGATGCTTTAGAGAGCACAGGCCTGGGCAAAGGGGAGCACCAGCAGGCGAGAGCCCACACTGAGCCGTGTGGCTGAGCTGAGCGCCGGCGTCACCGGTGGCTCTCGGTATCCTCGCAGACACAGCTCTCCCGGTGCCTCCAGGACATGGGACGCACCGCTGTGCTATGTCTGAGCAGAAGTTCTGGAACGTGGACCAGTGTAAGAACTTTAGAAGCCTATCATTAGACTTTGTCAGGTCAGGTGCCAGAGGTTGTGTGGGAAACACAATAAAATACTAATCCTGGGCTCCGGTGGGTGCCGCACGCTGGCACTGGCACTCCCAGCCACGAGGAAAGCGCCACCCTCAGTGCCTTTCCCGTTTCTCCTCAGGGAGGTTGGGTCTGGCAGGAGCCCCTGGCGCAGCTCCCACGCCGAGTCCTCTGCGCCGTGACCTGGGCTGGACCAGGGCTTCAGGTGGGGGACAGGGAGGCACTGCCACCTGACCAGGCCTGACGAGACGGGCCAGAGCGTGTTCACACGCTCCAGTGGCCACAAGGACTTCCTCCAGGTTTGTTCCCTGAGGGAGGGGAACCGTGTGATGGGTAAAGAGTATGGGGTTTGCTCCCTGCCCTGGTCAGGGTGTGAGCAGGAGCAATCAATTGATGTGCCTCTGACATGGATGTTTCTCTCTCCCCCTTCCACTCTCTCTGAGAAGCAATGGGGAAAATATCTTCAGATAAGATTAAAAATTAAACAAAATAAAACAAAGATAAACCGCCTTTAAAGGTACAAAACATTAATTGCAAGAAATAAAAACTGTGAACAGAACGGTCTACAAGAAGCCGGCTGTCAGAGAACGAAGCACGGGCCTCCTTGCAAGGAACACGGAGGCGACAGATCGTCCCTATGACTTAGTCTCACGACGCAATGGGAGTTGTCATGTGCTGATGGCATGAAGGGTTTTAGCTGTTGCCACTGGCTATTCTGGGACTCATTTAGGGATCACAAGGGTTAATGGCTCTTCGTCAGCTTACAAGGCCCAGCCGCTATAAGAAGCGACAGAAAGTTAATTAGGTGAGATCAGCCGGAGCCGCGCGGGTTTCTGACTCACTTGATTTTGTGAGAAGCCAGCGAGCTGACATACTCTGCCTCCGAAGGAGCCAAGAAGAGCAGGCTGCTCCCACGGCAGCCGATGCGGGCGGTTCTCCCGACACGGTGGATGTACTCGGAGGCTGAAGACGGAGCGTTGTACTAAAAAGGGCAACAGAAATGAAGGCATTCACACATCAAGGGACTGCCATTAATTGGAAGTGCAATACCCCTCACCTGCCTCCAGGTATCCCAAGAATTAAATCCTGGTGCTATGGTTACCCTAACACAACACAAGGAGAAGTCACTCAACCCTGAAACTCCTGCTTCATTGGAAATAACAAGGCTGACAGGACAGCGTGAACAGCGGCCAAGTTTCAGATAAACGAGATGTCTCCTCGTCCCAGTATCTCCCTTCTAATTTTACTTCTCCACAGGTCTCTGCAGCTTCCTATTTGCATCTTTTCACGGAGGGAACTGTGCAAGGTGAAAGCATGGGCAGGTGGGGCAAACCTCTGCAGACGACCACATGACCTTGGCCTGCTCCCTGGCAGACAGCAGTGGAGGGGAGGCCGCAGAGGAGCCTGACAGGCAAAGAGCAAGGGGCCGATGACCTTGACCGGAGGTCAGCTCTGGGCTGGGCCCACAGGAACTTGCTCCTGCCCCACGGGCAGTGCTCCTGCCTCAGGGAAAAGGGCCCTAGAACTCCGCGGGATGTATTCCGCACAGCATCCTATGTCGTCTATGGCAAGAACTTCACCATCATCAAAACTGACCCTATATTCTTTCTCCTTTTTGCCCTCTGCTGCTACATGAATCAAAGGTCAGAGGGCATGTCAGACTAGTCAATATTCACAACAGAGGGCTCTAAATGCCAACCCCATGTCTGGCCTTGCACACATCCCAGCCACCCTTGCCTCCTCGTCTTTAATGTGCTCTGAGGCCAGCAGGAAGAAAGACTTGGCCCCTCTCGTCACAGTGATCACCTGCGGGGAGCAGATTCCCGGCCGGTGACAGGCGTGTGGCTGCAACAGGATGTGAATAAACCATGACTCACATAAACAGGGCATGTGTCTCCTGGCTGCACTCAGAGGGCCTGAAAACACCACTCTGCACACTAACGAAAAGAAAAAGCAACTAAACCGCCAGGCCCGAGCGCTGATGCCCATGCCCTCTGGCAAAGTGTCTGAGGCTGCGTCTGTGTAAGAGGCTGTCAGGGACTTAATTGCCCCTGCAGGTCAATGTACAGGACACGGCTCTCAGGACAGCTGAGCCATCTCCTCCTGGACACAAGGAGGCCTCCCAGGGGCCCGGGTAACGCCGGTTATTTTCAAATTGCCGCAACTTTGCGTGACATGCATTAGGCCTGGAGCTGGGAGCAGCAGACTCCTCCCAATTGCAGGCGGGCTGTTCGCTGCAGCAGCAGCCAGGTGGGCCGAGTCAAGGAAGATGTCAGGAGAATTGTGCAGATAAGGCCGGTTACTGCCTGGTTACCAGGGCAACACCCAGGAGGGTAATAATAATTATTCTACTTAAAGCCAGCGCATCTACTCATGATCATATATTTCTGCCTTGAGCTCACACCTTAACAACTAAAAAATTACCTGAACAATCCATGTGACTTGAGGGAGATCTAAGCCTCGAGCTGCAATATCCTTTAAAACAGAAAAGAAAACGGCTTAGGACTGAGTTTCTGAACCACGTGGGGGTCACAAATCTGTTGATAACCTCATGCAGAGGAAGAGGGCTCTCTCTCTCACACACACACACACACACACACACACACACACACACACACACATCTGCACACAGTCTCAGGAAGCCACCAGTCCATGTGTGGTTCCCAGTTCTGACTCAGGGTAAGTGCTGGAACCCGTGGTGAAGTGGCCACAGCCACTCCCAACTAGACTGTCCCCACAGGGAGCCCGGGTCCTTACACGTGTGGTTCTCAGTTGTGTGTTGGGAGGGTTCTGAAAGCTTCCCGCGTGTCTTACCACTTTTACCTTTTGTCTGAAACACTGAGGAATGATTCCTGGGTCACCAGCCCATCCCTGCCCACCAGCAGAGCAGAGCAAAGGACTTGTGCCTAGGCGGGCTTCTGGAAGGTCACCCAGCACCCCTCGTGGAGGCGGCCACAAAGCATTTCCTGCGCCTTTGCCGACAGCCCCGAGCAGCAAGGCCCAGGCAGCGCCTGCCTCTGGCGTCTCAATCAGAACGGGGCCATGAAGACTTTCTTTCCGGCTGGCTGCCACCTGCACGGCGGACTCCGCTCTGGCCATTGCGGCTCCTCTGGCCCTCAGCAGCCAGCCTGCACTGGACTCTTCACGCTGCCATCGCAGCAAGAGCCCCACCAATGCGTCCTGGGCACTTCCCACACGCAGACCCCGTGTGGCACATCCCCTGCGGGTTCCAGGACCACGTTACTCTCTGCTCTGACCTCAGAGAGGGCGCCACACCTGCCTGCGCTGTGCTGGGAATTCAGTAACATCCAGCAAAACTGCTATGTACTTGCCCTGGACCCAGAGCAATCTTACATCTGGAAAGCCATCCTGAGGACACGTTGGCAAAAATACAAATGGACTCTCACGCACAGGCTGCTGGGATTGGCAGCGTGTGCTGCAGGCTCGGCAAAACCCCAAGGCCTACAGGGACAGTGACCCTGATGGGGCACAGCCCCCCCTTATGGACGGCCCTGAGAGGGAGGTCCCCAAGGAGGCTCACTGGGTGTATTTTGAGTGTGACACCCTTTTGTGTAAGAAATGAGGAAAATAAAGTATGTCTGCCCACATTTCTATAAGAAATAATAAAGGGGAACCCCAACAAGTTTTAAAAAATGGTTACCTGGAGAGGAAGGGAGAGGGAGGAGGGGCTAACCTCCGCCAGTGGCCTTCGGAACTGGGCCTCGGAGGCTGTGTAAATGGCTGTGAGCTAGAAAGTCAGAGGACCAGCTCTCGTGCCACAGGAAGTGCAAGTCACCTATTCTCCAAAGCAGACCCAGGACCTGGGCCTCATTGGGGCCTGGACGTAACTGCTAGCGTAGAGGAACTATGGGGACGGGGCAAGGTAAGCACCAGGACAGACTGGGCAAGTCCGGATGGGACAAATGGTCTGGTTCCTCCACCAAAAACTCCAAGGAGAAATAGGTCAAACCCAAACCCAAGCGAAGCATCACTCGGGTGGAAGAACGGACAGATGGCGCAGCAGGTACCTGAGAACCAGCACCCGGAGGGTCACCCCAACTGCCAACTGACTTCTCTCGCGGCAGAGGGGTTGGGTGGATTCTCCTTTTCTCTGCGTTTTTCTGTTTGTTCTCTTTTCCTCCTGACAATGGATGGATACATCCCAGATTGTCACTGAGGAGAATGTAACCTATGGAGAAGCCAAAAGCAGCACGAGCGCCTGCCTGCCTCACCTGGAAGCGCTGCTAGGGATGGTCCGGGCGTCCGCCTCCTCTCCCTCCCACACACACGCTTCTCTGAACCACTGTGAGGCAGCTGGGATGCCAGCACGTGCCTCCTTCTCACAGGACCCTCAGTGCGGAACACAATTTCCCAAGAATCCCGGTTCCCGTTACTCCAGCTGCACTGCAGGCCACGGGGGTGGTGTCCAGCACCAGAGAGCAGCAGCCCAGTCCGTCGCGTATGGCGCTGCCGTGTCCACTCGCCTGAGGGGCACCTCCAGCTCTGCCTCTGTAGTTAGTGAGAGACTAGAGAACGGAACTTGGGAGACCGTTTCCCAATCCCTTCCTCCAGTGGCTTCGGCCTCTGTGGGTGCCGCCCGTCTGACTGTGACCCCGATGGCTGCGAGGTGACTTCCTGTCTCGCACGCCTTCCTCCCATTTGAGAGCTGGCATCCTCTGCAGGAGCAGCCTCCTCTCTCCCCTCTTAAGGGGTCACATGGATAGGGGCCTTTTTGAAAAGTGATAAGCCTATGAAGTTCCTGCAAGAAGCACGTTAAAACGATCGCTGCCTGGGACCAAGGAAGACTGTGCCGCATCCACCTGGCCGGTACGGGGCGGGCAAGGCTGGCCGCCCTCACCGCTCTCCCAGCGGCGCCAGGCTGCCTTTCTGATGCGTTGAGCAGGAGTTTAATGTACGAAGGGTCCAGAGCGCCCACGAGGTGCTGCAGGCAGCTCCCCTCGCCCACAGGCCCGTCCGAGCACTGCCTCTGAGAAAGCCACCGCTCTCCTGAACGGGCCTGGGACCTGCCTTCTGCCCTGACCGCAGCTGGTGGCTCCAGTGCGCTGAGCTCTTTAAGAAATGACGTGTTACTGACGTGCTCTGCGGGGGGTGTATGCAGAGGGGCTGCTGGAGCCGGACAGACAGGAGGGCTTTGCAAAAAATGTAATGCTCGTTAGTTTAGTAAATTCAACTCAGAAGCTCTAACACAGCATCTGACATTCACACGTCACGGAATGCACATGCACTGAAGCGGTGAGTTAGGTGTGACTGCAGATCGCAGCCTCTCATCCGGCCGGTCAAGGTTCTGCCCACCTGGTGGCCTGGCTCATGACACCAGCTCACAGTGCTCCCTGCATCCCTTCTTGTGTTGAGGTGGGGGGACCGCACCAGCAGCCAACCCCCCCTTAGCCTTAATCAGCTGTGCCTTCAAGCACGTCTCTCCATCCTGGGCCTGGAGGCCTCAGAGAGGGGGCTAAGTCCTCTCCCTGCTCTAGGAGCTGAGGGCGGACTTCAGCTGCCATTCGATCTGGGCGTCAACTGAGCCCCGAGCCTCAGTTCACACGCCGAAGAATGGCTGTAAGACCCACCCTCTCTCTCCCCAGAGGGGACCGAAGATCCATGAGGCCGGCACTCTAACACTGAGGAGCAATCCCATTTCACTCCCTGAAGAAGGACTGGGATGGTGGTGACCGGCAGCAGGTAAAAGCCTCCCTGCTCTCTTCCCCGCTCACACCCGCCCCCTGGGGCAGGGGCACAGGCAGGACCCTGCTCCCCGCTCCTGCAGTGGCATCAGCGGGCACGGGGCACCAGGAAGCTGATCTGTGGAGGGTTCAGCCTCAGTCTCAGCCTCAGCCGCCCCGTCAGAACTCAGGCCAGCCCCTGCACTCCGTAACCTAACTAGGGCAGAAGCAGCGCTAAAGTCAGCTCTGAAAGACACTCGGCGGTGAGGCCGGGAGCGCCCAGCTTGACGACCGGCCGCCTCCACGAGACGGAGGAGCACAGATGGAAGGCAGCTTGCTCAGGTGCCAGCCTGTCAGTTGGATTAAAATGACTCATTTATTTACCCAAGATCCTCACAAAGTGCTTTTACTAACAGGGAGAGGGGCCGCTGGCGCTCTGAGGAAGGGCCGCAGCGAGCTCGCCTCTGCGCCGTCCCGGCCTGCCAAAAGTCATTACTGCCGTGTGTGGGAGCCATCAGCGGGGTACAGGCCCCCGTTGTCCGGGTGACAGATTGGGCTGTGCAAACAGAGGAGGAAGGAGAGCGCGCAGAAGCTGTCAGAGGCGAGAGATCTTGGCTGGAGCCGCCAAAAAACTGGCAACATGAGTTAGCGTAACCGAGTAAACAGCCAACAGCCTCCCAAGGATCTCGCCATTAGCACAATGAGATACAGGGGAAAGAGAAACTTCGCCTCAAGACCAGGCCCCGCAGAAAACCGAGCGCCTCCACGCACTTGGGCTGCGGACGTGCTCATGGCCCCTGAGCGCATGCCCTTGGCCCCGGGTCTCCTGGCGGCGGGAATCCCCGGAGGAGGAATTAAGAACCGCAGGTAACAGCGGACTTCACGCAAATAAGCGAAGGTGGAGAGCAGCAGAGGTGGCTAGTCCCGAACAGTCCGTGCGGACCCAGTGGAGGGGAGCTCTGCTGGCAGGGCCACACCCCAGGGAAAGCAAGAATGACACATGGAGGACGTGAGAGAGGGGCCGGCCTGGGTGAGGGTAAGGAACAAGCAGGCAAGTGGGGACAGAGGAGATGGGAAGGGGTCCGGCCCCAGAAGGTACTAGTGGACGTGATGGGAACTGACACGTTTCTTTATCACATGGATTATTTGGACTGTCTTCAGGGTAGAGCCGGACCTGTGAAGGTTTTAGAGCGAACACTAGCACCTGACTTGTGGACGGGCTCCTAGAGGAGAGGCTGCTGGTCGGACTCAAGACCTCTGAGGCCAGCACGCCCAGGAACTATGCTCCGTCTGGCCAACCAGCTCGGCACAGCAGGTGCCACACGAGAATTGGCACACTGCTGGCCGGCGGGCCGTCTTACATATGACCTCACACAGGACAGACAGGAGCGCTCACCCATATACTCTGAGTTCAGGGAGAAGCCACTGCTCAGTACCACGGAACCCGGAGCAGGAGTGCCTTAAAGAGTAATTCATTAGAGGCCTAGCGGGTGGTCAAAGAGCTACTCATCTGCTCTCAACAGCACGCCATCCCCGGTTCCTGCATTCACAGCGCAGTTCCCCGCGTGTGGACAGGGATTTCACCAGCGGGGATTAAGCTGCATCACCACGACGACACACATCGGAGGGATCATAATCTCGGCAGCGAGCGAAGCCCCTGAAGTGCGTCCCCAGAGGAGGGCCGTCGAAGGCGGGACCTGCCATCCTGAAAGAGCCCGGGACGTGCATTCAAAGGGCCAGTGCTGGGCTGCAGGCAGCCTCCAGGGTGGCAGCATCGGGGCGAGGCAACTGCCTGCACACAGGAGGGCACGTGACAGCCGCCAGCAGACAAACTGCCCACGGGCAGCTGCTCCTGGAAGGAGGTGAGCAAGGTGTGTCGAGTGATTCTGTTGTGGAAAGACGTTCCCAGCTCTAATTACTCCCGATAGCTGTAATTTACAAGTTTTTGGTGGCTAGAAATCAGCAAGATTCACACGTTTTCAGACCAACAGCTGCCACTATTAGTGAGCAAATAGCTGAGCCTTCTGCACAGTGGCGCGGCTATCTGTGACCCAGTCAGGTGACACAGAGGTGCCAAGGGCCTCGCCACACCAAGAGCCTGGGGTTCCCGCTGTCTGAGGGGCAGCTGCAAGGCAAATCGTCCAGAGAGAGACTGCAACCCCAAGTGCAGAAATGCTCCTTTCCCGGTACGTACCGTGCAAAAGAGGACGCCGGGGCCGGGCTGCGCAAACTCGCGGAACACTGCAGTTCTCTCCTGCAAAGACAAGGGAACACAGCTGATATGGAGTCCAGTGAGCAGGTCCGTGCTTCCCAGTCTCCTTCTGCTGGGACTGCATCCGGGCCCAGCACAGAGAGGCTTTGGAGGAAGGAAGCAATGAGTGCTCCCAGCTACCAGGCCCGGACTGGACTCTGGGCTGTCAGGAGGGCAGCGCCAGGCTGGGCCCATCCTTCAGATCGGCCACCCCTGAGCAGGGACAGCCCACAGGGGCACACTTCCCTGCAGGTGGGCGAGAGGAATGAAGAACCCACCGTTCCTGCAGGGGAGTTTGGTTAACGACTAATTTTTAAAAAGGTAAAAATATATATATAAACCCCATATATTTTAACTGTAGAAAAATTACATTTAAGGCAAAGGAAGAAAATGCAATTTGCCACAGCTCAAAACACACCACCACCACCACCACCACCACCACCACCACCACCACCACCACCACCACCGGCAACCCCACGCCCCGGGCCGTGCACGGCATAACCGAAGAGGGCTTTGGAAAGAGGCCACACGCCCTCTACTAGCAGCACACTCTTATCAGAAAGCAATATCCGTGAACGTCTTTCCCACCACACTCTCTCCTCGTGATGACACTGGTAGTAACCAGTCGGGTGCGTGTGCCACCATTTTCGTGGCCGATGCCCCGTTGGCCGAGGCTGTGGCCAACCGCTGTCCGCTACAAACCCGCTGTGATAAGCCTTTATGGGTAAGGCCTGTGCACGGAATTGTTCCCTCCGGGTGAGGTCCTACAGGCAGCCCGCTGGCCAAAGGAGTGCCACCTAAAGGCTCTCCTGGGAACTCGCAAAGCCAGTGGCGCAAGCCGCTGGCCCATGGCCATGTCCACCTGCCGGCAACAAAAAAGGGAGGTGACCAAATTACTGCCGTGTCATCGCAGACGTGGACATGGACAACCAGCGCACTGAGCGCAACCACATACCAGGCCTGAGCTTTACACGTCTGCACGAATCCAATCCCCACGGCCCTCCGAGCGGGTACCATTACCACCCCTTTCCAGGCAGAGAAACCGAGGCACGGGGGCTGAGGGACTTGCCAAGGGACACCCACACACAGCAAAGGGTGACTGCACTTGGACCCAGGGAGCTGGCCCGGAGCTGGAGCTCAGACCCTCCCGAAGACACCGGGTTGGTCCGGTTTGCTGAGCAGTCTCTAAGGGGCCACTGTAACAGCTGCAGGGCACAGCCAATCAGAACAGTTCCTGGGAGCAGGGACTCGCCTGAAAGCCCACCTATGGATCCTAACTCCTGAGCTTCCATCACAAGCACCAGGCAGCAACTTCAAGCTTCACTTCTCTCCAATGCCCTTCACCTTGGGTGGGGTCATGACAATCATTCAGGGAGATCCAGGTCATGTGGGACAGTGGCCAAGAGCATGTGGTTGGGGCTGTTTTAGCTCAGTCTGGGGTAAGACACTTAACCTCAGTATTCATCAGATGAAATACAGATACTCCCTCCCATCCTCTACTTGTGGGGAGGCTGTGAAGGCTACTCAATAAAGAAAACAATATAAATAAAATATTAACAATTACTAAACTGAAGAGCGAAACTATTCCTGAAGGAGAAATAATAATAATGACCCTTAACATTTACTGAGCACTGACTATGAGCCAGCCCTGTGCTAAGCACTTTATCTGCATTAACTCAGTGAATCATCTCAACCACATGAAGTAAATAGGACTATTGGCTCCATTCTAGAGACATGGAAACTGAGGCACAGAGCGTTCCCTGAGGTCACACAGCTAGGGACCAGCAGGGCCAGGGCCAGGGCCCGGACCAGGGGTCTGCCTCCAGGGCACACAGCCATGAGCACGGAGACTGCCATTACAGTAAGAGCTCGAACTAATTTGACTACAGAATCTCCTGTGTGATCTATTCAAATTCCCAGATCTTCTGAGTCCACATCCAGCTCCTTTGTCACCCGACTCCCCTGCAGAATGCCTCTGGTGACAACAGACCCAGAGGACTAGGAAGCTAATTAAAAGAGAAAAGAAGGAAACACCATCAATGTACTGCATTCTGGAATCAACAAATTCGATTGACTCAGGGACCCGCAAGGTACAAAGAAAGAGCTGATAAAATCCACAAAGGCTCAAATAGGAAATTCTATGCTATCCTGTGGTGAATAAGAAGCTGTGTCCTTGAGTGACCTTGAGCAAAGTCACTTTTTTGAACCTCCATTTCCTGAATTACTAAACCAAAAACCAAAGGGGAAAAGGACTTGACAGCCTTTCAGGTCTCTTATACTCTAAAACGTTACCCCTTTTCAATGTGGTTCTGGTCCAAGCCCATCCTCATCCTGAGCTGCTTGCTGGTCACAGCCACCGGGACAAGATGGCTCTGATCTTGGGCCCCGTGCATCCTTCCCTGCACAAGGCAGTGACTTCATCCCACTCCACACTCTGCCCCAACTCCCCAGGGGACCGAGTTTTGCAGCTTAGAACCTAAAATAAGGCCAACATTCTCCTCTTCTTCCTGGACCACAATGGTACTCAGAGCTGAGACAGGGTGAGACACAGACCCTCTCGCAACCTCAAGTGCTGAGAGAGCGTTGCATCTTGTTGACAACGACAGCAGTCACGCTCAGCGGTACCATATGGGAGCCACAATTTAGCTCCATTAATGCTCTTAATTTGAAGACATCAAGCCCTAATTACACACTGGGTACTAAAAAGGCAAAACCCTTCCCTGGTGCCAGCTACTTAGTGGTGCTCTGTTGCCTTAACAGCTGGTGGAGGTAGATGCAGGCCAAGGGCCTGCGAGCTCTCAGGTGGACGAGCCCAGCCCCGGAGCAGGCGGGCGGAACAATAGGCTCCCCTCGCCCACATCGCCCGCAGGAGGCCCGCGTCCAGTCCCTGTGTGCCTGCCTCGGACATGAGGGGACCCCGCCTGAGCCCCGCCCGCGGAGCCAGTGCGAGCGTGGAGGGCGTGAAGCAGGATGGGCCGGGCTTGCTCACCTCCTGGTCCATGTTGCCATGCAGCCGCAGGAATGCTAACCGCGGGCCGCCAGATGGTGACTGCCCTGTCGCCGCGAGGCCCAGCAGGGTCTGGAAGAAGAGGTGGTAGTGGAACTCCACCAGCTCGCAACTCGAGAAAAAGACGATCAGTTTCTGGTCTGTTTCAAACTGCATGGACACAGAGGGGAAAAGCACCACAGGTTTATTAGGTGACACTAAAACCAGCATTTTCCTAAAATACAGTCACACTGGCCCTGTTTGGAAACGGAAGACAGACGGCTTGGAGTTATTTCCAGAATTAACACGGAGGCTCCCTGCTACCAGATTGCAGGAGAGGGAACTGACAGCCATGACCTTGATCACACTCCCAAGACTGGGAAGAGCATGCTTCCGGGTGAGGCTGCCTATCAGCACTGTTCTTCGTCCTCTCAGGCCTCAGCACACACACCACGTGCAGTGCATCTGGAAGCTTCCCTCTCAAGCCCGCCCCCTACTGTTTCCCCGTGTACCAGAGAAAGAGCCACCGAGAGTAGCAGATAAATATACAAATATAGCAGGTCCTCGGGTTATGTCGGAGATCCATTCCTACCGCGCGATTTTGCCGTAAGTTGGAACCCACCTACGTCACTCACACGGAGAACATACACAGCAGTGATGAAGTGAAACAGTAAAAAAAAATTTAAAGAAAGGTAACGATTCTTGACCTTTACTTGTCGTAAATAAATAATAAAAAACATAAAGCACATAAGTACGTAGAAATAACTGAACTTTTTTTTTTTTAATAAATAAATGGGAAATGGCGACATAACCATGAAATGATGTACATCCGACGTAACCTGAGGACAGCCTGTACCGGGGCGTCCTGTAAAAACACAAGCACAGGCACCTAGCTCTGGCTCACACCCAGCATCAGTCCCAGGAAAGGCACTTCAGGCAGAACGTAATGGCAACCACTGGCCCGAGCTTCCCCACAACCTAGAACCACTACACCCACCGGCAGTGAGGCCGGAGAGCTGCGTCTCAGCGCTGCCAGCAGTGCCCGACACACACGGCTCCAACCTCCCCGACCTGGCCCGTCCTACCTTGCACTTCTGCAGGATGAAGGCTGCCAGGCAGACTAGCCGTAGCTTGCTGGGAACCACCACCACGTACTGCTCCAGACCCTCAGGAATCGCAAAGCTTTCCAGCTCTTCATCTTCATCATCATCATCATCATCGTCGTCGTCGTCATCGTCAAAATCGCTGTCATCACTTAGCGAGTCAGAGTCGTCAGAAGACTCCTCATCAGTCAGGTAAAGCTCACGGAGGTCTCTGTCCACCACAGAAATGCTGACTGGGTTGTGCAGACTGATGTCAGCGAGCCGTGTCACAGCTGGAGAAAGCGAAGAAGTCACAACAGGTGACAGCCACGCCGGGAGCTGGTCCCTGTGCATGTCCTGGCACACCGCACGTGCAGGTGCACGAACTAGGCCAGTGGTCGGCAAACTGCCGGCCACGAGAATAGGGGCTTAATCATAAGGAACAACAGCCTGCAATTATTGGAATCGGGAGTCTAGGTCAGGGGTCGGCAAACTCATTCATCAACAGAGTAGCAAACCACGGCTTGTGAGCCAGTTTGCTGACCATTGAACCAGGCAACTCCCGACGGGTTTCACCAGGGGCCGCACTGATCTGCACAGATGTCCACCTGGGGGGGTGGGCCCCGGACTTCTTCCCACAGCCCAGGCCCCCCCCTCACACCGGCCTTCCTAAGCTCGCACCTGTGGAAAACCAGGGAGGGACAATGACAGGGCTCTGGCCCCCCCCCCCCCCCAAGGGTTCTGTGGTTATGAAACGCCGGACAAAAAGGCCCTCCAATCCTTCCCTCAGGCTTTACAGACCTTCTGGGGACCTTCACTGTGTGAAGTGTACCACGAATCTCCAAGAGGAGGTAATGTGTGGCATTTCCCAAACTATTTGAGCGCAGAATCTGTTTTTCACGATGATCTTAAAATTAATGCTCTCTGGAATACACTCAGAAGTGCCGATGAGGCGTGCTGGTGGCAGCTGTGTGCCGAATGAGGCAGACACGATACAGGAGCGGTCCTGCCGCTGAGACAGGGCCTGCTGCGAGGTTGGTGCAGAGCGGCCACTTGGCCAAGCCCAGCGTCCCATCTACGAAAGGCAGCTAAGAAACTCCAGCTTACGAGGAGGAAACATAGAAAGGAGCCTAAAGGACAGGAGCCTTTGAGGTCCCACGCCTCTTCAGGAGAAAGGCAGGCTGATCGCAGTACCGGTGGGCGTGGCGAGAGGCCGTCCGTGTCAGGACCGAGCCCGGCGCTCGGCAGGTCAGGGCACAGGGAAAGGCTCCCGCAGGCACAGAAGGTGGCTGTCAGCCTCCTCGTCCTCCCCACCTGACGGGCCCCTGCAGCACGGCCCTCACTGCTGGCCCTCTCCCTGAGCCTGGGACCCGGAGACCCCTCCCCGCCCGAGGCTGAGGGCCCTGGCAGCTGCACCCATTCTCTTCGCTCACCATCCGTGAGAGTGGCCGACAGCAAGACGTTCTGGCGCTCCTGGCACTCCGCGTTGATCGCGTTGAGTATCACTGTGATGGTCTTTTCAAAGCCCAGGTCCAAGATTCTGCGGTTTCGGAAGAAGTTTACTCGAAGGCAGACCTCAGGGAGCCCGGGCTGCAGTCCTGATGGACGGCCAGCCTTCCCCGTGCCCTTCCTGCTTCCCGATCAGCCTCACCTGTCGGCTTCATCCAGCACCAGCCAGCGGAGGCGGTTGAAGTGGATGTTCTTTGTGGATTTTATATGGTCCACCAGGCGCCCCGGAGTGGAGATGAGGATATTGATTCCTTTGCGGAGCCTGTTGGAAATGACATGCAGTCAGACAGTAAACCACACTGGGCTGTACCAACGGGAGACACAGGAGGAGGAGGAGGAGACAGATGCGTGTCTAGCAGCAGGTGCCACAGTCTGAAATCATGACCAACGTGATGACAAGTGAATACAAAGATCTGTTTTTATTTTTCTCTCAAGTTTCTCGCTCCCATAGAAGTATTAAGATCTGCAATTACATTAAAATAGCAAAACATTAACTTTGAAAGGAATCTTTACTAGGTAAGCCGGTGCCTTTTACCTGGCCCATGGATCCCTTCTCGCACATTCCAGACACAGGGTCGTCTAGCCTGCTCCTGAGGCTTCTTTGCCAGGGAACCTCTTAGCGGAACCAGCGGTCCCAGAATGTTCTCTTACACTGAGCCCTTGCTGTGACTTCCATGAACAGGCCTGGCCCAGAAACCAGTAGAATAAATCTAACGGATGACTCCCCACACATCCTTCGCCCATCACCCTGGTAACAAAGCCTCCCGTTTCCAGCCAAGCATGTTGTCGAGCTTCCCTGCAGGTTAGCATGACCCCAGCCTACGCTCTAGAGTCTAGAACAAAACAGGAGGACAGAAGTACAACCCCCTGAGTCCCTGCGGAGGGAGGGGCTGGTGACCTGGGCTCCTGCTGTGGGGCGGATCTCCACTGGAGGTGACCTTGGAAATGGAAGCTTTACTATGTAATCCGATGCCTTCTACATGTCGAGGCACAAAAAGAAGAGGAGCCTGAGCCCCAACACTGGAGCACGTCAGTCTCGGCCGGGCTTAAGTATGTGTGAAGGAAAAACACACCGGCCTCCGAGCTGGTGGCACTGCTGTTTGCCGCCATTGTCATTCACAGCTGAAAATAACCCTAGCCAGTATTTTTAGATTTCCGCTTTAAAACTTACTCCTCAGGAACAGGCCACACACATAGTTGGGTGTTACTAAGCACAAGGCTATAATACAATAAAAGTTGTTTTAAAAGAATGCAGACAATTTGGAATTTACTTGTCCCAACAATTTTCTACTGACACCCATTACCAGTTCTAACATACAATTAGAAATCAATGTTTTGGGGTGTAATAAGCAAGGTGCAAAGCATTATGTAAGTTTAATAAAAAACAAACAAAAAAACCCAACACCTAGCTCGCAATGTACCCACAGAGTACCACCAGGGGATGTGCGCTGAGTCGGGGACTGTGGGGACCGGGTGGGTGGAGTTAAAAAGGCCATGACCACCTGTAACATTATTATATTTAAAATCGTTTTCTTGAAATATCAATGCTTATTGCATATAACTTTCTATTTTTTTAAAGAAGGTCATGACCAGATCAGAAGGGAACCCCCGAAGGTTCATGACTACCTTAGAAACAGCCCTGTCTGAACGTGACTGCTCCCTGCTGACTCAGTCTGTCCCTACACATGGGCCCAGGTTTAGAAGGACTAAGTCTTACTGAACAGGAAGGAAGGACAGACAGGTTAACCAGGGAATTAACAAACAAACCCCCTACCTAGCCTTCTCCGACTTCCTCTTCTCTCCTCCCATCAGCACTCCCGGCACAATCCAGGTGAAAGGCTGCGGAAGACATAACCAGAAACCAGTGCACAGCCAGCTTCCCACAAACAGAGCAGGTCTAGCCTCCTCCTCCTCAAAGGGGAGGGAAGGGAAGGGGGCCCAGCCGGCCTGGCTCAAGGGCTGAGCATCGACCCATGAACCACGATGTCAGGGCTCAGTTCCTGGTCAGAGCACAGGCCCGGGTTGCGGGCTCGATCCCCAGTAGGGGTGCGCAGGAGGCAGCTGATCAGTAATGCTCTCTCATCATTAATGTTTCTCTCTCTCCCCCCACCCTCCCCCTTCCTCTTTGAAATCAATAAAACTATTAAATAAGGAATCGGGAGGGGGGCACGGGCTTCTCACGGCAGGAGATGCTCCTGTGTAGACAGGACTGTTATGTTACCACTGCCTCACCAGGGTTGCCGTCAGCAATAGCCGGAGTTGAGGCTGTGTGGCCTCCTCCCAACAGAGACAGAAACGGGAATGACTCATGCCGTGCTCCCCAGAACCTGAATAAACACACCTGTCAGTAAGATGTGTGCTCTTTGGGGCTAAAATGAAACCTAGGCACAGCCCGCCTCCATAAAAGGAAGGACAGGGCATTCTCCACCTAACCGGAGCCTCTCTCTCTTGCACAAACCCACGTGCAGCCTCTCAGGTGGCTGTGCACTGGCCCAGTCTGGGCTGCGGAGAGGACACCTGTGACTGTGTGTCTGTGGCTTGCTAGCGCCTACGCTAAGGAGACAATGGCGCTTTAAGCTCCAGGAAGCACTAGCACCCTTGCTAAGCAGAAGCAGGACGTTAGTGAGGGTGAGACCAGGGGGAGCCTCCGCAGTATTCCCGGGAGCAGACACCTGGCGGAGGGCAGCAGACTAACTGCCGGCTCTCTGAGAACAAAGAAAAGGCTGCGGCGTGTTTCCCTTTCCTTGAAATGTCAGGGGAAAAGGTAAAGCTGAGGTCCTGGCGTGCCTTACCTTGAGCAGTTTCTGGAAAGTGTCAAAGCTTTGTAGCGCCAGCTGTAAATATTAAAAAGTTATAATGAGCGAGGCATCTTCTTCCTTTCTGTGAAATTTAGATGTAAAGTGATTCGTATCCAAACTTGGACCTCAAGTTAAGATTCAATAAAAAAAATCAGTCCCAGCACAGAATCGACTGGAAACATACACCTTGTGTGAGACTGACGGGGAGAGCTGCGGGCTGCAGCATGGGCAGACGGCACATCCTTGTCATGGACGGACACACAGTGCCGTGTGCTCCCTCTGCTGGCCCCAATCCCCAGAGCGCAGCGAGTCGGAGCACAAGGGGGGAGGGGAAGGCGCAGACCCGGCTCGGCTCTTTAGAGAGAGGTGGAACCACGGGAAGGGGGATGGAGCTGCGGCATAGAATGCAAATGAACGGGGTTCCATGTCGCCTGCCCACCGCCCTTTGCCCAGACAGAGTTCCCAGGGGTTCGGGATTCACGAAGCGTCCTGGGTGGGCAGCAGCCAGTTCGCTGCGGTGAAATCTAAGCTCACGCCTGCTCTCCATGGATGGTGCGGACGGCTCTACAGGACGGAGGTGAGAGGACGCTCACGTCCATGAGCAAGTCTCTGCAGGGAGGTGGTTACATCTGACAGAGAAAACACTCCTTCATCTGCCGTTGCCTCCCACGCAAATGAAGTGTACCAGGAAGAAGAGATTTCCACCGAGAACGAAGAAAAATGCCAAGAAGCTTAACTTTCAGGAACATTTGTTGACACAGTAGTTTTTTTGTTTTTTAAGTTCATTTCCAGGGCCGAATGCTTTTATTTTTTAATGAAGTTGAGTGAGGGGTACAAAAATGTGATTATTTAAATTTCTTTTAAAAGGATAGAAATTTATAGTGTGCCCAGTTTTTAGATGACAAGGAAACTTGGGTTTTTTCAGAGAAGTTGGATTTCTCTGGTCAGGGAGCAGAGGATGGTCCCGGGCAAAGGATAGGGCCACGTAAAGTGATTTGTACCCAAACATGGCCCTCCAGTGAGGGCTGGCGCGGAGAGAGAGAAATGGGGATCCCCTTACACTCCCATAGGACGGACTGAACACACGCACCCGGACGGGGGCTGCTTACCTCTCTCGTCGGCACCAGCACCAGCGCGTAGGGGCCGTCGCCACGCTGGGGAGAGGAGGAAAGAAATGCTCTGAATGAAGGTCCCGGACCCCAGGACCCCAGAGGCCACCGGTGACACACCACCAGCAGTCTGGGCCGGGACAGGGACAAGCCCTGGCAGCCGGCTTGGCACAGATCATCCAGTCCACACAGAGGCTGCCAGTCTGACCCCTTCAGGTGCACATGGGAGGTAACCCACTGATGTTTCTCTCCCCCTTCCTCTATGAAAATCAATAAAAACATGCCCTCAGGTAAAGACTGAAGAAACAAAAAGGACATTATCACAGAACCCTGTTCTAGAGGTTCTGGCCCATGCAATCAGACAAGAGAAAGAATGTGTAAAAATCTGCAAAGTAGGAAATGAGTAACACTGTCATTATTAGCAAATATCTTATCCTTAAAAAAAAATAATTTGAAGCTTTATTATAAAAAAGACAAGTCAATTAACTAAATGCAAAATTAATATATATAAAGATCAACTGCTTTCTAACAGAGAAAGTTAGGAAATCCAAAGGAGAAAAAAATCAGTTAGAAGAGCAACAAAAAAGATAAGCGTAACAAAAAGGTATAAAATCTACATAATAAGAATTTTAAAATACCCGAGGAGCATAAAATAAAAACTGAATAAATGTAAAGATGTATCTTGTTCTTGGCTATTATATATAAGTGAATTCTTCCTAATCAATCTATAAATGTAATGCAATCTTTAATAAAAATTCATATGGGCATTTATGTGCACATATAAAATAAAAAATGTAACCAAACAAGCTGATTTCAAGTTCATATGAAAAGATAAATGTGCAAGAATAATCAAAACATTTCTGAAAAACATCAGATATTTAAACAATTTAAATGTACAATAGTTTTGAAAAATTGATACTGATTTATAGAGATTTCCAACAGCAAATAGGGTCTAGAATAGACTAAAATACATGGAGAAATTTAGGGAGTAAGGAGCATTTTGTATCAAGAAAAGAATGGATAATTCAAAGGTAATTTTAGAAAAAAATTTAGAAAAAATTAATTTGGAATTAAGTTGGCCTTTCTATAGATGACATAAAACTCAGAAACTATGAAACACCAATAAATTTTATCACATAGAAATTTAAAATCTCAAAATAAAAATATAATACCCAAACAAAATCAAGAGTCAAATAGCAATGTGGGGAAAATTACCCCACACATAAGAGAAAGGCCAATTTCCCTATCTTATAAGGAAGTTCTATAATTCAACTAAAAATAAAAACATAAAAGAAAACAATTCAAAAAGAAATATGAAGGAGTACATAAGAAGTTAACTTAGGGAAATAATTCAAAATGTGGCTTTTACACATATAAAAAGATGTTCAACTTTACTCCTAGGAGAAATTCATATTGCAACTATTACACAGTATTTTTCCCCTGTCAAATGAGCAAAATTAAACAGCCGATAGTGTGGAAAAGGGCACGGGCAAATAGGAACTCTCATACAATGTTGGTGAGAGTGCAAATTGGTATAACTCCTTTAAAGGTCAATTTTGACATTAGCTAGCAAATAAAAATGCAAATCCCACTTGTAGGAATTTCTCTAAAGGATACCCTGGTACATGTACATAAACTTGTATTTTCCAGAATGTATTTATAATAGCCCCGTTTGTAGTAAAATACTGAACAAAACGCACATCCCACCAATGAAGGGACGAGTCGGTAATTTACTGTCCACACAGACAGTGGGATACGGGGCAGCCCTTTAAGCACAGACTTATTCAACATATAAGAAACTCTCCCCAAACACATTAAGTGAACAAAAGCAAAGCACAGGACAACAGCATAACGAGCAGCCATGTGTATCAGACAAGCAAATGCTTCCGCTAAAGCAGCAAGAGGACTGTCATGCTCGCATTTCAGAGGATGCTCCGGGGAGGACACGCAAGAGATTGGGGACAAGGATCACTGCGTCCCGACAGAACGTCCCATTCAGAGAAGGCAGGGGAGGGAGCGACTTGATTTTCACTCTAAATGTTTTTGATGCTGTTTACATTCATTTGCCATCTACATTATATCGAAAAGTAGTGACAGTAATACCGTGTTTCCCCGAAAATAAGACATCCTCTGAAAATAAGACCTAGCGCATGGAAAGATAAGACATCCCCTGAAAATAAGACCTAGCCCAACTTTGGGAAAAAAAATTAATATAAGACACTGTCTTATTTTCGGGGAAACAGGGTAGTAATAATAATAGTAATAACAATGCACTAAGAAAACGAAGTAATCTGATAAAGGCCCCGAGATCACCATGCCTTGCACCTCGGAGTGCCTTCAGACAGTGACTGATCGAACACCCAGAGCAGCGGGAAGTGCAGACTTAGCAGCAAATCCAATCACAAGCACGGTTCCCATGTTTGCATCGGAGACATTTACCCGTGAGGAGGAAAGGATTTGGAATTCAAACTAGAGCCGTCTGTTCTCTACATCAACTCGGCGAGACTGCGCTGACGCCGGGCGAGGATCAGTAAACATGTTAGAACAACGGGATCCACGCGCCCCAGTGTGACGGTAGGAGATTCTGACATTTCAAAGGGTGTCACTACACAGCCGCCGAGGGAGCAAGGCAATCCTCAGGAGCGGGAGTGAGTGAGAGGATGGTGTGATGTCAGAAGAATCAGCCAAAAGGGCTGAGCGAGTTCGCACAGCAGAGCGGCCCTTCCTGTCCGTTTCTTCCAAAGTGAGGACTCTGCGGGGGCCTTGGCTGTGCTGCTCCCTCCACACGTGATTTTCACAGGTCACATCACTTCACGTGAACTCCAAGGTCTCCGTGGATATCATTTGAAATAAGTGAGATAGATTTGGGCTTGGAAAACTCTCTACAGAATTTTTCAGTCTTGAATAGAATGAGTCGTTCCTGATATTAAAAATATTTGAGCAAATTAAAAGAACTGCCTGGCCTGTTAACGGTTGTGAATCTACACGAATCAAACCACTGCCCTTACACAGCCTTGGCAGCGAGCTGCTGCTGACAGCTGCCACCACGAGCAGGTTTCCCCGGTGACAGGCACCCTTCTCAGCCCTCCCCGTGCGCCCAGCTGCCTCTTCCCAGCGCAGGAGAGAGGCCCTGCAGTCGCCATGGCACCGTGGAGTCAGTGGGGCACAGGGTGAAGTGCTCTGCCCAGAGTCATGCTCAGACTGAGCACAGCTGCCCGCCACACGGCTCCCCGTGTGAACTCTGACCTCTCCTGTCCTCAGTCACCATCTAGGAGACCAGTCAGTTTCGAGGTGCCAGGTACCCGCTTCTCCTGTGTGCCAAGTGCAACCCTAGAAGCCCTCTGACTCACTGGGCGCCAAGGGAAGGAAGCAGCCGTCACGGCAGGAAATACAGATCTCACTTATCACCCCAGAGAAAACAGCCCGCCCAGTCTGCTAAGTGTCTTTCTCATCTTTCCTGTAGAGATGCACACAGACTTTCTCACCACTGACAAAGCTGCAGTCATGCTCTATGTGCTGTTTGTGACCTGCCTTATTTCAATCAAATGGTAAGAACACAAGTTCACAATTCTTGGGGGGGAAAAATGGCACTTTTACTGGCTCTAGAGGGTTCCATAATTTGGATGATTGCGTACGACTTCTATTTTATTCACTTAAAATCATTTACATAGAGTTTAAATAAAATTTAAACTGATTCATTTTGAAATAATTTCAGATTTACAAAACAATTCACAGCCCTGGCCAGCTAGCTTGGCTGCTGAGAGCATTGTCCCAATACACCAACGCTGCAGGTTCCATCTGGTCAGGACAAATATAAGAATCAACCGATGAATGCATAAATAAGTGGGGCAACAAATTGATGTTTCTCTTTCTCTCTCCTTTCCTCTCTCTCTCAGATCAACCAACCAACCAACCAATAAGAATTGCAAAAGAAGTACACAGAACTCCCTTCAACCCTTCTCCCCGCTGCCTCAGAGGGTATGGATTCTCAAAATCACAGGACAATGATCAGAACCAGGAAATTAACACTGATTAAACACTATTAACTCATCTAGAGTCCTTAACCACATCCCGTTAACTGACCTACTACTGTCCTTTCCCCAGAAGAGGATCCCGTTCCGGACCAGACCTGCATTTAGTTCTCACGTCTCTTCTGTCTCTTTAACCTGGGTAGTTTTGTGGTATTTCTTTGTCTTTTGTGACCTTAATACTTTTTAACAAGAGTACTTACTGGTCAGCTGCTTTGTAGAATATCCTTCGATTTAGGTCTGGCTGATGTTTGCTTATGATTAAATTCGGGTTATGTGTTCTGGACAAGAAAACTACAGAAGTGGAGCTGCGTCCTCCGGACTTGCGGCCCACGAGGCCCCGTGAGGCCCACGCCCCAGCTGGTGCCGCCAGCTCGGACAGCTTGGTCAGGAGGCAGCCTGGCTTCCCGCTGGAAGGTTACTGTTTCCCTGTGATGAAGTGCCTTGTGGGAGCTGCTCTGAGACCATGTAAAATACCCCATTTTACCACCTCCACCCACTCCCGTTAGCATCTGGATGGTTCCTGCCTGAAACACACCCACTGAGGCGCCTGCCAATGCTGCTGCTCTATTTCCATCTCTCATTCTACATTTTTCCTTTGCATTTCTACTCTGAGGAAGGGTTTTCCCTTCCACCATTTATTTACTCAATCATTTCTTCCTATCAGTTTGGACTCGTGGAATTTGTTTAAGTTTATGGGCTATAATCCAACACTCTCATTATTTATTTTGGCACTCGACTATCAGATGGGCTTGACACATCTAATCCTGCGTGTCCAAACGGAGAAAAAAGAACCAGTTAGCTCTTATCTGCTGTGAACGTACCTCACTCCCACTCTGACCTCGCCGTTTCCTCCGGAGGCGAAGCAGGGCTGTGTTTGTGGGACCCTGGCCGGGTTTTGAGATGAGACCTATGTCTGCGGAAGGTGGTGGTTAACTAGCTTCCCAAGGAAACCAAGGACCCAATTGTGGCCCAGGCACTAACGGTTCACATCTGGAGGCTTCTAGAATATGCTCAACGCCAGGCGGCGCACTGTCAAACTCACTAATCGGGTGCTTATTTCCACATCTCCTCTTCAGGACAAACCACGTTGACATAAAAGGTTCACCTTTCTCAGGCAGAAGAGCTTGTCTCTGGAGCACAGAGAACTGGGGAGGAATGCAGCTCCCCGTTACTCACCACACGGTCTGGTAAGTTACTGATTTCCCAAGCCTCCATTTCTCATGTAAACCCGGGGTAACAGTGATACTGACAACTCAGTGGGGCCGAGGCAGCTAAAGATTCAAGATCACACTGGCAAAGCATCTGGCACCGTGTCTGACATCCAGGAGCATCGGACACATGTCCCTGTTAGGCCTACTCTGATGACGGGAAATACCGTTCCTCTGCCGTATGCAGGCACATCCTCAGGCAGCGTGCTGTGTGGGAAATGAATTGAAGAGGTAAGGAAACTACGGAGTGGGGGCAGTCTTCGGTCCCAGTATCGCTGCTGTGCTTCCGCCTGAGGCTTTCTCACGCACCGTGAACAGCGGAGAAACACTGACACTCACCTGTATCTTTGTTTTCATTGCCTGCAGAGACTGGACCACAGGGATGCAGTAGGCCAGAGTTTTACCTTTTAAAAGAGAGAAAAGCATTGAAACAGAGCCCCTGTGGTGACAGGGAGGAAAGCAGCCCTGCTCCCCGCGGGCAGCCCTGGACCTGGGGAAAGGAAAGAGCAAGCCCCCGGCCAAGAGGCAGGAGGGAGCCCGCTGTCTCCCCTCCTCTGTGCACTCAGTCCTCCTCCAGCTCCTTCCTCCCTCCCTGGGGGACACGGAGTTACATCCTCTAAACCACACAGGCTTGAGGGCTGTCTCGGAGGCTAGACAGCTCTCCTCTAAAGCAGGCTAAGCTCTCGAATGCGCTCGGTGGCCAGTAAGTGTCCTCTGTGGTGCTCGAGGGGGAGGGGCCAGGCCCAGGATGGCAACAACTTTGGGCTTCCTCCGCCCTGAATGACAGCTGAGTTGGGGGGAGTGGAGAACAGCTGATGAAGAGCACAGGAGGTCAGAAGAACATGCTGGGCTGTTCTGGAACATGCCAAAGCAGTGCTCCACGTCTGAGCAACCGACTGCATCCAAGCAGCGTGCGCTCAGGGCAGAACTGTTTAGCGCAGAAGAGGATACTCATGGCCAGTGCAGTAAGGACGGGCAGCTCACACAGGCGAGGGGACAGCCTCTGAGAACGAGAGCAGAACTTGACTCTCATGCTTCCTTTCACTACGTGAACTAATCCAGGGCTCCCCTTCCCCCACAAAACAAAGCAGCCACTAAAACGAGCAGACGCCTCGCCATCTAACCTAGCCGTGCCAGGCTGGCATGCTGGGAGGGAGGGCAGAAATGAAACGCCACTGACCTGAGCCCGTCTGGGACCTCACGAGCGCATCTCTGCCTTCCAGCAGCGCGGGAATGCTTTGCTTCTGGACGCTGGGGCCGCCAAAAGAGAGAGCATGGTTATCCACAGTCACCCGGCGGTTACGGCAGACAGGCAGGACACGCAAAATGCACTGCCCATGCGCTGCTCTACCGCTGCCTCCTCAGAAGTTACTGACACATTCCAGTGAAGATGCTGAGACATTTCTGACGAGCAGAAGACTAAAACCCTCAGTGAAGGTTCTGGAACTTGGCTGAAATGCTGAGGCAAGCTGGAGGCTGGCCATCCCATCGCACCAACTAAAACTAAAACGGGACAGCGTGTGGCAACCTGGAGCTGTCCTGAAGCACCTGCCCTGCTCTCTGCCGTGCGGAGGGGAACGGGAAGGCGGCACAGCGTGAGGGGAGATCCCCGCAGAGGAGTGAGGGGCTGTGAGCCCCGAGCACCAGCTGCCGCCATAGAAAAGCAAGGCCCCGCTGCAGGGACACACGGAGGCCTGTGTCCGTGTGCGTCTAAACACCAGCACTGAAAGGGGAGCGGAACCATGGAAATTTGGTTGACAAAACGGAACAAAACAATGGTGAGGGGCTTACATTCTGTTTACCCACAGAAGCACGCACTCAGAGGGTTCTCTCGCCTCTGCTCCACGCCTTTCACTGCTCTCCTTTCTGGGAGTCTTCGTTACTAACAAACATTTTTAAAAATTTTCAGTATCCCATTACATCCAACCGAATACTCTCTTCTGGCTTTTAGGTTGACTACCTCTTACTACTAAGAAACCACAATCCACTCTGTATTTTTAACAAATTACTTTCAGGGGAGCACGAACAACAGCGAGGTCTATCAGACATCTTCCAGGCCAGAGACCTGCAGTGCGGAGCTGAGGGCTTCCTGTTTGGCAGGTGGGGGAACCGAGGGGCTGAGGGGCAGGGCTAGCCCTCCACAGTCCATAATCTGGTGTGTTCTCCAACACTAACACACATACTGGCTCAGTCCTCCACAGACAATTCAGATTCCATACAATTTTACCCACTTAAGTCCTAAGACAATCAGGACTCGCCTGGAACTCTTACCTGGTCATATGATATATGTTCAAGACTGTATTCAGTGTGGAAATCTGAAAGAGAAGAAAAAAAAATACATATATACATACATATATACACACACACACACACACACACACACACACATATTCTTTATCAAATTTTTAGTATAAATTTATACAAAATATAAACAAATTTTTATTTAGAAATAAGGATGCAAAAAACAACAACAAACCCACCACAGGTGAGACTGGTCACCATGATCAAACTAAGCTGCAGCGAGGCGTGGTGCTCGGGTGGCGCTGCCCCAGAGGCGGCCCGGAGGACGCTCTGGCTGTTGTAACTGGGAAGGGGTTCCTGGCACCAGTGAGCAGGGGCTCGGGTGCCGCTCAACACCCTACAAGGAGCTGCCTCCCCAAGGTGTCCGCGCAGCCAGGCTGAGCAGCCCGCTCACCCCTGCAGGAGCCAGGGAGAACCCACCCTGGAGGAGGTGGTAAGCCAGGACCCCGCAAGCAAAGGGACTCCCTAACGTTCGTGGATTTTCTCTCCTTTCTCATAAGCATGGCACACTCAGGCAGGGGAAAGAAAAAGGGTTTGTTCGGAGAAAGTGCATGTTAAAACAGTCTCTTTCTCCTTCGATGCCTTTAACCACAGACAATCCTCAGCAGCAAGATGCAGCTCAGTCCCCACTATGGCCGCTGTGACATCTGCACCCAGAGAGCCTCAGTCACATCTACCCAAAATGAGGAGGCTGAGTGAAAGCCCAGTAAATGGAGCCAGGTCCTAACTGAACTGGGGGGGAGGGGGGGGATGGAGCCCAGTCCTAACTGAACTGGGGGGGGATGGAGCCCAGTCCTAACTGAACTGGGGGGGGATGGAGCCCAGTCCTAACTGAACTGGGGGGGGATGGAGCCCAGTCCTAACTGAACTGGGGGGGGATGGAGCCCAGTCCTAACTGAACTGGGGGGGGGGGGTGGAGCCCAGTCCTAACTGAACTGGGGGGGATGGAGCCCAGTCCTACACTGAACTGGGGGGGATGAAGCCCAGTCCTAACTGAACTGGGGGGGATGGAGCCCAGCCCTACATTGAACTGGGGGGGGGATGGAGCCCAGTCCTACACTGAACTGGGGGGATGGAGCCCAGTCCTACACTGAACTGGGGGGGGTGGTGGAGCCCAGTCCTAACTGAACTGGGGGGGATGGAGCCCAGTCCTAACTGAACTAGGGGGGGATGGAGCCCAGTCCTAACTGAACTGGGGAGGATGGAGCCCAGCCCTACACTGAACTGGGGGGGGGTGGTGGAGCCCAGTCCTAACTGAACTGGGGGGGATGGAGCCCAGTCCTAACTGAACTAGGGGGGGATGGAGCCCAGTCCTAACTGAACTGGGGAGGATGGAGCCCAGCCCTACACTGAACTGGGGAGGGGGGTGGAGCCCAGTCCTAACTGAATGGGGGAGGGAACTGGTGAGGGGATAGGGACAGCGAACTGAGCTTGCTGCTCACCGCACTGCCCTGGGAGCGCGCCTTATGGATCTGAGCTTACACAGGAAACTGGGAGCAGACACCCTGAGCCGGGACGTCCCCCCTAGACTGCCTTTCAGACGTTCTGAGTGAATGAGCACACCAAACCAGCGACCCCTGAACCGCAGAGAGGAACTTACCAGGTGTGGGTGGAGGTCCAGCTCATGGAAAGCATCCGAAGAAAACACCTTTTCTTGCACCTGCTTCACCTCAGGTCTGCAAATGACCAACAAAATCGGGCATGAGCTCCAACCAACAAAGAAAAACGCCGAGTCCACCGGCCCTTCATTCCCGAGGTGCGCTGCCCCGCCGTACCTGGGGAGCTCGGGGATCTCGGGGTTGTTTTTAAACAACGACGAAGTCTTCACGGCCGGCTTCTGCTCCTGGCTCTTCTCCCCCGCACCAGCCACAGCCTTCTTCCGAGAAAACACCTTCTGCGCCTGAGCCTTCCCCTTCAGGCCCCGCGGCGCTGGCTTGGCGGCGGCTTTCCTGGCGGGCAGGGAGGCCGCGGCGCCCCTTTTGGCTGCGGGAGCCCCGCTGGGCCCCTGGCGTTCCCTCTTGGCGGCCTGTGCGCGCTGCCCCCAGGAAAGGAAAGAGCGGGAGAGGTGCGTCAGGCCATGAAGACAGGCCTCAGAGTGAAGCGTCACTGCCCGCGGAATGGCAGCCCCGCAGAGATCATTACGCCCCAGGTGGCAAGCAACAGTTTAGGGCCTGCATCACACTCTTTGCCTCGGCTTTTTTCCTCAAAACAAACAAAAAACAAAACACACACACAAAACCCCCCACCAAAGCTCAGCTCACTCCTCTCTGAGCCCTCACCAGCCATCTTAACCACCAACTCAGCCACGAAGAGGGGAGGGGCGGGAAAAGGGAGCAGCGAGTTGGTCCTGGGAGAAGCGTGCCTGCTAAGTCAGCTACATCGCCAGGAAGCCACTCCCTGAGAAGCAGCCGTGGGAGAGAATCAATCTCTTCTCCCATCAGCCCGGGTGACTACACGCGGGACACTGCCCCGCCAGTGCCCAGGGAGCAGGAACGTCCACCCTGCGCCCCAGAGAGCTGGTCACCGGCCCCCTCCCCTCGGGCTGCTCCCCCAGATCCAGGTGGTGTGGAGACAACTCCTACTGGCAGTTTCCATTCCAATGGGGAGTCCTGTCCCACCCACCACTCCGACCACAGTGACTTCCAAGTCTCCTTTCCATTCCCCACCTGGTCACGACTGCAGCCACGTCACCAGGCTACTTTCTTGCCTGGTGATTCCTATTTCCATAACGTGAATGTGGTTAAGTACACACCGTCCAACCGCCCCAGGAGGAGAGGCATCCAATTCCTCCATTTTCTTTGGCCTTCTCTTCCAATTTACCCGGGAAAGAAAACATCATGTGAGTAGCCAGTGCCTGCTCCTCTGGAATTTTGGTTTCTCTGGGAATGTTATTTTCCTCTTAGCTTGAAATGAGGACTTTCACGTACACACCAACTTGTTTTATTTTTAGCTTTAAAATATATTTTATTGACTTCAGAGAGGAAGGAAGAAAAAGAGAGAGCTAGAAACATCAATGATGAGAATCATCGATAGGCTGCCTCCTGCATGCCCTTACTGGGGATCAAGCCCGCAACCTAGGCGTGTGCCCTGGACTGGAATCAAACCCAGGACCCTTCAGTCCACAGGCCGATGCTCTATCCACTGAGCCAAACCGGCTAGGGCCCTTATTATTTTTTAATATATTTTTACTGATTTCAGAGAGAGGAAGCAAAGGGAGAATCATTGATAGTCTGCCTCCTGCCCCCTAATGGGGATCAAGCCCGGGCATGTGCCCTGACCAGGAATCGAACCATGACCTCCTGGTTCATAGGTTGATGCTCAACCACTAAGTCAAGCCAGCTGGGCACACACCAGCTTGTTTTAGCCATAACAACTCACTTCAGACTAACCTACCAATAATAGCTATTTGTTCCTGGCAACCATAAGGTCTTCTATATCTTAGTAATTTAAAACACACTTCAATGAGGAACCTTTGTAATAATATGAACAATAAAGATTAAAAAAAAACCACTTCAAACATTTAATATTAATCATAAGTACTGGCCTACTATTTTATAAATTTATTTTTACAAAGTCCCAAGTGCATGCATTTTCAGGTTAAAAAAGAAACAAAGAGATGAAGTCAAATTTCAGGTGTGTTGAATCACCTGCAAGGCAGAATGAAATGCGCAGATTTTATCCGAGATCCATGGAGCATGGGCGACTGGAGCTTGAAAAGCCAGGAAGGCCACGCCCAGCGCACCCGCTCCCTCCCCCAGGCTCCCTGACAGGTGGCCTGGCAGTTGCTGTCTAATAACCCCTCTGGTCTCATCCCTCAAGGCAGGCGGATTCTGTGGGTTTAGAAGCTGTTTCTGACCTGCAGGCAGGATCTGCCGCCTTGAACATCTACCTCAGCAGCACAGAACAAGTACTTGCTCTGCACGAAATATCCTTCATACACCAATAATTGCTTTTCTCCCTCCCCTTTGGGCTAAACATTCCAAACAGGACACACATTTTAGCTCCCTTACCATCCGCTCGCCCTCTATTCCCATGCCAGCTTCTCTCTAAAAGCAAGCGCAGAGGAGTTAAGCCTATGAGACAGGCTTTCCATGGCTCTTAGGCTGAAATAAAAAATCTGTAATTTGATCTACAAAGCCCTCCAGAACCTGGCTCTGCCCATCTCACCAGTCTCAGCTGTACCCGCTGCTGCCCTGGCCGTCCCTAATTCCAAGCACGTGCCACGCTCCTTCCTCAGGGCCTTTGCACATGCTGTTCCCACACCATGTCTCCAGGCCTCCCTCTGGCTGGCCAACTAATCCTCACCCTCCACATCGAGGCTGACGTGTCCTCCGAAGAGCCTTTCCCGATCTCCTCGCCACCCAGCCGTCCCCTGCATTGGCTCGTGCCTGACCCAAACTGTGCGCTCTATACATGCATGTAAGGTGAACGAACTACACGCAATGGAATTTTCCCTTCCCGCAATCTGGACACTTTCCAACCACTTGTTAGCTTCCCCCAATCCACAACACATTAGCATGAGACCACTCAGCAGAATGAAATGTGCAGGATACAAAGCTGAAAGATTTGCCAGCCTCCTGAGGAAGCACACAGGAAAGAGACAAAAGTGCAAACCCCAAATCCAAGCCTAGAGCTGTACCACAGGCGAGGCCTGTGCACAGGGTTCCGAGAGCCCGTGGCAAGGGTACAGGAATGCTTCTCGAGGTGGCATCTGAGCAGGGGAGCAAGGACATATCTACATCTACGCAGAATCAGCTGCACAGCTTTAAGCAAATCACTTCTCTGAGGCTGTCCTGCCCCGGAAAAGGAGGGGCTGCGGCGGCAGATGGCCTCTGGGGGCCTTCTAGCCCGAAGTCTAAAGACCACGTCCTTGATGTTAATAAGCATACTGAGTAGTTAGTTAGTGCTTACGTGAATTAACTCACTTATCAATACAGGTGGGTATCATCTCATTTTGAGCTGAGAACTCTGAGGTGTGGGGTAGGCATGGACTCACAGCCCAGGTTCCTGATGAAAATGCTATCGTACTATTTATTAGTTGTATGATGTTTCCTTAGAAAGCATCATGAATAATTTGATCCCTATTTTGTTTTGAGTTGTTTTCTGCAAAGGACATATACCAAAACGTTAACCAAGCTTATGAATGCGTGTTTTTAAATCTACTTCTGGAATTTTCTAATTATTATTTTCAAAATTATTTTGTTTAAAAAATCAGGAAAAAAAAAACTTTAGAAAGAAAATATTCTGCACCGAGTTCAAAAATCTTTCCAAATGCAGTGTATCCACCCCAAGTTCAGGCTACTGGCAAATTTGATCAGCATAATTCTCATTCAAGACTCAAATGAAAATGTAGACAAGACCGCTGCAGACACTTGTCATCACCTCATTAACACCCTTTGACACAATAGTTCAAACACTGGTAAATTCAGACATCCTTTGTTTACTTATGCAAGTTTCAGTAAATGCTTCCTTCGTGCTAGTTACAAGGCAAGTACATGGTAAAAGCAAGCGCCCCACCGACCTCCCGATGTAGCAATTCTGTGACACAAAATGGAGCCCATAGGAACTTGCTTGTTTTATCACTGGCGTTTATTAAATGCCTCTGAGGAAATGTCCAGTTTTTAATGTATATTACTTTTTTAATCCTCAGAACAACCTCACATAAAGTACAAGTTACTGTCCTCATTTTATGGCTAGGAAAGTAAGGATCAGAGAGGTGAAGTAACTTCCTCAAGGTCACAGCAAGGCTGGCATCTAATCCCAGGTCTCTCACTCCAAATACCACACTCTCCCCTTCAGCCCTTCCCTCCTCCTCCCTCTCTCCCCTCCCCCCCATGCGGCCACACCACTGGCTAGCCGAAAACTTACTCCCAAACTTCCAAATCCTAAAGTTTGCCACACACGCACCCAGACAAAATAAAAATAAAATAAAATAAATAATCAAAGAGAAGCGAGACTCTGGGTGTCAGCTTATAAGAACTCAAGGAATTTCGGCTGCACTGAAACGTGGCAATAAAATTTTTCAACAGAATGATCCGTTGCTTTTCCAAGAAAACACACACACACACACACACACACACACATCCCGTTTTGGTAAGAGATTGAGCTTTTTCTGCTGTTGGAAGTAACGAGATTTTGCAACAGATTTTCTGCCCTAAAACCCCTCCCCTTTTCTAGGAGGGAACCCATCCATCATCCTAGAAACCAGTTTTCCGCTCTGGCTAGGGTTCAGTTTCCAGCTTCTCTCCCCTCCCTGGTGGGGGACTTATGTTGGCGAGTTTGTATTTACTTTCCCCCCCCCTCCCTGCCCAGGGACGACATCGATGCCATTTTTCGAACGCACTGAAAAAAAATGCTGGTCTCTAATCCTCGATGCTGAAAAGAAAGACCCTCACGGTCGAGAAAACGACGGCTGCGATTCGTGGGTGGTGCCATGGCTGGGCCTCAGGCCCAGGCGTCCATCCTAACTTCTAGGGGCGGCGGCCTCCAATCCGGGCCTCGGACTCCATCCGCCCGCAGCGCGGCCCGCTCTGGCCCCCGGGGGCATCCCCGCAGGCGGGGGGTGCCATCGGCGCTCGGACACCAGTTGCTCGGCGACACCCCCAGAATCCGCCCGACTCCCCCTCCCCCGCCCCACCCCCTCCTCCGGAAACCGCTCCAGAGCGGGCCCAGGGGCCGGCGGCCTGTCGGGCCTGTGGCCGGGTGGGAACTCACCCGCTTCGCCGGGGCCGCGCGGGGCCCGGAGGACGTCCCGGCGGCGGCGGCGGCGGCGGGCTCGGAAAGCTGGAGGGGCGCTCCGTCGGTGACTGCCATGGCGGGCGGGAGGCACGGACACTCGCGGACTAGCGGGCGCGTCTGGACCTCGACAACTAGGGCCGTGGCTCCGCTGGCGCTCACGTGGGACCCGCGCGAGGACCCCGCGTAGCTGCCCCGCCCCCGCCTGCGGCCGCGCCCCTTTCCGGGCCCTCAGCGCCCGAGAGCGCTCACACGCCCCGCCCCCGGTGACCGCAGCCGCGGCGCGGGGGGGAGGAGGGGGGCGGGGTGGCCGTCCCGCTTGGCGTCCCTCGGGGCTCGGCCGGTGGCAGCGGATGCCAAGTGACACTCAGCCCCAGAGTCCATGCTTGTGAGGTGCTTTGTATTGCTCTGAGGAGTAAGAGGCCGGGCGCGATCGAACCAGCATTTCCTCCGTTTGCGCTCGTGTTTCTCTTTCCTCCGCAGTTGAGTGGCCCCAGGGAGGTCACTAAGGAGGGTCTGAGGCTCGGTCACCCGGAGTGGGGGCCCTCTAGGCCTCCTGCCCCCAACCCACCCATCGGCCAAGTTCAGGCGCCAGGGGCCGGCCTTGTAGAGGTGGCACTTTTTTTTTAGACAGGCAGCGCCTTGGCCACCCGGCCAGGCTGTGTCGCCTAGCAACGGCGGGGTCCTTCCTGGCTCGGCGGCGCTTCGGGCCTGAGGGGAGAAAAATCGCCGCGGAGGGCGCTGGGGGCCGAACGGCGGCGCGCGGGCGCGGGAGGCGGCAACCGGCCGGCGACGCGGGACTGGCGCGCCCGGGGGATCCGCCGCCGCATCTAACGGGAGATGAACCCGGCCGACAAGGACCGGGTGCGGCCCGCGGCCGACGGGCCTGCGCCGCCCGAGGAGGAGGAGGAGGAGGGGGGCGAGGCGGGCGGGAGGGAGCCGGCGGCGGACGCGACCCCCGGGCCCAGCGACGCGTTCCGCCTCCTGGCCGCCCGGCGGGAGCCGGCCGTGAAGCTGCAGCACCCGGTGAGCGGCCTGGAGCCGCTGGCCTGGTCCGAGGACCACCGCGTGTCCGTGTCCACGGCCCGCAGCATCGCGGTCCTGGAGCTCATCTGCGACGTGCACAACCCGGGCCAGGACCTGGTCATCCACCGCACCTCCGTGCCCGCCCCTCTCAGCAGCTGCCTCCTCAAAGTAAGCCCTCCCGGCCCCCCAGCGGCCGCGGCCCGGTCCCCGGGGACTCCCCGCCCGCCGGCGCCGAGCCCGGGGATTCCCCTCTGCACCCAGCGCCCGGCCGGGGCGGAGCGGCTGGGGTCGCCGTGGCTGACCCCCCAAAACCGCAGCGATTTGTGCCCAGCGTGCAGGTCACGCACCCCTCCCGACACTCTCAGCCCCGAGGCGCCCCCGGAGCCGGTCCCCCGCGCCCGGCGGCTGCGGTGCGGGGTGCTCTCCGCGGCGGAGCGGCCTGAGACTGCACCCCCGCGGACCCCCCGGCGCCCCGCCGCCGCTCCCTCCCATTGTCTGGGCTCACGCCCCGCGGCCCCTGGCTGGCTTTGTTCTCCGAGCGGCCCCCGCCTCTCCCTCCTCCTCTGCTTTGGGGAGAAAAAGTTGGTCCTTTCCATGGTCCTAACTGCTCCAGCGACCTTATGATGAATGGGTCTCGCCCTGGGCAGATGGGCAAATTCTGGACTGGAGCTTCCTTTCCCTCGGGTGTTTCTTTAATGGCTACAGACCCTCTGGGAGTGGAATGAAAAGTCCCTGGCAGCAGACAGGTCTTTGTGTAGCGTTAGTGCTTCCAGCCTCACAGAAGCGAAGTTTGCCTTCATAACTTGGGGTCCCTAAGTTTCACTCTAGCAGTGTTCCTTTAAGACTCTTTTTTTTTTTTTAAGGTTCATGTTCATGGTTTAGAAGTCCAGCGTAGACACGTTCGCTGTGTCCGTTAAAGATCTGTGTGTGTGTGTGTGTGTGGTCGGTCTGTCAGTGTAAATTCACTCATTGGACAGACGCTGGGATACCACTCTGTCCGCTGGGTGCTGACTTAGGTGCTGACAAGTTAGCGGGGTACAAAACAGGCCCTGCCCCCGGGGCTCGCGTTCTTTAGCAACTAGTGAACAAGTACCAGGGTTCTGTCAGGTGGTGACAGGGGCTGTAAAGTTACTACCTGTAGGGTGTCCCCCGAAATGGATATATACTTTAACAGCTGGCCGCTCAACTGATACTGCTTTTCAGATGTAACCCATTGGAATTAAAATTATTGTTGTGTGTATACATTTTTGGGGGGACATTCTATATCTACAGAGAATGCATTTATGTGAAAGTGAACTTTAAAAAACACACAAAACCCTCTCACACTGCGTTCATTTTAAATGCAGGAAGCCCACACCACTTTTTAGCATACCATATTTTTCGGACCATAAGCTCCGGACCATAAGACGCACCAGTTTTTAGAGAAGGGAAATGAAGAAAAAAAGATTCTGAAACAAATAGTGTCCTAAAATATTTTATGTGCATTAAAACCCAACATTACAGTCATCAACACATGTAATCAACCCTGTAAAGTAAACAGCAGCATTTAGAACCATTTTAGAGCAGGGCAAGCACACAGAGCCGGGCAAGTAAAAAAACTTTTTTTTAAAAGTATATGTGTAGGCTATATTTGGACCATAAGACGCAGGGACTTTTCCCCCCCACTTCTGGGGGGGAAAAAGTGCGTCTTATGGTCCGAAAAATATGGTAATTCATTCAAGTTTTAAACGGACAACTTGGTGTTGAATTGGGTCCTTGGTAAACTTGTATGCCTAAGCCCTCTAAGATCTTCTTTGAGAAGATACCAGTTGGTCCAAATATAAGCAGGTCAGGTGGACAGGTGCCGGGGTGCTGTGAAGGGGAGAAACACCAGTGGAGGAGGCAGAAGAAGGGGTTTTAGGAGTATCTGCTGAAAAGGAACTTCCTGTCTGAGGATATTCACATGTGTCTCAGCTAGAGAAAACTGCGTGGACACAGTAGGGATTTGGAGAAGAGCAGTTCAGAGGAGGAGTAGAGACTGCAGCAGTCCTACAGGCCGGCGGGGAGAGGAAGGAAGGTGTGGGTGTTCCAGGTGGTGGACAAAGTGTCCATCTCATGCATATGCAGTTAAGGTGAGAGCAGTCATTTACTACTGTTGGTCTGTAATGATTCGTCAACAGATGAACTCAAATAGCCCTTCTAGAGAGTCCGGGAAAGAGCAGGGAGGCCAGTGTGGTGACACTGACAGGCAGGGAAAGGAGCTCGGCTTCATCCTAAGAAGCCGTGGTGCTGTGAGAGGTTCACCGTGGACGGACCTGGTGTGGCTCAGGAAAGGGAAGCTGGCTGGCCGCAGGCAAGCGGATGGCAGTGGGGCTATAAAATAGAGGTAAGAGACAGGGCTCTGGCACAAAACAAGACAGGCCTGCCTATGACGGGATAATAAAACCCACCTGGTTTAGACCTTTTGGAAGATGGTTACATATGTGGATATTTACATATGTATACACAATACACATAAACACATACATTAAGCAGTGGCACAGCTCCTGGCTCACTATAAATGCTCAAGGTAAACAGGCAGCACACGGCCCTGACCAGTTTGGCTCAGTGGATAAGGAATGAAGGGGCCCGGGTTCGATTCCAGTCAAGGGCATGTACCTTGGTTTCGGGCACATCCCCAGTTGGGGGTGTGCGGGAGGCAGCTGATCAATGTTTCTTTCTCATCCATGTTTCTAACTCTATCCCTCTCCCTTCCTCTCTGTAAAAAAAGTCAGTAAAATACATTTTTTTAAAATGCAGCATACAGTATGGAGGACAAGTGGCTTAGTGCTGTGGGCATGGCTATGAGGTGTCCATAGTGCCCTGACAGCAATTTGACTCTTTATATGTCACACTAATAATTGATCATAGCTTCCGAAATTAATGTCATCTTCCTCTGTGTGCTGCCCTCTCGGTAGCCTAGGGCTGCCTGCTGACTGAAGCCCGATTGTCCCTGCGACTCAGAGACCCCTGGGACAAAACTGGCAAGATGGTAGCATGTAAAAAAGTCTGTGTGGGTACTTCGATGGCTCTGCCCATTGACCATCTGGGGTTTTAAACCCACTCACTGCTATTGTTCACCGCTGCTCTGACATAGGAAATGCACATTCTGCCACCTGGATCACAGTTCGAGTGTGTAGCAAGGCTAGAAGGTTAGCCTTATGATTCTGTTCTTTAGATTATTAATTCCTTTCAGAAAACATGCAGTTATATAATAGTTCATATAGCCACCGTCTTCAAGTTACTGCCCTGGGCATTAGGGCTATGTGACATGAATCTGAAAAGCAATAAAATAGTGATTTAAGAATGATATAGTCTTCCCATTGGACTGCTGATTTAGAGAATCATGCAGTTGTATGTAGTTCCAAATCCTACTAATATATGTATAAGTCCTTTTATTGAGTGCCAGTTGTTAGGAGCGTTTGAAAGTATTAGCTCCATCTACTACAGGAAGTTAATAACTATTTCCTGTCTTTGGAATCTTATTCCTGCCCTCAAGGAGCTTACTGTATAATAGCTTCAAGTTTTTATTTGCTAGGTTCTTAGTGGCCAATTGGAAAAGGATCCTATATATATACTAAAGAGCTAATTAGACTAGACCGGGCGGCAGAATGACCTTCTGAAATGACCAGTGGGCAGGGGGTGGGCTTCGAGGCAGCCAGGCCTGCAGGGGCTGAGGTGGCAGCTGGGGCTGCTGTGAAGACAGAGCTCCTTGCACGAATTTTATGCATCGGGCCTCTAGCAGAATGTAATTAAATGGTTCGGGGGGGAGGGAGGTGTCAGCCTCTGCGAGCTGGACTCTGAAGTGGTATGTTTCTTGGGCATCTGAGTATTATTTTAATTTGTTAACTAATTGTGATATGCAATAGGTTCATTCAAACTAACATATTAGAAATCACTGCACAAAACCGTAAGAATTTCCCTGCTGCTCTCCACCCTCCCAACAATCCTCCTCACGAGAAGGCCAAGGGGTGAGTGAGCTCCTGTACTTTATCCTGTGCCGCTGCTTTGGGTTACAAATTCCATCAGTTCACTTTCAGTTCTATAGTAGCTTTTATTTATAGCAAGTTTACCTATTCTAACTTATAATATTATAGGATTTGGTGAACAATTTTATATCTACCCTTCATTTGGTAGACAACATTACCCAACATTTTACACTACTCTTATTAGGTCTCATTAACGTTTACCCCTGAGAGAATTAATAGTCATCATCATAGCTAGCATTTATTGAGCACTTACTAATGTACGCTTTACATATATTGACTTATGTAACCTTCCTAACTCCATGAGACTTGCAGTAGTATTCTTTGTAAATGAGGCACTTTGGGCCAGGGGTCTGCCCAGTGTGTGCAGGGGCAGGAGCTGTTACTGGACAGAGCCAGGATTCGTTGTGTCATCTTTCACACTGTATCTACCCTGAGGAAGCTCTGAGCTTTTATTAGCATTCTTTTATTAACCAGCTAATTGCGCCTGTCATCGGAACTTCTGGTTTATACTATGTCTCCAGCATGCCCGTCAGTGTATCCAGATTACTGTGCCTTTTAAAAATCAAGGTGGACTGCCTGAGACACTGTTGCAGAGTATTTTTTAGGATGACCCCTCCTCTCCCCATACAGCAAAGCATGGTTTAAAAGTTTGACGCCAAGTCTCTGCCGGCCCCTGTAACTCTCAGGGAGAAATGGCTAGAGCCACAGAGCTCCTTCTCAAGGGACAATTCAGGGGAGTCATGTGTGTAACACACTTCAGGAAAGGTTAGTTTCCTAATTCACTTGTTGGACAACTTTATGTCTGCCTTTCATTTTACATGCTTATTTATGTTACCTGGCAGTTGCAGCAGAAGAGAGAATAACATTACATTTTCCCAGTTATCTTATGCTGGATTCTGATGGACACTGCTGTCTACATAAACCAGTCGTTTGTTAAAACATTGAGGAATTGTATGCCCTACCAGGCTTAATGGTCTGGCTTTTGTTACCTTATTTACGTTTTGGGGGTATTTTAAAACTTTCTTGCACTCCAGTTTTCTAACACATTCCCAGTTGTCCAAGCTTTACTAAGAAATGCTGTTAGTGGGGCAGAGTTCCACATCTTCAAAGTTCTGTCTGTGTCCTGGAGTTAATTACTCTGAGTGCAGGGACTTAGACTCAGAGAGACTTTTATTACATCTGTATATGTCTTAGGCTTGAGTTTGTGTGTGTGTGTGTGTGTGTGTGTTTATATATGTTTTATTGATTTTTTACAGAGAGGAAGGGAGAGGAATAGAGAGCTAGAAACATCCATGAGAGAGACACATCGATCAGCTGCCTCCTGCACACCCCTTATTGGGGATGTGCCCTAAACCAAAGTATGTGCCCTTGACCGGAATCAAACCTGGGACCCTTCGGTCTTCAGGCCAATGCTCTATCCACTTTGAATTCTTTTTTAATCACATTTTTCTACCTATTCCAGTTTGAAAATCAGCATATATGTAAAAGGAGATTGGCATTAAAAAGGAATGGGAAGATTCTGCTTGCTTTCTCTGTTAGCCATTTCTCTAACATAGTAGGTCAAGCTCTTTCTTCTTGCTTCTGACATACAGAAACCATATTTTATTTGACGTGTGCTGCCCCCCCGCCCCTGGCTTTAGGCTTCCTGGTTATTTCCTTATGGCTCTGGACCACATTCTTTTGGTCATTTATCTTCCCCCATCTTTTTGTTTGTTATTTTTGTTGATTTCAGAGAAAGGAATGGAGAGGGGGGGGGGGGGAGAGTGAGAGAAGGATCATCAATGATGAGAATCATTGATTGGCTGCCTCCTTCATGCCCCCTACTAGGGATCAAGCCTGTAACTCAGGCATGTGCCCTGTCAGAGAAGCTAATCTTGACCCTGGTTCACGGAACGATGTTTAACCACTGAGCAACACCAGCTGGGACTCTTCCCCCATCTTTAATGTCCCTTTACAATCTTTTTAAATAGAATGCCTTCATATAGCTAGGCACTGGTGATGTACATTACAAACTTGGAAGATGGAGAGGAAGTTTGTATTTGTATTGCAAAGATATTGTAAGAATCCAAATACCTAACTGTATTAAAGATGTATATTTTCATGCATTTTAACACTTTTATTGTCTTGTGATTAGTTTAGCTAAATGCTCTTTTGACTCTTTAAGAATCAGCCAGGTTGGTATGGCTCAATGGTTGAGTGTTGACCTATGAACCAGGAAGTCTCGGTTCTATTCCTGGTCAGGGCATATGCCAGGGTTGCAGGTTGGACTGGCTGCCAATGGTTCTTTCTCATCATTGATGTTTCTACCTCTCTCTCCCTGTGCCTTCCTCTCTGAAATCAATAAAAATATGAAAAAAATAATTAAGTACATTTCTCTCATCTTCATTGCTTATGTCACTTCTAAGAAGATGGAAACCAGGCTATAAACAATGGCAACATTTATTCTGATCCTTTAAAAAAAAATTGTGATCATATGGTTATTTAGTTTTAGGCTTGTATTTGACCTTTTAAATGCATGTCATACTAAAATTAACAAAACGGATAGAAAAATTTTGTATATATGTTTTATATGTAAAATTTTGTAGTATACAGTTAATATAGCCTAAGTAATATAAATATATTTTTAGAGTGAAATATTTATCTGATAGCTTTTATACTTCTTATTTCCAGGTTGGCTCAAAAGCAGAAGTTGCCCAGTGTAAAGAGAAATTTGCCAGCTCTGCAGACCCCGCCATCAGCCAGACCTTCATGCTAGACAGGGCATTCAACCCAGAGGGGAAGGCTTTGCCCCCACTGAGAGGGTTCAAGTACACCAGCTGGTCCCCCATGGGCTGCGATGCTAACGGCAGGTGCATCTTGGCGGCTCTGACCATGGACAATCGCCTGACCATCCAGGCTAACCTCAACAGACTGCAGTGGGTCCAGCTGGTCGACCTGACTGAGATTTACGGAGACCGTCTCTTTGAGACCAGTTACAGGTTCTCTAAGACCGAGGCCCCGGGAGGGAACCTGGCGGACTTTGCCGAGTTCCAGAGGAGGCACAGCATGCAGACCCCGGTGCGCATGGAGTGGTCCGGCATCTGCACCACGCAGCAGGTCAAGCACAACAACGAGTGCCGGGACGTGGGCAGCGTGCTGCTGGCCGTCCTCTTTGAGAACGGCAACATCGCCGTGTGGCAGTTCCAGCTGCCTTTCGTGGGCAAGGAGTCCATCTCCTCCTGCAACACCATCGAGTCGGGAATCACCTCTCCCAGCGTCTTGTTCTGGTGGGAATACGAGCACAATAACCGGAAGATGAGCGGCCTCATTGTGGGGAGCGCCTTCGGGCCTGTGAAAATCCTCCCCGTCAACCTCAAGGCCATTAAAGGCTATTTCACGCTGAGGCAGCCCGTCGTCCTCTGGAAGGAGATGGACCAGCTGCCCGTGCACAGCATCAAGTGCGTCCCGCTCTACCACCCTTACCAGAAGTGCAGCTGCAGCTTGGTGGTGGCCGCCAGAGGGCCCTACGTGTTCTGGTGTCTCCTCCTCATCTCCAAAGCAGGTCTGAACGTCCACAACTCCCACGTCACGGGCCTCCACTCCCTGCCGATCGTCTCCATGACGGCCGACAAGCAGAACGGGACAGTGTACACCTGCTCCAGTGACGGCAAGGTGAGGCAGCTGATTCCCATCTTCACTGACGTCGCCTTGAAGTTTGAACACCAGCTGATTAAGCTGTCAGAGGTGTTCGGCCCCGTGAGGACACACGGGATAGCGGTGAGCCCGTGCGGGGCGTACCTGGCCGTCATTACGACTGAGGGCATGGTCAACGGCCTCCACCCCGTGAGCAAGAACTACCAGGTCCAGTTCGTTGCTCTCAAAACTTTTGAAGAGGCAGCTGCTCAGCTCCTGGAATCTTCGGTTCAGAACCTCTTTAAACAGGTAGACTTACTAGACCTCGTACGCTGGAAGATTCTGAAAGATAAATACATCCCTCCGTTTTTACAAGAAGCTTTGGAAAAAAAGATCGAGAGCAGCGGGGCCACCTACTTTTGGCGCTTTAAACTTTTCCTCCTGAGGATTCTGTACCAGTCGATGCAGAAAGCCCCGTCCGAAGCCTTGTGGCAGCCCACCAAGGAGGACGCCAAGACCTTACCGGTCGACTCCCCTGGGCTGGGCCCCGCCGAGGACGAGCAAGAAGAAGGCACGTCCTCCAGGCCGGCGGCCAAGCAGGGCCTCCAGGAGAAGAGCAAAGAGGGGGACCCGGACGACCCGGCGGATGACTCGCTCACCCAGGCTGGGGACGCCGGAGGCCACGAGCCGATGGAGGAGAAACTGCTGGAGATCCAGGGGAAGATCGAAGCTGTGGAGATGCACTTGACCAGGGAGCACATGAAGCGGGTCTTGGGGGAAGTGTACCTGCACACCTGGATCACGGAGAACACCAGCGTGCCCACCAGGGGGCTCTGCGACTTCCTCATGTCCGACGAGGAGTATGACGACCGCACAGCGCGGGTGGGTGTTGCTTGGCAGAACGCTGAGCCTGCCAGGCCTGCTGTCTGTGGGACTCCATTGAATTTCTGAAGCTCGGTTTGTGCTTCCACGTGTTTTCGGTAGTTGAGGGACCCTGGGGGGGAAGGGGCGCGCAGAGGGAACCACAGGCCAATGTCAGCTTCCCCTTTCTCTGCTTTGGTCTTGCGGTTATACTGCTTCAGCAGTGAAAGTCTCAAGAACACTGATCCACTTCATTCCTTTGTTGGAAAAACGTTCGTGGCTGTATCACTGGGATGGGAACCCCAGCCCTTCAGAAACATCTTGTCTCACTAGCAGTTCATGTCCTTTGTCGTTTTTAACCCATTTACACTGGAGCTCCAAGTGTAGACGGCCCTCTACACCTGCCGTTCCCCACAGTTGACCGGCGTTTTGAAGGGGGTCTTACCTACTTGCTCTGTCTGGTCGCCTGCAGTGTGAGATCCACTGAGGCTCTCCCCCACCTTAGGCCCTACAGGTTGAGACCCACAGGTTGAGAACCACTAGCAGGGTCGCCTAAGACCATCGGAAACACAGATATTTACATTACGATTCACAACAGTAGCAAAATGACAGTTATGAAGTAGCAACGAAAACAATTTTATCATTGGGGGTCACCTCCACATGAGGAGCTGTATTAAAGGGTTGCGGCGTTAGGAATGTTGAGAACTGCTTTAGTGGGTTCCGTCCACCCTGTTGTCAGGGCCCTGAAAGCCGCTTCCCCTCAGCCAGTGGCACAGCTGATGGCCTGGTCTCACCTCCCGGGCAGCGTGATGGAGATGGACTCTCCCGTCGGGGATGCAGAGCGGCGTGGGGTTCCCTTTGTGCCCGGCAGCCCCGTGCCCCACTCACCGCCCACTGCTTCTCCCAGGTGCTGATCGGCCACATCTCCAAGAAGATGAACAAGCAGACCTTCCCCGAGCACTGCAGCCTGTGCAAGGAGATCCTGCCCTTCACGGACCGCAAGCAGGCCGTCTGCTCCAACGGCCACATCTGGCTCCGGTAAGCTCCCGCCAGCCCTGCCTCAGACCTAGCTGCCCAGAGAAGCTGCTGTTACCAGGCCTGGCACAGGGGTCTGCTTCCGGCTGCCCTAAGCCAGGGCCTTCAGCGGCGAGGCCTCCTGCCTGGCACACACAGGCATTGCTTCCTGTGGGGAGTGCTGTTTCATTGGAGTAGCATTACATTTTAAAAATGACCATTACTAAAGTGATACCTGTCACAGTTAGTGCAGTATAAAAGCACTGATGTACTTCTTTTGATTAACTTGATAATAAAAGGCAGAATCCTCCTCCTCCCCTGCCCTCAGTCCCACTCCCACCTCAGTGTGTCTGTTTTGTGGACACAGTGGGCAACTTCCTTCTCCTCCTCCTCCTCTTCTTTTTTCTCCTCCTCCTCCTCCTCCTCTGCCTTCTCCTCTTCCTTCCTCCTCTTCTTCCTTCTCTTCCCTTTCTCTTCCTCTTCCTGCTTCTTCCTTCTCCCCTCTTCTACAAGCACCCCCATCACTGGCTCCCTGCACAGAGCTCTCCCTGCTTCCCTCCCGGCCTCTGACCCTTCCTCCTTGGCTGGCTGCTTCACGGACTTGATGTCCGTTGGCAGCAGCAGCTCAGGACAGGATCAGCAGCCGGCATCTCGAGCACCAGTGGCCTGGCAGGCGCTCTGCTGAGCGTGTGCGTGTCCTGAGTCACTGTTATCACAGCCGCTGTGCGTGGGACCCTGGTGATTTCCATTTCTGCGGAGGAGGACCCTGGCTGCTGGGGAAGGCAGCTCATTTGCCCGTCACACGGTGGTGAATGCAGAGCTAGAGCTGGTGCCGCCTGCAGAGCTCCCAGGAGTGACTGCCATGCAGACAGTCTCCGATGGGTTCTCTGACGAAAGGTAGCCTCATGTTTGTGGATTGGAGTCAGGCCAGGACGCCTCCATATCCTTGCTCCACGAGAGAGGGCGCTGCTCTCACCAGCTGTGAGCTGCCTCCTGTGCACCCACGTCACTCAGAGGGAGCCACTGGAATCTCTTTCTCCTTCCTCTTCCTCTTCCTCTTCATTTTCTGCTCCTTGGCTGCTCAGCTTAAAAACTGTTGTCTCTTGGGAAAACCTCCCTGCAGACCCAAAAGCACTCCTTCCCATCTCCTTGCCCGCCTGGCTGGTCCTGGGGGAGGGGGCTCGGGGGCTTGAGCCTGGGCACGTTGGTTCCCGCCCTTCTTTTTCACACCATTCGCTTTGTCTTCTGCCTCCTTCAGGTCCCCCTGTGCTGTGAGACTCTTAAACATAGTGCCCGCACCCAATCATGCCATCACTCACAAGAACAGTTTTCAGTGTGTTATGTGGTCAGCTGTCAGCATACAAGCACAGCCAGGGAGGAACAAACGTTTCCCAGAGCTGAACACGTGACCGGCTGTGTTAGCACCTGTCTGTCGCTGGGGAACGGACAGGCGCATCCCTGAGTGGGGGCCCAGCAGCTGCAGAGGGATGTGGGTTGCCATGGATTTGTGAACAAGCCTGCCCTTTCCTTGGTGAACGTGCTTCCAGTGTGGCTGGTGCGTCACCCTCGGCACTGCCGCTTTCTGGTGTTGGCAGAACTGACGCTGCCATGGCCTCTTGCAGGTGCTTTTTAACCTACCAGTCCTGCCAGAGCCTGATATACAGAAGGTGTTTGCTCCACGACAGCATTGCCCGCCACCCGACTCCGGAAGGTGAGTGAGCCTCCGGCCGTGGGGCGGGGGGGGCATGGCGGCCGGGTCAGGCAGCCACAGCTAACTAAAACCGTGATCATATGTCCTGTTCAGGTCCGTGCTGCATGTTAGGTGTAAGTTTGCCAATCTGCTTCTATAAGTCATTCATTCAGAAGATGCCCACAGTTCTTTACCTGATGTGTCTACATTACATTTGAATGAAACTGCACATGATAATGCCTACGAAATATTTTATTTCTTTCTTTATTTTTTAATATATTTTATTGATTTTTTACAGAGAGGAAGAGAGAGGGATGGAGAGTTAGAAACATCAATGAGAGAGAATCATCAATCAGGTGCCTCTTGCACACCCCCTACTGGGGATGTGCCCGCAACCAATGTACATGCCCTTGACCGGAATCGAACCTGGGACCTTTCAGTCCACAGGCCGACTCTCTACCCACTGAGCTAAACCGGTTTCGGCAATCTATGAAATATTTTAATTGATACGCTGTGAAAAAAAATATAGTCCTTTGAACTGAGTAAATTCATTCACTCGTTTTCCTCTCTCATTACAGAAGGATGAAATGCCTTAGCTTGGGGGCCACAGGTTAGCCCATCCTCACTTAGAAGGTTGGGGCGGGGGCTTTGTCCAGGGGCACAGAGGGGGCAGAATGCCGCCTGGACACTGCAGCTCGTTCCGACATCCCGCAGGCCCTTTTTGAGCCCCCGCTCAGCGCCTGTCTTCCTTGCAGACCCTGACTGGATCAAGAGGCTGCTGCAGAGCCCCTGCCCATTCTGTGACTCTCCCGTCTTCTGACCGGCCGTGGAGGAGCAGACAGGGCGTGATCTGTGGGGAACACTCCGGCTGGAGAGAGGGCTGCACTGGGTCTGCCTGCGCAGGGAGGGGCGCTGCTTCTGTCTCTGCGGACCAGAGCTGTCTGTGCGAGACGGAGCCGAGCCCATTCATTTCGAGGTGAACGTCAGCCCCCCTCCTTGCTCAGCAAGGAGTACTTGCTTTTACAGCGTCTTGACTGAAGCAGTTTGGACAAAGGCCCTGTCATCCCAGGAACAGATTTCTAGAGACTGGAGAAGGCCTGTGGGCTGCGTGAGGGTGAAGCCTGGCCTGGGTCTGGAACTGCCTGTGGCTCGGAGAGCGGAGGTGGCCGGCCCGTGGTGGCCAGTGGCCAGCAGATGCTCACAGTGTCTGAGCGCAGGGCCCGCTGCTGTGCCCAGCAAACAGCCACAGAACCGAATCCGCCAAACCTCGTCTGAAAACATTTTCCTAAACTCTGTATTTTTAAGAGGTCGAAGCCAAGACTAAGACTGGGTTTAGTGTGTCCAAAGGCCCAGTGACTTGTGAAGGGGTAACTGTGGCACTGAATGATTTCCGTGTCACCAGCTTCCTGCCCCAGGGCCGTGTGTAAGGACTCGGGTGCTCACTCAGGCAGCCACGCCCGCTTCAGACCCAACTGTGGTGCCGAGCGAGCCATCTGTGCACAGAGGAGTGCTCGCTCCTTCCAGTATTAAATCTTGGGGTGTTTTAATATGGACATTTGCAGAAGGTTCATGTCTGTCCAGCCAGAGTTTGCCTAGAGACTGCCAGACAGACAGCAGGCGCTTGCACCCGGCACAGCAGGTGGGCAACTGCTTGGCGAGCTGAGAGTTTCTCCACAGAGCCCCTGCTCTGGCCCACAGGTGTCTCTGGCTAAGAGATGTTCGACGTTCATTGGTTTTACAACGTAAAACAAAAAGTAGCCATGCTGGAGCGACAGTGCTGGGTCTCTCCGGTCAGGTCCTGGGGACCGGTGCCCATCAGTGCTGCCATTCTGACTCATCCTGCATGAGTTTGCCTGACTGCCACCGCTCCTGCTTCTACTCTGTGTCCTTCATGAACAGCGTCTGCCTCACCTGCTGCTGCTTATTCTGGTGGTAATTTCAAGTGCAGCTCGATCCAGCCTTCCGTGTCGGCACGTTGAGTTGATTTTCAGAAAGAGGACAGTCAGCAGTAAAACTCCGCGCAGCGCAGGTGTGTGGTTGCAGACGCTTTCTGCCTGTAGCCGTGTCACTTCCCCCACAAATGTGACAGTAACAATTGGGATCCTGTCAAAGAGTCATTGCGGTGTTAATAATCATGAATGCTCCGCTTCACTTAGGATTTGTTGCTACTCAGAACCGGTAGCTTTATTGTCGGAGAATGTGGCACTGCTGCCATTTAAGATGTTAAGTGTTTTTTTTTTAAAGCAGTTGTGCGTTTGGGGGAGACGGAATTATTAGGCGTTCACTGAAGGGGCCTCCCTAATGAATTATTTGTGTGTCTGTGTAGGAATAATCATGCCACTCTTTTACCAGAACACGCTTCTCCCCAGGGACAGAAGCCCCACCTGCTGCCGCCCAAATTCCCACCCCCGTCCCTGGAGATGAGCCCCCGGCCTGAGGGAGGAGCTGAGAGGACTGCATTGTAACCCTCACTGAGGACATGCGTTTTAGAGAAAGGAAGAGAGAGAGACACCCGTTGGTTGCCTCTCGCACATGCCCCATCTCGCACATGAGCCTGCACCCTAGTACGAGCTCTGACTGGGAATCAAACATGGACCGTTTGGTGCACGGGATGCCAGCCAGCCAGCCGAGCCGCGCCAGCCAGGGCAGGCGCCTCCACTTCTCTAAGGACAGGCATCTTCTGCCCTTTTTCTCGTTGGGGATTGGGCAGCACACACAGTGAGACAGTGTAAGCCCCACACGGACAGCCTCCAGCCGCTGCCTGGCGGGGCCTTTCTTGTGACCGTCCGTAGCGCTTAAGCCGCCCTTCTGCCGCCGGGGGGTCAACAAGGCGCTGGCGGCAGTGCGTCCAGAGCCCCTCCCCCAGGCTCTAACCCGCGCCTGGTTTTAGTGCAGGTATCCGTTGGCAGCTCTGACAGGGTGTTCACCTTCAGCTGTTCCTCTGGAATCGGAAAGGGGCTTTTGGAGTTAACGTCACGTCTGCTGACATGATCTCTGCTCGCGCTGATTCCGGAGCACGTGGACCGTGCCTGTGCCCTGTGAGGTCAGAGGTGCACGTGTAGCGTGGCTTCCCGGATCTCAGTCCTGTAGCCTCGTGCCGGGTGAAGCTGTGGGTGTGCGGGCTGTGCTTGTCCCGGGCCTGCGCTCCGTCTGCAGCACTGTCACTGGCCGAGGGGCTGCAGCCTCCCACGTGCAGACACAGCCTAAGACACAGCTGTTTCTGAACACTTGGTGTGAAGCAACAGGTTTTTAAAAATACGTATTTTTATTGATTTCAGAGAGGAAGGGAGAAAGAGACAGAAATCCACAATGAGAGAGATCTTTGGTTGGCTGCTTCCTGCACGCCCCCCACTGGGGATCGAGCCCACAACCCAGGCCTGTGCCCGTGGCCGGAATTGGTCGATGCTCTGTCCACTGAGCAAAACCGGCTGGGCCAAAATGAACAGATTTAAGGGGAACGGCTTAAAGGTGTCCTGTGAAGAACTTAATCCTTTCGGTGTATGAATCTTCCTCTCCCAGTCTCTATCCAGCGGGATGGCTCAGCTTTTCGTAGCTTGCCTGTCCTCTGAGTGGTAACTACCCTCTCGGGGAGTGAGTTTGGTCAGAGCAGTACTGCTGAGATTGCCACCCGCTGTCTGTCCGTGCATTCCAGGAGTAGGGGAGTTGAAAAGGGGCAGGTGGACCTCTCATGCCCACAGAGCAGGGGTGCAGGCTGTCTGGTTGAAATGCTGTCAGTGGGTGGGGAGGTACAATACATTTCAGAGCTCAGGAGGTTGTGTGTATTTATAAGGTCAGAGCTGTTTACTTCACCGCCATGAGCTCCTGTTGCCTGCACAGGAATATCGTAAAGTGGTCGCATTAGAGGCCCCAGAGGCTGTGAGGCCTTGAGGCTGTAAGACTTCATCCGTCTGTCACGTAGCTAACTTCATCCGTGGGGTCAGGTGCTTGGGTACTAGTTAGAATTAAATGCAAAAATCAGTGAAGTCTTTTCCAGACTGACTCAGATCTGTACTTTAATGTATGAAAGGGAATATCAGACTTGTTTATAAAAAAATAATTGTGTAGAGAAGGAAGTCTGTGTTGTGTGTACTGATATGTAGTTTGTCTACGCAGCGCCCATGCTATAATCTTTGTGTTCTGCTCTGAATTTTTGTATGTTTACAGATGACATTTTTTAAATAAAAAGAATAGGCATTTAAAAACATAAGGTTATAAAAGGGAGATTTAAAAAATTTTTTGCCATCTGACCAGGTGGTGTGTTATTAACTCTTTGTGTTTAAATGATAACTGAAGAACAATAACACCTTTTGCTTGGAATGTCCCGCCATCCAGAAAAATGGCCGCTCCTCCATCGCACATGTGTACATGGTATTCATTGTTAGACTGTACGCTCCTCATGGGCAGGAACTGTCCGTTTCCTCTCGGTACTTCCCGCGGCACCAAAGTCCAGCGCCCACACAGGAAACGGCTGTGGCCGGAGCGGGCTGGGAGCTCCGCCTCCTGTCAGGGGGGCGGCTCACTTCCGGGCGCTCAGGCCTGCTAAGAACGGGACTGGAAGAGGGTCGACTCCTTTCCTGGGATGAACTGAGCTTCTTGGGGTGCCCCGGAGGGCGCCATCTCGGCACCAGCAGCCTTCCTTCCTGCGCGTAAGGCACCGCGTCCTGAGCTGCTCTCACCTGGGCTTGGTTTCCGGGGAGGCTGACGGGGGGGAGAGTGTAGAGAAAACGGAGTGGACGACTCGGAGGGGGTTTGCCCATGTGTAGCCCCATTTTCACTAAAGAAGGCGCCACAGACCCGCTGTCTCTGCCAGTCAGCTGCCCTCCATCTCCCTAGCTGACGACAGACCACTGGTGGTTAGCTTTTCTCCATTTTGGATTTCCCTGTTGCTCGTTGGATTCTAGTCCTTAGAATCTGTAAAGTTGCTGTGAATATCTAGTGCTGTACATAGCGGCAGTTTTGTAAAAATGTGATGAAATAACCTCAAACGTGTTTTGTATGCAGAGCCACTAGTATTGTTACCACAGCCAACTTTTTATTCAAAATTAAAAGATAACAGAATCACTTGCATGTTGTGTGCATCTCTTACCAGGTGTGCATGAGTGGTGGAGACGCCCAGAAGCCTCTAGCCTGACAGCAGCAGGAGAAGCTGCGCGGGAGAGAAATGGCCATTGGCCACCACCTCGGAGTCCATCCAGCCTCCGGTTTTCTCCCGAGAACACATGAGGAACATAGGGGGAAACGGTCAACAGAGCATCAGTAATATGTTAGACCACACATTGTCCACAGCAGGTAAACGGTACCTGGTAGTCACAGAAAACCAAGTGCCTGCTGCAATAATTTCACCACAGTAAACCTGAACTCAGACCAGCACTCCCGCTCACAACAACCAGAAAGCTAGACACACCACACAGGATAAATAAGATGCAAAAAAATATACCTAAACGTATCCTGAGACTGCTGAAGATGTAAGATAAAGAGTTCTGAGCAGTGAAAGAAATGTCGCCGTAAAAGGAGGGGCAGTGCGACTTGGAGCTGATTAATTGGTGGAAACGGTGGGAGCGAGCTGGCGACGGGAGACCCCGTCACTGCAGCCACCAAGCACCGCTCACTGAGCATCACTTCCGGCCGCACTGGGCGCTGGTGGCCCAGGAGGCAGGAGCTGGCAGAAGCAGCAGCCTGGATGTGGTGCAAGCTGCCCAGCCACCGAGTCTGGAGCCTGAACACCCGCTCTGGGAGAAGGCGTGGCCCCGAACCATTCCCTGGGACCCCTGGAGAACCGTGCCTCCCTGCCACGCTCTGAGGCTTGGTGGGTGTAGGGATTCTGAGCCCCCAGGGGGTCATGGGAACCTGAAATGGGTTTCTGCCTGAGCATGTCTGCAACGCCTGTCGCTTTTCCCTGGTGTGAGGTTTGGTCCTGTTCCTCCTGCAGCCCGTGAGGGGCACAGTGGGCGCTGGTGAGCTCTGGGGCTGTGTGCGGACCCTCTCAGGCTGCGTCACAGATAATGCCGGCCCCTCCTTACGCCACGCGGAGCTGCCTCGCTGTGGGCAGCCTGGGGGGGGGGGGGGGGCCTGGCAGGAGCCACTCCTGCCCCTCCCGGCCCTGCGGCCAGGTCCTCATTTGACAGCGTCTGCGCCCGAGCATGTGCCTGTGCTGGTACCCTACGCACTTGCTTGGTTGTGAGATGGCAGTCGTGTTGGGGAGTCACTGTTCCTTGGGGTGACTCCAAAACAGCGGGGTGGGAATGATGGGTGAGCCTGGTCTCTGGGACGGATGGTTCTGAGGGGTGCTGCCCATGGAGGAGCCCAGGGGGACTGCCCCCCAGTGCCCACAGCGGTGGCCTGCCTGTTACCTACAGGTGTTGGCCCTCTCCCTGTCCTGTCTCCCATCCCACCACACCCGTGCTGAAGCCAGTCTCGTCTCAGGGTCTGCTTTGATGGGAACCCAAATAACAGTTGCAAAAACCCAAAATAAAGTATCATCAAACTGCACTTACAATACATCATAATCAATGTGACCTACTCTAGGGATAAACCCATAGTGAACAACACTGTATGGTCCACATTATTGAAAAACTTGTTAAGAGAGTAGACCTCATGCTGTATTCTTACCACAGTAAAACAAACAAACAAACAAAAAACAGCCATTGTTGCTCAGTGGTTAAGGTCAACCTAGGAACCAAGAAGTCACCAGTTTGATTCCCATTCTGGGCACATGCTCATGTTGCAGGCTCAGTCCCCAGTAGGGGGTGTGCAGGAGACAGCCAATCAATGATGTTCTCTCTCATCAATGTTTCTATCTCTCTATCCCTATCCTTCTCTTTCTAAAAATCAATAAAGGAAAAAAAAAAGTTGTTTAAAAAGTTACAGGGCAATAATTCCATTGGCGTTCATGCCCCCTCATCTGGCCACCTGTCCATCTGTCCATCCATCCGTTCACTCCAAACCTCTCACTTGGGTCATTTCTACAATAGTAAATGACAGTAATGGGTTTTATCGTAGTGAGGATGGGAGTTTCACTATCAGATACCTTTCTGTTGTATGATTTTTAAAAAAATATATTTTATTGATTTTACACAGAGAGGAATTGAGAGGGACAGAGAGTTAGAAATAGCCATTAGAGAGAATCATTGATCAGCTGCCTCTTGCACACACCCCACTGGGGATGTGCCCGCAACCAAGATACATGCCCTTGATCGGAATTGAACCCGGGACCTTTCAGTCCGCACACCGACGCTCTATCTACTGAGCCAAACCGGTCCCAGCTGTTGTATGATTTTTAAAATAAGTAACATTTTAGTAATAAAATATTTATAATGCAGTGATAGTTCTATTTTTTTTTAAATGAAAGCATGTCCCATGATTAGTTAACATGCTTTTCTTTTCTTGCCTCTGAACCCTCAGATGCCTCAAAATCAGCCCCCAAGTCACTTCCATCTCCCCGAGGGGATCCCCCATGAGTCCCGCCGGTTCCCACTGAGCCATCTCCGCTGATGTCTCAGGTAGAGGCCAGCGCTGTCGTTAGAACGAAAAGGCACATCTCCAGGGCGGTCCTAACCACGCCACCGTGCCAGTAGCCTGCCGGATGCCCTAGGCCCGTGGTCTGAGAACTCATTAAACAACAGAGCCCAATACCAACAGGACGACGATTGACATTTCTTTGGAGAGCCACATTTTTTAAACTTAAACTTCTAACGCTACTTCTTCAAAATAGACTCCCCCAGGCCGCGGTATTTTGTGGAAGAGCCACACTCAAGGGGCCAAAGAGCCGAGTGTGGCTTGTGAGCCGCAGTTTGCCGACCACAGTCCTAGGGCCTAAGCAAAGAGGTGCATGCTGGGAGGACAGAGATGTTGCCTTGGCCCCAAGGGCAGAGGTGGGTCTCAGGTGGTCTCTCTTGTTTCTCATTTCTGACATCTTTGTCCCGTTTTTCCCTTCGGCATTCCCCGTGGGGGCACACCGTGGGCACTGGATGAACGTGCTGGACGCGAGGAGGGGGCCTCGCTGCCTCAGACGTCCTCTCCTCCCTGCGGCGCCCAGAGAGCCGACAGCTGCCCCCGTTCTTCCCAGGTTCCTGGGCCTGAGCGGACTGAGAAACACCTGTGGCGGCTGCAGGTGGGGGTGGGCACCCCACAGGGCCCCGCACCGCTTGGATGTCCCCCTGGGGGGGAGCAGGAGGAAGGGGACTTCTAACCCAGACACAAGCGAGGGGGCAGTTTGTGGTGACCATTTACGATAAAAGAGGCCGAAAGTGAACCGAAGACTTACAGTCATGGCGGCCTTGGAACGACGTGCTCTCTGGCAAGTGAGTCCGGCCTCGGTGACAGGCCCTGCCCCTCGGCAGCAGGAAGCGCCCAGACCACCAGGCGGTGGCAGCGGCGGGGAGCAGGATGCTAAAGACGCGCCTCCGCCCAGTTAGGCCTCCATCTGCAGCCAATGAGCAGCGCTCGAGGCCCGCGGGGCGCCACCTGCCGAGCAGGGAGGGGTGGGCCTTCTGTTCCCGGCGTGTCCTAGGCGGGTCCCAGCAGGTCCCAGGTGTGTCCCAGGCAGGTCCCAGGCATGTCCTAGGCGTGTCCCAGGCGGGTCCCAGGCAGGTCCCAGGCATGTCCTAGGCGTGTCCCAGGCGGGTCACAGGCGGGTCCCAGGCGGGTCCTAGGCAGCGGCCTACAGGAGCGGAGCTGGTTGGCCCACCCAGTGGCCGCCCAGTGCATCTCAGTGAACCCGGAGCTGAGCCCACGTGCAGTCAATGCCAGGGGAGGGGCCGGGATGCCAGGGCCTGGGGAAACGGGGTGCCTTCCCACAGCTCCCCTCACCTGCTGGGGGGAGGAGGTGCCACGCCGCCCTCACAGGGAGCCCTGGGACTTGGGTCCTGGCCCAAGGAGTGGCCACGGAGGGATGGACAGCGACGCCATAGGTGGCTGAGCTCTTGTCCGTCCACGGGCCGCCCCCTCCCACCGCAGCCTTCGGAGACGTCCGGCTCTCCCAGAGCCTGGGGAGGAGGCGGCAGGGCTTGTGGGCGGGTCCGTGCCCGGCGGGGCGCGGCCCCATCCTCAGCCTGCCGCTCCGGCCACCCCACAGGCCACCCCACAGGCCACCCCACAGGGCCTGCTCGGTGCTGCCCAGGAGGCAGGACTGCTTCTCTCATTTTACAAGCCCCAGAGGTTAAGCGGCTCACCTGAGGCCACACAGCCTCACGGGACCCAGGCTGCTTCCTCTGCAGCCCCTGCTCCTGGCGGACATCACTTGCCTCAGACTGCTGCCCCAGGGGCGCAGGGGTGCAGGGGGGCAGGGGTGCAGGGAGGCAGGGTGGGACTGCTCTGGGGGGAGCCAACGGTGTGGGCTGCCCCAGAAAGCAGGTGGTAACTAAAGAAACGACTGTGTGCCCTGGCAGGGTGGCTCAGTGGGTAGAGCGTCAGCCTGTGGACTGAAGGGTCCTGGCTTTGATTCCTGGTCAAGGGCACACGCCTTGTTGCAGGTTTGGTCTCCAGCCCTGGTCCGGGCACGTATGTGTGGGAGGCAACTAATAGATGTCTCTCACATCGATGTTTCTCTCTCTCTCTCTCCCCTTCCCACTCTCTCTAAAAATCAATGTAAAACTATATATATATCCTCAGGTGAGGATGAACAAAAACAAAACAAAAAAGTCCGCTTCCCCACGACTGCTCTTCGGCTAAGTATTTACAGCCAAATGGTGTTTCCGGCCAGTTCCAGAGCAGTGGGCTCTGCTCCGGGGTCCGGAACAGGGAGGGGGGGAGGGGGGTGGCCCCAGAGTGAGGGGACGGGGAGGGGCAGTGCAGACAGAGTGAGTCCTCCTCCCGGAGCCCTGCCTGCACCCACCCGTCCTGTGGGTGCTTACTGAGAGCTGGGAGCCGGGCCCGGGCCCACAGCACCAGGCGGCTCCTCAGGGTCCCGTCTGGTTCAGTCACTCTCCAGTGTTCAGTCTCTCGGTGGGACTGAGCCGCAGCCACCGGCCTGCGCCTCCACGCTGCTTCCCGCCCCCGGGCTCTGCCCGCCCTGTGCTCCCCGCCAGAGCACAGCCACCCCAGGA